ACCAAAGCGATTATACCATCTGAGTTCAAAATGTACTGCATATCTGTTGTCATCAAAACAGCATGACAGTGACATAAACAGACACACAGACAAATGGAACAGAACAGAGAGCTAGACGTGAGACCCGCACCTCGACATTGCACCCGTACATCGACAGTGTACGAACGCATACTGGACTGAGAATGCAGGTGCACACTTTTAATCCCAGCACTTGGGAGGCAGAGGTAGGCGGATCTCTGTGAGTTTGAGGCCAGCCTGGTCTACAGAGTGAGTTCCAGGACAGCCAGGGCTATGTAGCGGGACCCTGTCTCAAACAAACAAACCAAACAAACCAAAACAACAAAAGGAAGACACACACTGGGAAAAGGACAGTCTTCCATAGCGGTGCTCAGACAATCATCAGCTGTCTGTGTGCCGATGGAGCTAGACCCTGCCTCTCACTAGGTATAAACAATTCCAAGCAGGTCAAGGACATAAGCTCTGAAGTGTGAAAGTACCAGATGGCATAGGAGGAATGCTTCTGGATGCTGTAATCAGCAAGGAGTTCTCAGAGAAGACCCAAAGCACAGGAAGCAAAAGTAATGACAGGTAGATGGATTAGTTGCTATATAGCAAGAGCAATCAGGAACCCAAATTGACAGAGAGGGCAGCAGCAAGCGGCTCTGTTGGTCGCCGCTTCCGAGGCTCATGGCCATGCTATGTGTTGCTTTTTTGCAGTCTCTGGACTGCTGTGGAACAGTAGTAATTCATTTCTTGCAGTTTTGGAGGCCAGAAGGCTATACTGAGGTGTGCTCAGTGTCTGATGATGGCCCACTTTGGCACCATCTTGCTGTGTCTTCACATGGACGATGGAGCCTGGGTTCTCTCTCAGGTCTCCTTCCTAAGTGAGCTAGGCCACCCTGGAGGTTTCCCTCTCTTGACTCAGTTGCTCAGCAGACATTCCAACACTTTGGAGGTTAGGACCCGAGCGTACGGATCTGAGAGGGATGTTCAGACTCTGCGTCCCTCCACAACCTGAGCTCTCATCTCTGTCTTTTGGATTTCTACTGCACTCGTTCCGTCGATTTCCGTATTGCTGCTTGCCCTGTTCATCCACAATTCTATCCAGTGTCTTCACCTGCATTTTTGTTGTTGTTATTTATTTGACAATTTTTCTTTTCCGTTTGAGAATTTCCTTTCGATACATTATAGTTTCGAATCCTGGGACTGGAGAGACAGATCTGAAATTAGAGCGTTTGTTCTTATGAAGGACCCGGGTGCCGTTCACAGCATTGGGGTGTGTGTGTGTGTGTGTGTGTGTGTGTGTGTTCATCTATATATAACTCCAGGTTCAGGGCAACTGATACCCCTCTTCTGGCCTCCTGGGCACCAGGCAAAATACTCATGCACATAAGTAGTTTTTGAATTTCAAACAAAAAAACGAATCTTCTGGTAAAATTCTCCCCTTCGCTGATGTCCTCTGTCCTTTGTCCTGTGTTTCGAAAGTCCATGTTGATAATTCCTAGGTCTATATAGTATGTAGTTTTATTTCCCCTGTTTGCATTTTTGTTTTCCCCTTCTTGTCCCTTTATAATCTGCAACATTTATTCAGACTATTTAAAAAATATTTATGTGTATGTGTGTTTTGTCTGCATATTTGTATGTATGTACACCATAATGCATGCCTGGAGCCCTTGAAGGACACCAGAAGGCAGCAATGGATCCTCTGGAACTGGTCATGAGCAATCATGTGGGTGCTGGGAACTGAACATAGATCTTCTATGAGAGCAGTAAGCTTTTTTAACTGCTGAGCCATTTCTCCAACCCCAAGCCTTGTAACTTTTGATATAAGGGCTTATGCTACCAACTGGGATGCCATCCAGACCCTGACACTCCTGCGCCCCATTGCAGGTGACTCATCTCCCCTACAAGCTTCAGTCACAATCAGTTGAGGCCAGGCTGTGGCAGGGTTCATCAATGGGGCCTCATTGCCTGGGCTCTGCTGTACATCTCTGGATTTCCAAGAGTGGTCCACGTGACCCCTGCATTTTGTAGTGCTTGCTAACCGCTGTGGAAATTTCCTTTGACTTTCAGAGACTCTCGGTTCGGGCTCTTAAGTTCTCTACCTGGGATTCAGAACTTGCCAGATGTCTTCGGGGGAGAGCTGCCTGTGTGTCCACCTTGGCATCCCACTTCCTTATCGTGGCCTCCTGTTTGCTTCTCCACCACAGCTCTGCAGGTTTTTCTGTCTCTCAGCAACAGCTCTCTGCCCGGAAAGACTCCAGTCTCTCAGTCTCTCACCCTGTGTCCAGAATGCAAATGGGCTGGGAGCCAGCACTGTTCAGTGTTTTCTGTTCCTGCACCCTTCTCGCCCCCTGCCCTAGAATCTTGGCCTGGTACTCTAACTGCTTCAGTAACTCTGAATCCTTTGCAAATCGAACATTTTATCTGCACCAGCTGCCCACCTGCATGCAGGACTGCTTTGCCGGCTTCCTGAAGCAGCATTTTTGTTTTTCTCCAGGGAATAGACCTGTGTGTTTGTGCTTCCAGAAAGAAAGTTCCAGCTCATGGTTCAAAGAAGCCAGTTGTTCAATACTGACCTTAATTTATTTTTCACCGTCTGTGTGTGAGTGTTTTGCCTGCATGTTTGTCTGTGTACCACATGTGTGCAGTGTCTACGAAGGCAAGAAGAGGACATCAGAACAACAGATGCTTGTGAGCTGCTGTGTGGATTCTGAGACTCAACCTGGGTTCTCTGAAAGAGTAGTCAGTATTCTCAACTGCTGAACCATCTCTGCAGGCCCTAGTGCTGAGCTTGTAAAACATTACTATTTATACACACACACATGCACACACACAATATATATATATATATATATGTATATGTATGTATGTGTATATGTGCATATATAGTGTTATATATACGTGTGTGTGTCAGTCTGTGGACATGCTCTGTCTTTTCCACAAAACCTCCCACGTGGGTGCAGTTCTAGGAAGCTTTAATTGCCAAGTTGACACAGCCTGAGTCATCCGAGAGAAAAACCTGAATTGGGGAATTGCCTGAATCAGATTGGTTTATGAGCACGCCTGTAAGGAGCTGCCTTGATTATTAATTGATGTCGGAGGGCCCAGCCCACTGTGGGCGGCACCATCCCTAGACAGGTGTCCATGGGCTGTATAGGAAAGCCAGCTGGATATGAACCTACAAATGAGCCATCAAACCGTGTTCCTCCACGGTGTCTGATTCAGGTTCCTGCCCCGACTTCCCTCAGCGATGGATTGTGACCTGGAAGTCTCAGCCAAATAAATCCTTTCCTTCCCATGTTGCCTTTGGTCTGTATTATCCCAGAAACAGAAATAAAACCAGACCAGATGCCACTTCCAGCCTGAAATGAGCACAGCTTACAGTGTATGCCAGGGCTGGGAGGGGTGTGGCTGTTCTTTGTCCTCATTTCCCAAAGATTTTTATCTTGCCAGATTTCACAGAAAATCCTGTGGAAATATCTGGGTGACAGGAATTGAGCATCTGTGCAGCTAAATTTGGGGAGCACGAGAAGCTTACCACGTCGTGTATCTCAAACATTTTCTCCCTCGCTAATGACTTCCTATTTCGGTCACAGGGTACACTGCCTTAAAGGGCGTGAGGTGTGCTACTGCACAATACCACCTAGGAGTCTTGTCCTAGAGACTTTGTGGGCTTGCCTGCACCCCACCCTCATGCCTAGCTAGGACGTCAACACAAGAAAACACGACTCAGCTGCCCTTCTTGGGTGGCCACGACTCAGCTGCCCTTCTTGGGTGGCCTCTCGTGGATGTGGGAAACGTGGCACCTGCTGTCGGAGTGGCTGATACTATGCCTTGGAGCTGAGGGGCTGCTGTGAAGGTGTGAGTCCAGCCCCCGCCAGTTTCTGTTCCAGTCAGTCATAGGGAGGTCTGTCCCTCTCCGGCAGCCTCTGAAAGAGCTGTTTCCCGAGGGAGGTCATCAAGCCCCAGTTTCAGCCTGTGTGTAGGCTCATCCCTCTCACCCTGCTCTTTGGCACACCCATAAGCCAATGCCCAGGGGTGAATCACACAGCTGGACAAAGGCAGGACCAGGACCAGGCTGACACCTGTCCATCTCTGACCCTTGCCCAAGGAGCCCTGTAGGTGTGAGGGCTACCCATTTCTTCTCCTTTTAATTCAGTTAAAAGATTTTTCATACAATATACTTGGGTTATATTCATTTTTGTTTGTTTGTTTTCTGACACATGATTTTTTAAAAATATAACAGTCTTGGCTGTCCTGGAACTCGCTCTGTAAACCAGGCTGGCCTTGAACTCACAGAGATTCACTTGTTTCTGCCTCCGGAGTGTTGGGATTAAAGGCATGCGCCACTACTGCCTGGCTTGGGTTATATTCTTTCTTCTTCTGAAGCTCCTACCTCTTTACCCATCTCTACCCACTCAACTTAGTATTCTTTCTCTTAGGAACAAAAACAGCACAAAATGAAAATAAGAAAAAACATACACCCCCTACCCCACACACAAGAAAACAAAAATGAAACAAATCGATAACACGGAGTCTGTTCTGTGTTGGCCAACTATTCCTGAGTATACTACCCCGAAGTGTGGTTGATAGACCCGTTGTTAACTCATGCTCAAAATCTGTACAAAGTCAACCCAGACAAAATCTAGCACTGAGGAAAGGAAGTGGACACAAAGTCCCATCCCTAACCAAGAAGCCATTTGCAAATCATAGCTGTTGGGAGAAGGGAACCAGTTGTTTTTTTTTTTTTTTGTTTTTGTTTTTGTTTTTTTTGGCTGGAGAGCCACTTTGTTCTTGCAATGGGCTCCTTACACTCAGCTTAACTCTGTGCTATTAAAATCAGTGACCTGCTCCCACTTCTGTGTCCTGTTCATTGGTCACCGCATTGTGTTATTGGGGTGGTCGAAGTGGGCAGAGAAGTCCTGTGGATACAGCCAGGTACCATTGTACTGCCTCTTTGAATACTGCTCCTAAATTGCGTATTTCCCCCATTCCAGGTGACTCTGCCCTCTCTGGGGCAACCGCAGCTGCTGAATTACCAACAAACTCTACAGAAATGGCCGGGGCCTCTGTGAAGGTGGCGGTCCGCGTCCGCCCCTTCAATTCCCGGGAAATGAGCCGCGACTCCAAGTGCATCATCCAGATGTCAGGAAGCACCACAAGTGAGTACTGGCCATGATGGCTACCAACAACTGCTGGGCACACGGGACCGCGGGACCATGCCTACTAGCCAGACTTAAGAGCCAGCCTAGCCTGCATTCAAGAGCCCTAAGCCTTCCTCATCCATATGGTGTGTGTGGGACGAGGGCTCCCATATAACAGATGAGCACAGATGATGGAAACCAGAGGGTCAACATCAAGGCATGGGCAGGTGCTTCCTCTCCACGCAGGGGACCATCTTTTCTGATCTCTCCGAATGTCTGGTGGTTGTTGTCTGGCTGGACTTGTGGTCCCACTACTGTCACCTGGTCTTCCTGCTATCTGTGCCCCTGTGTTCAGGTTGGTTGTTTGAGAAGGAGTCTCAGATTGTATCTTAAGATGGATTACTAGTCACACAGTAGCCCAGGCTACCCTTGAACTCTTGCCTCAATCGCACAGACTGTAATTCCAGCCTGGCCTGAGACACAGGTGTGTGCCACCATCCCTGGATGCGTCTCTGTCCTCGGGTGGCCTTTCTACAAGGATTTAAGGCATAACTTTAACAGTTAATCACATCTTTACCATCCTGTTTGCAAGTCTGTAGTCTCAGCTGCTCAGGACGTTCAGGCTGAGTACCACCTGAGACTAGGAGGACCCAACTCGGGTACCATAGTGAGATCATGTTAAAGGAAAAAAACAAAACAAAACAAAAACCTAAAAACCCAAACCAAAACAAACAACAACAAAACAACAACAACGACAACAAAAAAACCTGTTTCCAGAGAAGATCACACCCTGAGGTTCCAGGAATATGAATTTTGGGGTGGAAGCCAACACTATTTAACTCAGGAGTGATGGCTCAGTGGTTAAGAGCACTGCCTACTCTTCCAAAGGCCCTGAGTTCAATTCCCAGCACCCATCTGTAATGAGATCTGGTGCTCTCTTGAGGAAGAGACCTGGTCAGTTGTCCTCATCAACTTAGACTATGAAATCCAGTATGGACAAGTTCAACAGAACCACCATATACAGATTGTTTAAGCATACTTCAGCATTGCCAGGACAGAAATTTCATTTTTTTTTTTTATTGGTTCCCCCCCCTGTTTCCCACCCCCCCCCCCCCCCGTTCCCCCTTTGTCTACTATTTGCTGTGTTTCACATTTTGGTCGTGTCAGACTTTGACAAGTGGGAGGTATGGTCTAGTCTTGGGGAATGGGAAGCAGTGAGCCTGGGGACAGCCCTTCCATAAGGCCAGGGACATAGACCTGCCCCAAAGATTCCATCAGCCGCAGGATTTGACTGCTGGGATGGGAGACAGACCCAGGCTCTAAGGCTCTTGTCTGCTCATTATTTTATTGGGAAGATTGCTTAATGAGCTGTGATAGACCGGCAGAGAGGTGGGCAGATCACAGTGGGAGTCTCGCTGAATTTTCAGGATCTGACAGCCACACCCAGATCTGCAATAGTGCTTAACAGGGCCAGCTGCTGCTGTAGTTCCCCTATTCCTCCAGCAGGGGAGCTGTCGGCCTAGCTTCTGACTCCCTAGGCTGGGTGGGCCCACTTTGGGGTCCTCTGTGAATGGCCCAGGGTTTGAGTGACTAGGCTGATGACAGTCCGCCCTAAAATGCTTACATCTTTGGATTAGAACTGACCATCATCTCTGCTTATGGTTGTCTGGACTTGGTGGATATATGAGCCTGGGTCTCATTGTCTTCCACAAGCTTCTGCTGGTCCAAACTGCACCTAGTGGGAAGCACCAACAGATACCTGGTCCTTCCTCAGGGTGTCAGATGATGACATCACAGTGCTCAGCACCTGTGCAAACACCTGGCTGGTCGTTTCCTAGCTCACAGGTGGCTGCTGGGGTTGAGGGTCTCAGAGGTATCTCATTGATACCCCCTTGGGTGGTCTCTCAGCCTATTAAGGGAAGAGGAGGACCTTGGAATCACTGTGGGGTGCTCTAGGCACCTTTAGGTCCTGCTGTTCTGTAATTGCCATCGGGGTAAACAATGTTTTGTGTGCTTTATTCGTGGTCTGCCTCCTACACAATGGGGCAGTCTGTGCCTCTTGCCTTTTGTTCTCCTCTTGTCATATTCTAGTCTCAGAGTAGTGTGGGCTCTGGTTCAGCCATGTCCCTGTGCAGGCCTCAGGGTGGGCTGGTGACAAGTCTCCTCATATTGAGGAATCAGCCCAGGATGTGGCCTGAAGTGGGTTCCTGAAGAGCCAGGGCTAGAAAGCCTGAGAGGGAGGGATTCTGCTGTACTCTTATCTTACTTGGGACCGACCTTGGTGGGCCGTCTCTTTAGGCCTCAGTTTGTGCAAAGAAGTGATGCTGGGTCCTCCCTACAGTCCCAGTTCCAGGTCACTTCTGAGCCCTCTCCCAGTCACACAGACAACCCCTGGGGTCAGGAGGCACCTGCTCCTGCCTCGGCTCAGCACATGCTCAGCACACTCATCCCCTCATTCTGCTGTGTTCCTGGCTGCAGGGGACATTCTGATCCTGAGAAAGCTGCTCGATTAATTTCTTTCCCTCGGCCACTCTGCACATTGCCCTTACCGTCACTTTTGTCCTTCCCACCAGGTGGCCGCCTCCGTGCAGGCATCTTGTCTTGGAAGAGCCTGGGGGCCCAGTCAGAGTAGAGGGCAGAAGGGCTGGAGCCTTAATGAGCTGGTCCTAAGTGGTCCCATTTTGCCCTCCTCCTGCTTCCACAGAACAGACAGTTACTTTCTGGCCTAATGAGCTCTGCTTTTTTGAGAATCAGACTGATGGGGGAGGGAGCTGTGGTTGGACAGCCAGGCCTGGTGCATTATGGGATCCAGGCCTTCTGTGTTATGTGAAATGCGGGGAATGGCTCCACTCTTTGGAGCTTAGGCCCCATGTAGATTGACTGAAAAAGGTATTTCTAGTAACATACCGCAGGATCCAGGAGACAGGCTGTGGGGGGCCGAGAGCAAGCAGGGTCTGAGCCTAGGATTCTATGCCAGGTGGGCCCCACAGAAGACTCTCCCCATGGACCATTTATAACTTGAAATGAAGACCTGTCCTCCCCACTCACTGTCCGCTGCCTCATCCCCATGAGCTTGCGTGCTTCCTATGCCCTGGAAGGCTCCAACCCCAGGGAGCTTAGGGCCCATATGGGGTACACTGATACCTCTAATAACAGGACCCCATCAGAGCCAGAGAGGATGGGGAGGTTGGGACATGGAGTCCGGAACTCAGCCCTGTCCAGGAGTGAGAACGGGACAGGAAAAGGGAATCTGGGACCATGTGGAGGCTTTGACCCACAGTACAAGGGGTGAAGGAGCAGAGCCAACAGAGGAGGGGCAATGGTGGCATAACACAAAGGGGTCCTGGCTTACTCACTGGGGTTTCAGAGGCCCAGTTCAGGCTGCAAGGAAGAAGGCACCACAGCTGTTTCCATGGCAACCCCTAGTCTGGGCTTGGGTTCTGGCTGCATCGAGGCCACTGTTCCTGGGTCCCAGAACATGAAACTAGGTCAGTTTGCACCACTGCCCCCTTGAGGCAGCCGTGGTAGGGCATAAATAAGTGGTCAGTCACTGTGTCTAGGGGCCCAGATAGGGTCTGAGCAGGGAGGTCTCCCCATGTCTCTTGGATGTTTGACCAGAGCCTTGGGGGCCATTGAGTTTGTTACAGTGGCAGAGGACTGCACAACCCAACCATAGGGGTTCTCCTTTCCAGAGCTGCCATAACAAATCATAGAAGGTTAGTTTAACTTCTGGAATGTACTACGCAACCAGCCACGCTGCAGATTTATAGTCTGGGCTGAGGCCTCCTGAAGCAGGGAGGGAGGACCTTCCCCCAGGTCCCTGCAGAGCTGATGGATTTGGTGTTGTGCCCTTTATCTTTACCTTAACAGGATGCGGCGTTCTCCCTGTGCGTGTGTGTCCCCGAATTTTCCCGTTTTGTAAGGATATCGGTCATACTAGATGAGGGTCCACTCTGATGATGTCACTTTAATAGACTTTATCTACAGTGACCCCCGTCTCCAAACATAGTCACCTTGACACACCAGGGGCGTCATTTTGAAGTGGGTGCAGGTTTGAGAAAACAGTTCAATTATGACTGAGAACAGGTTCTGGGCCCTCCCCATACTGTAGCAGGAAGTCATCTTGGATGCAGACTGGTGGGTGACCAGGGATTCTAGGGGCTGTGTTGTGATTCTCACCGAGGAAGACTTGTCCCAAGTTGGCAGTCCTAGTCCTGGGGGTAGAGAGCTTTGCTTTCCGGAATTGATGATGGTTATGATTGACGCATGTCCTTTATGGATATGAGAACTCAGGGCAGAGTCTGCATCTGGCTGGGGGTCCTCCAGTCTCTATCATACACGGGTATTTTGTCTTTGACAATCTGGGGAACACAGCCTTAGGATGTGGGAACCAAGTCCCCTCTCTCTGGCTACTGGTGCTGTTGATCAGGTCTGTTAGAGATGGAAGTCATAGACTATGGTGTGGCATTGTGGGCCTCCCGGATTACTGGGGGTTTCTCCCGGGAAACTTCAGGCCCTAGCTGTTGGTGACACATCAGTGCTCACTCAGAATGTGTCCCTGGCTATAGGACTAAGCACTTCCTCAGTCATCTGAGTCTCTGGGGTTGGGATAGGGCCTCTGTGAGGAGCAGGGAGGAGGCGGACACTGTAATACCTCAAGAGGAACAAGTCAGGGGATAGGCCCATGAGCCTGGGTTGTAACAACAGGCTAGAAGGCATTTACTGACAAGAGAGGAGGGGATTGTGATATACCTGGCAGTGAGTGCTTCCCCTGTAAGAAAGGGAGCTTGCCACCCACAAACACCCAAATGAGCTGTGCAGGCATAAGAGTAGGACTGACAAGGTGCCAGGGTGCCCTAGACATCAGCTACTTTGGAGGCACAAGTGTGCCAGGCAGGGCAGATAGACCAGTAGGCTGTAGAACCATAGAATAAGGGAGCAGGAGCTTGCAGTGTGACTGTCTTCAGGAAGAAGTCACCAGATGACAGGCCTGGCCTGGTGATGCTCTCTGGCACCCATGAGTCTACCCCAGAGAGAAGGGCAGAGACTCCTGTGTGTTTGTAAGTGGGTCTCCTGTCCCATCTCATTTGGGGGTTGGTCTGGCTTGCCTGGGATTCTCTGAAGATTAGGCTTCTACCTTAGGATGCAGGTTGGATGGTTGGGATTCCATTGCATAGAATTAACCAGCCTCATTATCTGTGTCCCTTGCAGCTATTGTCAACCCCAAACAGCCCAAGGAGACACCCAAGAGCTTCAGCTTCGATTACTCCTACTGGTCACATACCTCGGTGAGCAGCATCTCGGGTGAGGCAGGCTGGTGTTGTGAATACTGGCCCAGTCCTGACTGTAGTGTGATCCTCAGGAGTCCCAAGACTCCCTAAGCTGCGTGTTCTATAAAATGGAAGGGAGACGCTACCCTATTCACCTGGAGGGTCACTCTGAGTTGATCACCAACCTCTAAGGACAAGATCCTCTTGTTCACAGTCCCAGCATCACAGCTGTCACCATTTCCTTATGCCTTCTCCCCTTTCCCAAACATTTCAAACTCAGAAATTCCAAAGCTGAGCCCTGCCTGGGAGCTCCAGCCTCCTGAAAGCCAAGAGACTTGAGGACTCTAGACTCCGCCCTCCCCAGCCCCCGCATCCCAGCCACATCAAGCCTGGTTCCCGGTCCACCTCTTTCTGGCTCCTTTAGAAGCATGCAGTCCATGCCCTCAAGCCCCTGGGCCTCCGGATCTCTGGATGTAGCCCCGGAGTTCCTCAGTGCTGCCTCCCCATCCAGTCTTCCTCCACAGTTCTGCCCCTTGGCTTGGCCATGCTTTTCCTGCCTGAGGAACCCTCTGCCCTCAGGACAATGTCCAGCCTAAATGGTCCCTGAGCCCTGGAGCCCTGCCTTCTTTCAGCCCCTAAACCCACCACGGCCACAGGAACCGGCTGGATTGAGCTCATATCTCTGGGTCTTTGCACATGCTATACTCTGCTGTGATCTCTTTGCCCTGCCCCGCTCCGCTGCCCAGGCACCCCCTGTCTCCCAGTCAGGATCAGGATGCATAGCCCTTCACCCTAAGGCTCTGACCCCATTTGGGCTCTGATGACTCAGGAACAATCTCTTACAGCCACGCCTCTTCTCTCTGCAGCCCGAGGACATCAACTATGCCTCTCAGAAGCAGGTGTACAGAGACATTGGGGAAGAGATGCTACAGCATGCCTTTGAAGGCTACAATGTTTGCATCTTTGCCTATGGGCAGACAGGGGCTGGCAAGTCCTACACCATGATGGGAAAGCAAGAGAAGGACCAACAAGGCATCATCCCACAGGCATGGTTGGGGCCTAGAAAGGGTAGCGGGAGGTGGCCTAAGAGGAGGAAGGAGTAGGGTCGGGGATGGGCTGCAGGAGGGGGTCAGCCTTTGACAGTGCCCATGTAGCCACAAGATTAAGACACTAGCTGGGGAGATGCTCTATGTGGGGTTTGTGAGGACCGGGGGTAGATGTCAGGTGGCCTGCACAAGAGGTGACCATACGTTTAAGATATAGACAACTCGGGCTGGAGAGATGGCTCAGTGGTTAAGAGCACTTAGCTGCTCTTCCAGAGGACCCAAGTTCAATTCCCAGCACCCACATGTCAGCTAACAGCTGTCTGTAACTCCAGTTCCAGGGGATCTGACACCTTCACACCAATCACATAAAATAAAGTTAAATAAATTATAATTTTTTTTTTAAAAAAGATATAAACAACTCCTCAGAAGCCACTAAAAGTCTGATATCTCCCAACGCTTCTCTCCTCCCAGCAGGAGGTCTCTGGATCCAAGCTGGGTCCATACTTGTCCTGCTCAGAGAAGGAGGGATGCTGGGTCAGCTGAGGAACAGTGGCCCCAGCCTCTATGCAGATGAGGACAGGGTGACAGATGAGCTAGGAAAGAGTCAGATACTAACCAGGGGGACACTAGAGTTAGAAGGTGGGGTGCTTGGATTCAGGTCTTTACATTGGAATGCGCCTCTTGGAGGAAGCAGAGGGGTCTAGCAAAGCAGCACCCTGCCTGGGTACAAGCTGCCCACAGCACCTCGAGGGGCGGGGCTCCAAGCCACCAGCCCTCATCAGTAATGTGTTTCCATCCTTGCAGCTCTGCGAAGACCTCTTCTCTCGAATCAATGACACGACCAATGACAACATGTCCTACTCAGTGGAGGTACGACTTCCTGCCTGCTGCCTGCTTCTGAGTGTAGATCTGGGGAGGTCTAGGTGTGGTTGGTGATGCTTTTCTGACCCAAAATGAATATCTATTCCTGTCACTTATCCACACTATGACGGTGTCAGCATGCCCACATGGGACTTAGAGACTCAGCGCTCAGGAGGGGTGATGGGAAGTTGACCCCTGGTAGGTGTTTATTCTGCCCAGCGTAGGGGCAGACACCACAGAGCCTGAGCTATACTGTGGCTCCATTCTTGAAGCGGAGGTGTCCCCAGGGTGACCACAGGGGCTTGTGCTTTGTCATTAGTCTCAAGATGGCTCTGAGTGGGAGAGGGCAGGGCAGGGGGAAGTAGGATGACTCTGGCTGAGTACCCTTTGTGTGCCCTGCCTAGTAGGCAGACAGCCACTATCCTGCCTTGGAGTCCCTGATGGCATAGCTTAGTCCTATCGGTCTGTTACATAGAGGGAGGACTGGACACCTAGAGGTGGGATGACATTCACACTCACACAGAGGCCATAGGCTGGATGTCCTGTGTGCCCTTCCCAGGGATCAAGTCTCTGCCCTGTCACAGGGTTCTAATGGTGAAGCTCAGCCTCACTTGGGGTCCGGATGCTGCAGCCTAGCCCAACTTGGGGTCCTGACGGTGCAGCCTTGCCTTGCTTGGGGCCCTAATAGCCTAGCCTCACTTGGGGTCTTGATGGTATTGCTCTGCAGGTCAGCTACATGGAGATTTACTGTGAGCGGGTCCGTGACCTCCTGAACCCCAAGAACAAAGGCAACCTGCGTGTGAGGGAGCACCCTTTGCTGGGGCCCTATGTGGAAGACCTCTCCAAACTGGCTGTAACCTCCTACAATGATATCCAGGACCTCATGGACTCAGGGAACAAGGCTAGGTATGTGGGATGACTTGTCCCGTTTAGCCACACTCTCACCTCTGACCTGGTCCTTGGGGACACTATTGATTTTACCTCCTGATAGGTCTGTGTGGTGACTCCTAAGGCAGTATGGGCTTCGTGTGCCAGACCTGTTTCAGCCTGAGAGAGGCTTTGGCTCCCACCTGAGGAGGGCTGTTCACGGGCTGAGCAAATGGGCTGTGTGACTCTGCCACCTCCAGTAACTAGGCTCTGATAGCAATACCAACAGCTCCAGTCTTTGTGCCCAAGGGCAGTTGCTTTGTCAGGCCTAAGCCTAGAAACTGTGAGGTTCATCATGGTGGCCATAAGCAATCCACCCCCTTTAGCCTGGGAATACTTGTCATGGTGGTTCTTCTGCATACATTGGTTGCCTCAGGTTGCTCAGGGATTGCCATTAGTTCCTGAGGTAGTATGCATGTGTGTGTGTCCTGAACTACCCCAACAGCCCCTCAGGGTTGTTCATAAAGCCCCTCAGTGCATGTCAGGGACAGTGTGACCTTTGCATGCCAGGTTCTGAGCCATTACAGTGAATTCCATCTTGGGAGATTCTATGAGGTGCTTGGCAAGTTGGGGCAGTGTTGGAACCAACCCCACCTGCCTCAGGCAGCTCTGGGACTTTTCCCTGACGGTCACATAGCTGGCCTATGTTACCTTCTGTGGGGTATGGCTAATGAGGACATGATCCTCTCCTAGGACCCCCAGAGTACCTGGAATGGCATGAGATGAATGGTGGGTATTGGTCCCTTCCAAGAAGCTTCCCCACATCAAAACCTGAGGACTTCTGTCCAGTTGGGTGATATTGAGCCCCAGTAACAGGAAGCACCAGAGACACTGTAGCCACCCGCCCCCATATATGAGACACTATTTGAGGGCTGAGCACCCCATATATATGATGACACCATTTGAGGACTGAGCACCTCCATGGTAGACCAGCAGGCGGGAACTGGGCTTGAGTCTTGGCAGGCGGTGTGGTCACAACCAGGCTGAAGAATTAGAGTCCCGTTGACCTAGGTGAGCACATTGCTACCTAAGTCTCACGTCTGACCCCTGGGTAAGGGACAGATAACCTCACGCCACTTCCTGCTCCCAGGACTGTGGCGGCCACAAACATGAACGAGACCAGCAGCCGTTCTCACGCCGTCTTCAACATCATCTTCACCCAGAAGCGCCACGACGCCGAGACAAACATTACCACGGAGAAAGTGAGCAAGCATGTGGAGTGGTCTGGGAGGGCAGGTTCCACCTCGGGTGGTTGATGCTGGCTGGTAGGGCAGGGTCTCCCACTCCCCCTGGAGCGATGGAGTCCCAACCGGGAACAGGACGTGTGGTGAGCAGTGTCTTCTTAGACAGAGCGCCCATGCTGAGGGAGCACAGTCCTGGCAGTTCCTGCTCCGGATGCCCCTCCTCCAAACCACACCTTGGTATTCTCTGTGGATCTGGACATTGTCTGAGTATTGTTTCCTGCGGTCTTTATCTTAGTTATCCAACCTGTGGGCTTCTGGGAGGGTAGCAGAATCGTTCTGGGCCTCTTGCCATCCCTTTGCCGGAAGGTCCCCCTGTGCAAACGTTCTCTCAGACGCCTCAGGAAAGAGCTCTGTAGAGGAGCTAAGTGTCCTCTAAGGTCTCTGTGGGTCCCTGATAGTGCTGGGGTCGCCTGGGCCTGGTGCCATGCTCCCAGCTGCGTCCCGTGACATAGTAAGAGGCTCCGGAAGGCAGAGGAAGGCTGAGGTCACCGGAGAAGACAAGGTTTCACTGCCAGGGTTTCTCTGAGATGGTCCCTCTTATATCACTATTGAGTCAGGAGAGGCTGTGCCTTCCTGGGGTCACGTGATTGACTACTTTCCTACAGGGAGCCTAGCCAGTGCCCCAGGAGGCAGTTAAGTGACAGCCCTGGCCTTTTGTGGACCTGGGTTCAAATTCCATCACAGATGATTAGAGACATCTGTGGGAATGGGTGACAGTCCCTGAGTCTGTTTCCTGTGTTGCTGTACAGTATGCCCAGCCCAAGGAGGCAGGACTGGGGGAGGTGTGTGCAGCCTCTGTAGAGGTGGTGTGGTACCTCGCTGGGAAAGAACGTCAAAAAAGATGCCGTGAATGGGGGTGCAGAAGGAAACTGGGGGGATCCCAGGGAAGGAGTGTGGCCATCGCTCCTTGAACAGTTCACAAGACTAGCCCCAGAGGGACAAGATGCCCCTGTAGCAGTCTCAAATCAGAGGCTTGCAGCAGGAGATTGTATTCAATGCATCTTCCATTTCAGGTGAGCAAAATCAGCCTAGTGGACCTGGCTGGCAGTGAACGAGCTGATTCCACCGGAGCCAAGGGCACACGACTCAAGGTAGGGTCAATCATGACCAGAGAGAACAGTAAATCTACTCAGAGGTCCAGTGTCCAAGCATTTGCTGCTCCAGGGTGGGCTGGACAGGGGGTCTGTTTGGGGATGGAGCAAGGTTGGGCCACCACCAAAGGCAAGCCTGTGCAGGGATAGTGGGGTACATGGGCAGAGCCTTTGGTCTTCAGTAGACAGAATATCAGTCTTGCCACTCCAGCTCCAGCGAACAAGAACAGACACCAATCAGAGAGTAAGCTCCTAGTGTCCGTCACTGGACTTCATCTCCAGTACTTTCTGCTTCCCGCCCCAGGGAGACAGGCTGTGGGTCAGCCGTGGACTGAGCTGCCTGGCCTGTGTCCTGAGGGCACACCCACTCTGAAGACAATCTTGCGTGTCAGGAAGGAGCGTTTTTAGTTTCCTGCGCATCTGCTTTTGGTCCATGCCCGTGAACTGTTGACTGGGAAGGGCCCCTTAAGTTGTTCTTTGTGGGTTCAGATGTGTGAGAGGTCCTGATGGGGGCTGAGCAAGAACCCTGGGACTCTGACCAGCTAGCTGCCTGCCCCAGCATCCTCTGTCCCTAGTGAACTCAGAGATCAGCTTCAGGGTCTCAGCCCCATACCCCAAAGACCAGGCCCCAGAGGAGGCAGAGCAGGGCCATGCTAGATCAAGAGGCTCCAGGTGCCAACTGACATCCTGATCACCTTCTCCACACACAGGAGGGAGCCAACATCAACAAATCTTTGACCACCCTGGGGAAGGTCATCTCTGCCCTAGCTGAAATGGTGAGTGGGCTCCAGGCTTCTGGAGCTAAATTGGTGGGATGGGCTACAGAGGAGCCTCACCTGTCCCCGAGGAAAAGCTGGGTGTCTTTCACGCGTGTTCCTGGGTTCTATCTTTAGAGAGGTAGCTGGGGCTCAGTGGAAAACTCAGAGATGCGGAGAGTGCCGCAAAGCTGGAAACGAAATAACAATCTAGAATTACTCCCCTGAACCTCAGTTTTCTTACTTCTAAAAAAGGGACGATGGGACGCTTTCATCCTACCTTTCTGAGGGCTACCACATGTCAACTGTGAGCATGTTTGGCTGGCGTCCTTGTGAACGGGTAGCGCAGTGCTTAGCTCCGACCATTGCAGGTCTGGTAAAACCACCCTCTAGAGGGAGCCCACAGTCCTTGGAGGTGAAGAGCTAGGTGTCTCCATAGGACAGTGCAGTCTACACCTCCCCCCTCAAAAAAAATCTAGGGAAGATTCTAGAGTCTGTATCTTATTCTGAAATTATTAAGCGTCGACAAAGATTGCTGTGTGACAACAGCCTGAGAAGTCACACTCTTATGTGTGGCCACTCTTTGTGTTCACACTCTTTGTGTTCACACTTTTATGTGTGGCTACTCTTTGTGTTCACACTCTTTGTGTTCACACTTTTATGTGTGGCTACTCTTTGTGTTCACACTCTTTGTGTTCACACTTTTATGTGTGGCTACTCTTTGTGTTCACACTCTTTGTGTTCACACTCTTTGTGTTCAGGGTGGCCAGCTGTGTCTGGGCAGTGAATGACAGATACCTGGCAGGTACTTGGGCTCCCGCCTGCCATTTGTCTCTCTGGAGCCAGCCTGTCCTCTCTGTCTGCTGTACCCTTGGACCCTAGCCTTGCTCCAGGTTCTCAGACTCTTTCTGTTCTTTGTTTTCCAGGACTCTGGACCCAACAAGGTAAGCTGAGTGTTTCAACTTCAAGGGAGAGGGGTCAAAGCCCTTGGTCCCGGCTCCCTACTGTGCAAATCTCAGCAGTAAACTCGACTCCTCATTCGTTCACTTAGTGAAGAAGCACAGTGCACTTCTGAGCTGGGGATGGGTGCTAACAGCTGGGTCTTAGGATGAACAACCCAAATGACCCCAGAGTTGGGGGGAGGCACAATAAACAGGAACATGAAAATGTAATTGCAAGTTGGAATACATTCTACACAGTGTGGCGGAGCAGGGAGAGTTTTCAATGGTGACCCCAAAGTGAAATCTTTAATCTGAATGGATAGAAATTTTTTTTAGAGAGATACGGCCTCAGGCAGAAGACCTGAGAACTGGCAAGGAGACAGACAGGCAAATGGGTCTGGCATACAGTGGGAGGCACTGGTGTGGGCACTGAGGCCATAGAAGGTTGGTAGGAGTAGGGAACTGTGGGAGACAGTGAGAGGCAACAGGATGGAGAGCAGGTGAAAAACGTGTGGAATTCTGTGAGGAAGAACGTGAAAATGTGAGGGATTGTGTGAGCAGGGACCTGTGTCGGTCACTGTGGAACTCTGTGTGATAGGCTGTACCAAAGCCTGTGAGGAACCACGTGAACGATCCTTACCATAGGGTGGAGGCACACACAACACTGTGAGGAGCCATGAGAAACCTTGAGGGAAAGACCCGGGGAACTCGGGTGCTGGCCGAGACTGACACGAATTTTGAGAAACTGTGGGGCATGAGAGGCATTCCGGGAATATGAGGTGAACTGGTGGTTTTGTGGGGAGCTGCATGGAGATTGTGTGAGGAGTCGTCAGAATGTGGAATTTGTGGAACTGTGCGGAGTTTATGAGCAGTTTCGAAACCAAGTAAGAGTTTTAAAGAAACTGAAGGGAAGCGTGTGTGTATTGACTCTCACTGCGGTGATCTCCAACCACAGCTTGAAAAGGGAAGGGGACTTGCAAGATGGCTCAGCTCTTAGAGGTGCTTGTCACCAAATGTGACTACATGAGTCTGAGCCCTCGAACCTAGTGAAGGCGAGCCGACGCCTGCAAGTTGTCCTCTGACTGCCACATGTGTGTAGCGACACTCCTGTGTGTATACACCTAAATAATTTTTATTTTTTGGTTTTTTGAGACAGGGTTTCTCTCTGTAACCCTGGTTGTCCTGGAACTCACTCTGTAGACCAGGCTGGCCTCAAACTCACAGAGATCCACCTGCCTCTGCCTCCCAGGTGCTGGGATTAAAGATGTGCACCACCACCACCATAAATGTTTTGAAACAGGGAAAGGACTGTTTGAGGATACTGTCCACCATGATGGGGAAGGCATGACAGGAATTCAGGGGGCAGACAGCCATGAATGCCGCAGTTCAGGTCTGTCCTCACTATTCAACCCAGGACCACCTCAACCCTGTGAGAGGAACGGGGTCACATTGGGTCTTCACACTTAGGTGAAATCAGCTAGGAACTCTATCACAGCCAAGCACAGAGACTTGTCTCCTAGACAATTCTAGGTTTCTTTTCCAAGTTGACAGTATTTACGATCATGCTGTAGTCTGTGAGGACCCAAGAGGTGAGCTTTGTGAGGAGCTAGGAAACTGTCTGAGGAAGCATGCCCAGGACTTTTGAGGATTTGTGTGAAGAATTGTGGGGAATTTAATTCTGTGGGCAACTGGATGAATAATAGGAGTGGGTGGAAATAGGTGGAGGAACTGTGCGGGTCTGGGTAGGGAACCTGTGTGAGGAACCGTGAAGAACTGAGAGAATGAACAGGGGAGGGGAGGTCACGGAACTGCAGTTGCTACATCTAGGATTGGTGCCTTATGTGGAAGCTGTGTGAGGAATCGTGTCTAAAGGACCCGTGTGCCTGTGTCTGAAGAGGTGTGAGGAGCTCCGTGGGCAGTCTGTGCGGGAGCTGTGGAGAAGCTGATGAGTTAAGAAGAGCTGTATAGGGTGATGTACTACTGTGCGGGGAGAACAGTGTGAGAGGTGTGAGTGTGTGTGTGTGTGTGTGTGTGTGTGTGTGTGAGTGAGTGTATGTGTGTCTGTGTGAGTGTGTGTGAGGTGTGCAAGTGTGTGTGAGTGTGTTTGTATGTGAGCGTATGTAAGTATGTGTGGGGTGTGTGAGTGTGTGGGGTGTGTGAGTGTGTGTGTTTGGAGTGTGTGTGAGATGTGTGAGTGTGTGTGTGTAAGTATGTGTGAGGTTGTGAGGTGTGCGAGTGTGTGGGGTGTGTGTATGTGATTGTGTGTGTGTGTTTGGAGTGTGTGTGAGATTGTGCGTGTATGTGTGAGTGTGTGTGTGTGTATGTGTGAGATATGTGTGAGTGAGGTATGTGTGAGTGAAGTGTGTGTGTATGTGAGTGAGGTGTGTGTGTGTGTGAGGTGTGTGTAACTTATGAATACTGAAGACTGCATGGGGAAACTGAAAATGGATATTTACACAATGGGTTCTGTGAGAGGTTTGAGGGACAGTAAGAAACCTTTTCAGAGAAAACGTGTAATGAACCTCGAGTGACTGAGAACTGAGAACTGTGTAAGGAGCCATGGACGGACTGGTGTGGAACTTTGAGGATCTGTGTGCACTGCTGTGAGGACCATCTTGAGGAATGCAGTGTGTAATTGGGAGGGGCCGAGTGAGGGCCAGCGAGACAGCAGAGGACCTTGCGAGGACAGTGTAGTGAGCTGTGTGAGGGACCTCGATTAAAAACTCCTAGGAATGGAGTGAGGAACAGAACCTGGAGAGGAAGCAGCTGTTGATGAGGAGGAAGGCCACGGGCCTGAGGATGGGTGTGAGGTCTTGGGTCCACCGTCAGAATTTGGCTATGATTTAGCAGAAAGCAGTGGGTGAATTTTCAGCAGTACTAAGTCAGATTAATCAGGGCCATGCTCAGGCGAGAACGTAGATTACAAAGTATGGTAATACCTTGGGCATATGGTAGTCAGGAGAATAGAAAGTCAGTGTGATAGTGGTTCAGGTTTGAGACGGCAGTGGGGAGGGGAGGAAGGGAGGGAGGAGAATTATTCTGGGAAGTGGCAGAGAAGACTGGACGGCTGGTGGACAGGGCTCCCAGGGGATGGAATGAGAACAGTAGAATAATAGGCTACTGTTGGGCTCCTTGGTTGAAGTGACAGGTGTCAGTTATGGGAACAAAAAAATACAATATATGATAGGGAATTCAACCTCAGGAGCTAAGCATTAGAAAACCAAATCAGAAATACTTTTTCTTGTACTGAGTTTCCAGAGGCAAAACAGGAAGTGCCTTGTGTGGACAAGCTTTGGGGGTGGGTGCGGGGGAGGGGGGATGGCACTGTTACAGGCTGCTGAGAGAGAAGTTGGGGCGACGGTTCTGAAGCCCACTTTGACAGTGTGGTGTAAGGACATCCAAAATGCATCCTGTTGTGAGGTAGTGGAGCTTGTCCTAGGAAGCATCCTAGGAATGACGAGGAACTGTGCCTGCATCCGAGGAAACGGAACAGCCCTTGAGATGGTGCCTGTGTGCTTCCCTTAGAGCTGACCTGCTAGGTTTCCAAGGACTGATATTAACCTTCTCCTTGCTGCCTGAATCCTGAGTGGGGAGAGAGGACGGCTCAGGGGACAGGGGCTGTGTCTGCGGGCCACAACAGATGCTCAATTACCGATTTGCAAACAAATGCACCATGAGCTAGTAGACACTGGGCAGTGACTATGTATCTGTAATTTACAACACTGTTAGGTCCTTTACAGAGTGTCCGTGAGAAGCCAGGGTCAAGAGTATGGAGGGTGCCCATGCACAGGGGAGGCCCAGGAGAGTAAGTTATTAAAGGAGAGGCTCAGAGTTGGCTTCTGAGGGACTGGAGGGTGTTCTGTCAGGAACCGACTGTGTGGATATTGGAAGTGGTGCATTGTGGAGAGAAGTCTTTTCACCCTGCTGGAAGGGGCTGCTGTACTGGCGGAGTAGGGGGAGACACAGTGGCCAGCGATGTCATCATTCCTGGCCTTGAGTCCAGTGAGTGGACCAGACACAGCCCAGTGGGTGAGGGAGGAGCCGGAAGGATGTGCCAGCTTGACCTTGATCCCAGCCCAGATTGGAGTTGCCAGGATTCAGGTGAAGTTTAGGGAGGCGCTGAGAACATGGTACTTGCCTCCTTCCCCACTCCTATTACCTTCTCCCCTCCCCCTTCCGTTCTCTTCCTTCCCTCTGTTCCCCTCCCCTTCCCTTCCAGTAGACACAGACTTGACCTTGAATGTCCCCACAGAACAAGAAAAAAAAGAAGACAGATTTCATCCCTTACCGAGACTCCGTATTGACCTGGCTTCTCCGGGAAAACCTGGGTGAGCATGCACCAAATCCCTGGTCACCTGGCTCTGACTTCCGCTCTGTGCTATACCCATCTCCTTTTGAGGAAAAAACCATTTCATTGTTCAGCCACAACACAGCCTCTTGCCTTTTCTGAGCAAGTCCAAAGTAACCTTGGAAGGGCCAGTTGGTTCACAGCACAGCCCTTCTGGTAGGTCTGGGGCAGAGGTGGGTGAACCAAAGCCAGTTTGAGGGGCCATAATGGCCCTTGGGACCCGCAGACCACATGCCCTGGTGTCTACCTTCTGGGTGAACTTATTTATGACACCTGAACAAGTTCTCTCCCTTCTCTGAATTTTTAGTTTTGTCTGTAACAGGGACCTAGCACTTGGTTCTGGGAGCATTGCTGACCTGCTAGGATTCGAGGGGCTGATATTTGAGGGACCTGAATTCTAAGTGGGGAGAGATGAGAGATGAAGGCTGATGGATGTACAGCACAGAACCCATCCTTTCCAAACTCACCTCAGGGTCCTCTCTGGATGTCTTCGTAAAGACACCCCAGAGTGATAAACTAGATCTTAGGTGGGACTCCCTGGCTCCCTCGGCTACATGACTCTGCACCCCACAACTGGCTACGCTGATGTCCAGCTCAGACCAGCATCGTGTCATGGCAGCCCCAAGTATATGACAGCATGTAGGGCCACATGGGCCGTAGTGAGGACAGGGCTGTTGCCACAATTACCTGTCCCTTCAGCTAGAATGAGATCTAAGTATGAAGCAGGCCTTTCTCATAAGGCCACAGTTTTAGCCCTAGAGGAGGGCCTCAGGGAGAATCCTCTCATATAGATATTCTTAGAGTCTGTGTCCAACCCTTTCTCTCCTCACCGTCTCTATAGGAGACTCACTGGAGAGCCACACCTCAGGAATGTGGCCCCAAGGACACGGTTCTCTGAGGTACAGCAGGCAAGAGCATGGGCATATTGAGGAGAGTACTTCCAACAGAAATGGTAGAAATGAGTCAAAAAAATGTTGGCCACAAATATAGAAATCAATCTCAAAACAAATAAACAGCAAAACAAAAACAAAACAAAATAATAAAAAACCAAAAACGAACTCTCCAAAACTTATCTCTGCTACAAGCAAAAGGGGCCCATGGCTGGAAAATGGCTAATGGGAGCCGAGGGGCAGCCAAGGAACCCCCGACCTGCCACTGTTTCCATCACGCAGGACTGTGTTTCCGTGTCTTCTCTGGGCTTCATCATCTCCACCGATTGTCTTCCCACAGGAGGCAACTCAAGGACAGCCATGGTGGCAGCCCTGAGCCCTGCAGACATCAACTATGATGAGACCCTCAGCACCCTGAGGTATGTTCTGCGGGGGACCCTGGGGCAAGCACATGTCTTTCCATGTTTGGGGCGCATTCTCTAGGAACTCAGAGGCCAGCAGTAAGGTTCCAGAGCTCTAGGGTTCCTATTCTGTCCCTGATATATATACTTTAGAAAACATTTCAGGAGGGCCCCGAGCCCTGCGGCTCCAGGCTGGAAAAGCCATACTTCTGGCTGTGGGAATGGAGGACTTTAAATTAGCAAATAAGGTCCAATGAGCTCTCCCCAAATCTCCCACTATGAGGTGGGCGTTTTGGGACGGGAAGCCGGGTTGCAGGAGGCAGCTTGATTGTCTGGGTTGGGAGTGTCTGGCCTGTATAAAGTGTACACTTCCTGTGGAAAATGGAGCCTGTATCATGGCAAATTCCCAGGGGCTTCTGGGATGGCAGATAGCACGCTGAGCATCGGGCACCCCTGTTCTATCTTGGAATGTCTGATTCAGGTCTAAGGGTTGTCAGTATGGGGTAGGACAGCATGTTGTACCTTCTGTTCCCCATACCTCCTAAGTAGATAAGAAAGACTGTCCCACCTGTAGAACGCTCTTGGACACTGGTCCCAATGGCTATTCTTTAGAGCTGTGGGGTGATTTCTCATTCTGCCAGACTAGGTCAAGGATTTTTCTCCCCAGCTGAACTCACCAGGCAGAGCTCTGAGCACCCTTGGGCCTGCTCTGTGGACCCATCCCCCAACTCCGCTATCCTTTGCTGCCCAGATACGCAGACCGGGCCAAGCAAATCCGCTGCAATGCCATCATCAACGAAGACCCCAACAACAAGCTGATTCGAGAACTGAAGGATGAAGTGACCAGGCTGCGGGACCTGCTGTACGCCCAAGGTCTCGGCGATATCACTGACAGTGAGTGTCCATGGCAGTCTGCCCTGGGTGGGGCAGGGGCCCCAGACGCCTCAGGCCCTCTCTCCTGGGGCTGCCTCCTACTCTTGTGCTGTTGATTGTAGCCACAGTTGTTGGGAAGAGTCGAAGTTGCCCAAAGCCTGATCCCTCCTCCAGCTCCTGGGCAGAATGCCTTGGGATGGGAGGCCGGGGCGGGCAAGGACAGGACAAGGTTTTCTGACCTTGACCTGTGTGAATTGCATGGTTTGGATTTGGAGCTGGCCCAAGCAGGCCAGGGAATGTTTCCTGGAAGCCCCCAGGCCAGCTGCAGCGGCTGGGACTTTGAGGGGTCCTATGTCCCCACCTTGAAGACCTACTTTCCCCTAAGCTTACTCACTCTGTGAGATGGGTATGTGGACCCTTGGGGACAAACTGCTCTGTTTCTCTGTCTCTTCCTCCCCTGCCTGCCCTCCCCATAGCCAACACTGTGCCCGGAGGACCCAAATGTGTGTATTCCCCACTGCTGCTCGGCACCCCTGCTTTCATCCCGGCCATGGGGGCCACAGGGCAGCACGGGTGGGGAGGGAGGTCCCACCACCTCTTCTGCCTCCCCCATGAACGTTCCTGGTTCATCCCTGTCTGCGTGGGAAACTGAGGCAATAAATAGGCAGAATGCAGTCAAAAGTGGCTGGGGCTAGACTTCTGAGCACCCATGGGCCGAGAAAGGTCAGGTGTTAGAGCCTGAGGAGTTGGAGGGTCATGCTATCCCGGCTCTTGGCCCGGACCTACCTCTGTCTGCTCCTGCTCCACCTAGCCTCACATCTGGGTCCCTGAAAGTTTCTTGAGGCTGAACGTAGCAATGGTTGCTGCCGAGTCCTGCCCCACAGTATCTCCTCCATCCTGAGATCTGAATCCTTGGGGTTCACTTCCCCAGTGCCCCGTGCTGTCCTGTGTTGGCTGCTGCTTTGCTGTGTGTCTGCTTCTACTGGAAAGGGCCTGGCACGTCTCCTCCAGGTGCCACAGCCCAGCCTCCCATCTGTAAGGGTGGTGGAATTCTGGGGTGGCGGAAGAGTAGGGGCTCCCTCATGCGTGTCCTCCTCGCACCCTCTCCAGGTAGTCTTTGGGCCCATTCTGGGTTCAGTGGGATGAGGAATACAGCTTGGCTCGCAGTGAAGGTGCAGCCCATGCACAGAAGATGACAATGAACCTTGGGGTGTAGGGGGGACAGGTGCCCGAGTGAGCTGAGGTGAGCTCCTGGCCTCAGGTGCAGGATGCTGTGAAGTGGCTAACAGGCATGGACAGCGAACGCAGGTGCAGGGGCTGCATAAAGGCCCCAGTCAAAGGGAGAGTGGAGTGGTATATGTACAGAAGGGGGATGGGATGTTAAGGGAAGAGAGGGCCCGTGGGTCAGACAGGCAAGCGGCAGGGTTGTGGGTAGCAGGAGACCTTGCATGCGCTTGTCCTGGGCAGCTGGGCCAGGCTGCTGTGCCTTGCCTGTGTTTCCCATTTCTTGCCTTCTCCTGACCCCGCCTCTTGCTTTCCCCAACTGCTTCTTTCTCTTTTCTCCCTTTCTCTCTTGCCTTCATCTCACGTCTTAGACATGCCTGATCTTGAAAACAGTAACCGTAACTGGGGGCGGGGCCGAGCTAAGCCAAGCCCCTAACAATCTCTTCACAGTGACCAATGCCCTGGTGGGCATGAGCCCCTCATCTTCGCTCTCAGCCCTGTCCAGCCGTGCGGCCTCTGTGTCCAGTCTCCACGAGCGCATCTTGTTTGCTCCAGGCAGTGAGGAGGCTATTGAGAGGTTGAAGGTGAGGGCCACCTGATCCAGGGCACTCCTGGGTGGGCGATGGGCGTCAGCCTGTAGGACAAGGTAGGCTTAGAGGGGTGAGAGAGGACTCTTGCTTGTGACCTCTGGGTCACCCCTTAGGTATGGCCTCACCTCTCAGGATCAGCATGATATAATAATGGAAGTCTTTGGCATGTGGCCAGCCTGGTGCGCTGTGGCCAGCCCACCCACAGCAGCCAGAACAGCTAGTGCCTTCAGGCACCAGACCGAACCAGGTTCAGATAACGAACAGAGCCACTGGGCAGTGAGTACCTTTGAAGGTTCTTGAACCTCTCTGGATGGCCCCGACCCTGAGTGCTAGGGGAGGGAAGCCCAAGTGTGGAATGTCAGGCACGGGTGGGTGAGCAGGCGCTGGTAAAGGGAACAGTGGACTTTGTAGTGACCGAGGTGGGGGTGTCCTGTCCCAGCAGAACCTCTATAGTGCCACTGTGGGTCCTGGCAGCTCCGTCTGGCGTTCTGTCAAGCTGCTTTCACCAAGAAGGGAGGTGGATGTTCAGGCTCTTAGCCACTTCCAGGCTGTTGGTTTTTCCTCTCAGACGAGGTTCCTGCTCCCCAACACTGTGCTTGGCTAACCCCAGCCCCATACTCCCTCCGAATGCAGGGTGGTCTGCACAGAGAGCCCAGTCCGTAGGGGCTGAGGGACCAGGGAGACAAGGGGCAGAGGCCAGCGTGAGTAGTAATATAGGGTGACCAAGAAGGAAGCAGCATAAAGCTCTTGAGGTGTGGGGTAGATGGCCTGTTTGGGACTTGGGGGCCCAACTGAAGTATAGTTGGGGGGCGTGGCTAGGACATAAGTGGGAAGGGAACAAGTGCAGTGCCATTGTAGAGAAGTGAGGCCATGCCCATAGAAGGGGCTATTACGTTTGGTAGCTGCTCCCAGTGTTTCCCAGGGGCACTTGCTTCCTCTCTGCTCCTGATTTATTTTGCTGTCCTTGTTCTATGGGGTGAAGTCTGTTGTACTTCTCCTTGATCCCCCAGAATCTCACAGGCTGGGAAGCGCCTGGGTGTCTGAGCCCCAGGGCTCTGCAGCCCCGTTCCTAACTGCCCTACATCCTTGAACGCCCCACCCCACATACATGCAGACACTCCCTGGGATCTCACCATGCTCTGTCTCACTCCCCCAGGAAACGGAGAAGATCATTGCTGAGCTTAACGAGACCTGGGAGGAGAAGCTGCGGCGGACAGAAGCCATCCGAATGGAGAGGTGAGCCGAGGGTGGCTGAGAACAGGCCTGGGAGCCCTGGAAACCCAAGCCCTGGGGGAGGTTGCATGCTAGCCATGGGACAAATCTATACTGTCTGACCCAGGCAGCTAATGTGTGGCACTGGCCACTGGCCATTGCGGCCTTGAAGAACAGATCTGTGGGTGAGGACAATCCCATGGGTAGACGCTGCCTAGGCACTGCTGATAGTTCCTGGTTGGTGGGTGGGTCAGGCAGGGTGGAGCTAGTCCTGGAATCCTCTGCGTTTGTGCTGACCGCAGGTCTGTCTTCCAGGGAAGCCTTGCTGGCTGAGATGGGTGTGGCCATGAGGGAAGATGGTGGCACTTTGGGTGTGTTTTCTCCCAAAAAGGTAGGAACCGAATCGAGTGCCAGTGTGGACAAGGTGACACTCGCACTGGTGGACATCCAGTGGGGAGTTCTGGGGGAAGGTGTAGTAGGGTGGGGTTCTGGCCCAGGCATGAATTAGCCTTACTTAGACTTTCCATTGTGTGGTGGGACATCCCGGTGGCTGGGTGACATCATGTGGGGCTCTGAACTGTTTGAGGTTTAGACTAGATCCTTCAGAACTGGAACAAGACTTGAGGGTAATGTCCAGGCTGCAGAGCTGAGTGTTATGGGCCTATCCTCACTCTGAATCTGCTACTTCTGGAAGTTTCTGGCCTTCTTTCCTAGAGCAGCTCCACGGGCTGCAAGGCCAAGTGGCAGAAGTCCAGAAGAATGGTGCTGGTTCAGTCATAGCCAGTTTCTAGGCCCTGCTTTGTGTTAAAGAAAGGCTGCCTTGGGGGAAGTGGAGTTAGCGACTTAGGCATCTGAGAGATAGAGCCAAATACCCATGGTGCAAACTCCCTAGATTCTGCTGTGCTGCCTTGGTCCAGGACTGCTTAGAAACAATGTATCACATGACAGCTTGAAGTGGCAGGCTGAGAGACATGAAGAGAGGCCCAGGCCGTCTGTTCACTGTGTGCACACAGAGCGGTTGAGGACAGTCGGTGCCCAATGGTCAGAACTCTACACCCATGCTTCAAAGTGCACTTGGATTTATAGTTTAGCGTGGCAGTGACTTACTCAGGGTACCTTGAGGGGAAACAGGAAAAAGTTCTGTCCTGGCACCTCTTCCCTGTTACAGGACCCTCGTCTAGGACACAGGTATAAGATGGCTCCAAAGAAGCTTGCAGGAGGGGGCTGAGGCAAGAATGACCTAGGACAGGAGGCAGAAGGCGGCCATCAATGGGTGTGGTAGACAGGAGGCAGACACCTTGACCTGGAGTTGGGACACTAACATGCAGGTCCTGGGTTGCTCAGTAGTGACTCCATCAGCTGATTCTTCCCAGGCCTCCAGGGAGACCCTTCTTGACCAAGGCCCTCGTTCTTCTTGCTGATAGTTTTGCTGGAGAGTCTTTGATTCCCGGTTGTCCCTCTGATATGAGCTTCCCGGACCAGCTGTGTGTGGTGCAGAGTCAGGGGCCTAGGACTCTTGAGACCAACCCTGGAACCCGTCATGCACCCTACACATCCAGGATTTCCAAACACAGATTCTATCTAAGCTTTACCTGGGTCCTCCAAGAACTGGGAGCTGGGTCTCCCAGATCCCCCTGCAGCCCAGCTCCCCACAAAATATTCAGGCCCCACCGAGCCTGCTGTTTTCAAGATGGGCTGAGCCTGGGCCTGGAGCTTTGTTTGTCTTTCATTTTTCTGACGAGGAGTTGCCTATCTGTGAGGCCAGTTGAGCTTCGGACTCGGGGGTTCTGGGTGCCCCACTAAAGGTTTCCGGGGGGATCCTTGCCCTCCATGTCTCTTTTCTTCTCCGCCAGGCTGGGTAGAGCACTATATCCCCAACAAATCCGGTTCTGAGAATGGTGGTACTTTGGTGTCTGAGCAGAGGGCACGCAGGATGGCCACTGTGAGGACTCTGCTCCTCCCCAGGAGAATGACCTTTCTGTTTCTTCCCAGACACCTCATCTTGTCAACCTAAATGAGGATCCGTTGATGTCAGAGTGCCTCCTCTACTACATCAAAGATGGAGTCACCAGGTAGGTGCTGGATTGTCAGGTAGAGGAAGGGTAGCCAGCTGAGAAGATCACAAAGTGAGGGAGCAATAGCATCTCCAGCCAGCCTGGTTCTAGTGGGTTGGGGAGTGCGGGTCCCCTGTTCCCACTATTCTGTGCTGTCCCTTAAGAGCTGAGTTGGGTATTAGCCCTACATGGCCCGCAATGCTTTCTAAGTGTCTCTAGGAGCCATCTGGATTTCCTATAGCTGGGCTGCACTGACGGGGCGGGGTCTCTTGCCCACTCTCATTTCTCCATGTTCCCACAGTCCATATACCCTGGTATTTAAAAATAAAAACAAACATGAAACAAACAACAGCAAAAACAACAGCAAAAGCCAGCTGGGCATGCCCAGGAGGCTGCATGCAGGAGTAAGTCAGGCAGAGTGAGTGTGCCGGGGCCCCGAGGCTGTGCTACCTCGTGATTCCTCAACAGAGTGGGCAGAGAAGATGCAGAGAGGCGGCAGGACATCGTCCTGAGTGGGCACTTCATCAAGGAGGAGCACTGCATCTTCCGGAGCGACTCCCGGGGAGGTGGAGAAGGTAGTGTCGTCCTGCCTCACCCTACCACCAATCCTGCCCCCATATTTCTAATCAATATAGCACTAGCAAGACCTAGTAGCTCAGCCCTTGAAGGGTAGGACACTAACTATCCACTCAGCTTCTTAGCTCTAATCGTGCTTCTGGACAGAACTGTATGAGCCTTGAGGACAGCTGAGTGATTAGAAAGGTGTTTGGGAAAGGCCTGGCGACTCCTGTGGCCATGTAGCTGTTGCTCTTGGGGAGCCAGCTGCCTGGACTGGAGCCCAGGGTCATGGTGGGATCACGGGACAAGGACGGTGTTGAGTATGTCAAGTAAGCAGGCAGGGATGTATATGGGCAGAGGGACAGCGGGCCCCAAGGATGGAGCCCACTCTAGGGTTGATGTGGTTTTGAGAGCATGCTCTCCTGTTGGCTGGGAAGCAGCTGTCTGTTTTCTCTGCCTACCACAACCCTGTAGAAGATGGTGACGCCTTGGTGCTGGGCCTGCCGTGCTGGTGTGCAGACACTGGGTCCATGCCTCTGCCGGTGTGCAGGGCTGGTGTTTTAGCCAGAAAGCATCCAACTAGATCTATTATTGAATCCCTATCTAACCTGGCCACCTTGGGGCGTGCTGGGGATAATTGCCACTCCTAGATTTTCCTGTCCACAGATTTCCATTTCTCTCCTGTGCAGATGAGCCAAAGGGATCTAGAGCCTACTGTTACATGTTAGCCGCTCTTGTTCTTGTCCACTTAGAGACCTGAATAAGAACACGAGAAGTCAAGCCTAGCATGGCCTCCACAGCTTTGACCTTGGCTCATGGGTCTCCTTGACTAAGTGATGTGACCCTTGGGTTCATCCAGGGGTTCTTACTCATATGAAATCAGGTTTTCTATGGCCAGCCGGGAATGAGGAACTTGACTGGTGCCTGCCAGGGGCCAGGAGAGCTGAGCCACTGAAGTAACGGCTTCTTACAGTGTCCCTCTTATCTGTCTTGCAGCCGTGGTGACCCTGGAGCCCTGTGAAGGAGCTGACACGTATGTCAATGGCAAAAAAGTCACTGAGCCCAGCATCCTGCGATCAGGTATGGCTGGGAGCACTCGGGGACTGTAGGGTAGACAAGGCGAAGCCTTGGTGCTTGTCCTCTCTGGCACAATTTGCTCCCAACAAAAGGCAGCATTGTTATGAGCAGCCCCTGAGACCCTCTAGTCCCCAAACTCGGCACTTGAAGACTAGAGTGCCTGGACCTGAGACTAGAAAAACAGAGGGGTTCCCACTCACAGGATACTGGGTTAATGCAGAGTGGGAGGTCCCAAATGGTCACTTTGATGGGCTATGCTCAGGAGAGAGGGCCAGCAGGCACACTGGCCACACTGTGGTACTACAGAACGGTCAATGTGAGACAGGTTCGTGCTCTCTTCAACACCAATTTCCTGGGATTGAATCCTATAATTTCCACCCTGCTGCCATAAAAACCACACACACGAAGGTGTTAAAATCTCTTTCAGGAAAGCCATATAAGATATATAAGGTGGGTCCCTGGATGATGTAGCTCTTGCCTGCATGATGGCCTAAAGACAGAGCTGGGCACATGAGTACTGAAATATACACACACGTGTTAGGAGCTATCTCAAGACACTGACTTACAGGAGAGTCAATCACCATCTGTTGCTGAAACAAAGCATCCGAGGAAACCATTTAGGGGAAAGGATTGCTTCTGGCTCACAGTTTCAGAGGCTCCAGCCCCATCTTCACTGCTTTGGGCCTGTGGTAGTAGGAGCATCATTGTGGGAGGGTGGGTGAAACGGAGCTGCTCACCTCTCCGTAGCCAGGAAGCAGAGGCAAGAATAAGAAGGTTCTGGGAACAGACACACCCTTCAAAGACATATGCTCTACTTCCTCCAACAAGTCCTGCCCCCAGTCACTCACTCATCCTCCAGTGAACTCACCGATAGATTAATCAGCCAGTGAAGTTAGTAGTCTCATGATCCGGTCGCCACTCAATAGTGCCACTGGCTGGACCCCTAGCCTTCAACATATGAACCTTTGAGGGAGACGCTGTACTGAACCCACAGCATTCTCCTCCTAGTCCCCCAGGCTGTGCCCATCTCACAATGCGAAGTGTATTCCGTCTGTCTCCAAGAGTCTCCACACACTTAAAGTTCCATCATTGCTTAGGAGCCCAAGTGTAAAGTGTCCTCTTAGGCTCAGGCCAAACTGTGGCGAGCCCATGTAACACCAAAATGGAAATGACACACTTCTGGTACATGATGGGACAGGGTGTACATTCCCATACTGAAGGGGAGGAAAAGAAAATTAGCCAGGAGGAACAGGCCTAAAGCAAGACAAAAACTCAGCAGGGCAAACGTCAAAGCCCATAGCTCCAGGTTTAGAAGCTAAGACATGTGGCGTACGGTGCAAACTTCAAAGGCCTCTGTAGCCTCATCCCTCTGACCTCTTCTGCTGTAGCCTACAAGGCTTATCTCCTGGGAAGGCTCTGCTGTGGCTCATGGCTTTCCTTGGAAGATGTTCTGTGTTCTGGACATCTCTAGTATACTGGGGTCTTCACAGAAACACAGCATTTACTCTCACGGCTCTATACACTCTCCTCTCAAGGTCTGCCTGTGAGGTATATAATTTCTATAATATATATTTAATATATTATGTATTATAAATATATGAAAAATATATAAAACTAACCTCTCCAAACTTACTTTGAAATCTGTTTGGAAGCCTCTGTAACTTCCAACCATAACTCTTAATGGTTCACATATCTGCAAAATCATCATCGCTTGGACAATGCTAAAACCCACTGCCAGCTTGAGAGGTATCTGGGCCTGCTTGGGTCATGGCTGCAGTGGCCACTGAGTGCCTGGATGATTGGACACAGGGAAGTACTTCCTGAGACAGGCTGTGTACACACCTCCCTTGGCTCTAGCATGTCAATGTGCTTCTTTTCTACTAAAACTTCCAAGTTTTAAAATCTTTCTGCTCTGGTTGTTGCTCCCCAATCTTACTGTAAACGTGGCTAGAAGCAGCCATTGAATAGTTGCTAGATGCTATGCTGCCTTGAAATCCCTTCCACCAAGTTAATGTCTGGCACTTTGACATTCAGCCTCTCACGTGGTCTTAGAACATGGACAACATGTAGCCATGTTCTTTGCCAGGACATAGTGTGAATAACGTCTAGCCCAAGTTCTCGTGGAATCCTGTTCTCATCTGAAACCTCACGAGTGGTCTACATCTGATCTCCAATCAATGTTCAAATCCTTTGAACTTCACCTTATAGCATCCTGGGACTCTAAACGTTAGCCTGTGTCTCTAAACGTTACCAATTCCTCCCATAAAACCTAAATCACATAGTCAAGAGGATAGATTTGGGAGACAACAAGGGGCCCATTCCAAGGAGAAAGGTGATTTGGAGCCAGGGTTTGGGGGGCTGGATGCTCTTCCCGAGGTAGGTGATGCTAGGGTACCCGGGCAGATGAAGTACCTGCACCCCTTGCTCCCTTCTCCTCCCACCCTCGAGGGCACCTGGAACCCACAGGTACCCCAAGGCTGGCTTTGCCTCCATCTCCCAGGGAACCGCATCATCATGGGCAAGAGCCACGTGTTCCGCTTTAACCACCCTGAGCAGGCCCGCCAAGAGCGTGAGCGAACCCCCTGCGCAGAGACGCCTGCCGAGCCAGTGGACTGGGCCTTCGCCCAACGGGAACTGCTGGAGAAGCAGGGCATCGACATGAAGCAGGAGATGGAGCAGAGGTGAGGCCTGGGGGCGGATGCCCGCCTGCCAAGTCTCATGGCCTTGTGTTCACCCGATGCTCTCTTGCAGACTCCAGGAGCTGGAGGACCAGTACCGGCGAGAACGGGAGGAAGCCACATATCTGCTGGAGCAGCAGAGGCTGGTAAGAATGTGCAGCCGTCTTTCCAGGCCCCTATAGGCTCTAGCCCACTGGGAAGGCAGCTCTCTGCTCCCTCTGGCCGTGCTCCCTGCTGGCCTGGTCCCTCTTTTGCACTCCAGTGGGCTAGGGTGAGACTGTCTCAGTCATAGGTAAAGCCACAGGCCCTCCCTATCTCTTCAGGACTATGAGAGTAAGCTGGAGGCCCTACAGAAGCAGATGGATTCCAGGTACTACCCAGAGGTGAATGAGGAGGAGGAAGAACCAGAGGATGAAGGTAAGGACTCAAGATGGGCTTATCTCCTAGCAACAGGACCGAAAGAGCAGGGGCCATGGTGTAGGAGAGTCTTCTTGCTATGTGTTGCTTTCAGTGGTCAAATAAAGAAACTGCCTTGGCTTTTTGCTAGGGCAGAATTTAGATAGGTGGAGTAGACCGAACAGAATGCTGGGAGAAAGAAAGCAGAGCCCCGCTCCTTTTACTACAGGCCCAGGTGGCTCTCTGGAGGTCTGAACTTTTGCCCTGGGAGGTAAACCACCTTCATTCTGGGCACTATCATACTGGCAGGATTTGGGAGGTTGTACTGAAGGAGTGACCACATATCTCACGCACACAGACACATGTTTGTTAGTGGAGTGGGCCAGAACCATGAGTGCTGACGAGGGCTCTCCATGCTCACTGTGTGGTATGTGGAGACCACCAAAGACCTGGTTCACTCTGCATCTCAACTAAGGGTTTCCCTTTTCAGGAGGGCTTCGTGAATAGAGGGTGTGTGAGCCTCTACTCTGCCCTTCCTCTTCCTCTCCCACGAGTGCCCATCCCCACTGCCAGCCCCGCAAGGCAGGTGTGGCTATCACTGGTGATATGGCCTCTCTGAGCTGCTTTGACTTCCAACCTATTAGGGAAGCTCATTTCGGGGGCCCACTTAATCTTTGGGTGACCTGGGGGCATGTTCACACTACTTATTCGACCGGTCTCTCTGTTGGGGTCTCCTTTCTCCTTAGTATGAAATCAGGAATGCGAGTCTGGGGACCCCAACCCAATATGGCAGGGACTGATCAGAGGAGCCTTTATCTGGGAAGAGAGGGTTAGAACCCAGTCAGTCTTCCAAGTTAGCCTGCCCTTCAGCATCTATCTCTGGCTACATTGACCACGGAAGGGCTACTCTTTATTTAACAGACCAGCTATAGTGTAGACCGGGTCCACTCAACTGGTCCTGTAACATTCCCAAGCCATCTTGATTTTTCGGGTCTCAGGTTGTGGTAGGCTATATTATGGCTTTCTTTGATGACGCCCATGGCTTCTCCCATAGTCCAGTGGACCGAGAGGGAGTGTGAGCTGGCACTATGGGCCTTCCGGAAATGGAAGTGGTACCAGTTCACTTCTCTACGGGACCTGTTGTGGGGCAATGCCATCTTTCTGAAGGAGGCCAACGCCATCAGCGTGGAGCTAAAGAAGAAGGTAGGAATCCATCAGAGGAGTTGGGTTCCTCATGAGTGATGGGCTAGTTGCTTATAGTCACAGCCCTAGAACTAACTGGGGCTCTTTGCCTGAACTAGGTACCCAGTGTGGGTGGTTGAAGGAAGCCCTGGAACTGGCTTTGCTTGGGAATCAACAAGCAATGGTGGGAACCGGGGTTGGAGTGTCAACCATTTTTCCATGACTGGTTGAATTGTTTGGTAGACTATGGAATATAGAGCTGCAATCTCAGTGGCGTGGGGAGAAACCCCCTGGAAACCTGGCTCCCTCTCGGCAGGGAGTAGATGAGCATCTTCTCCCCTTACAGGTCCAGTTCCAGTTTGTCCTCCTCACAGACACCCTCTACTCCCCACTGCCGCCAGACCTACTGCCTCCCGAAGCTGCCAAAGATCGAGAGACACGGCCCTTCCCCCGAACCATTGTGGCAGTGGAGGTCCAGGATCAGAAGAATGGGGCCACCCACTACTGGACGCTAGAGAAACTCAGGTGCAGCTGATGGGCAGTGAGGTGGATGGTGGACGGGTGTCTTCCCCAGGGACAGAAGCAGACTGGGGTGTGCTTCACCACAAAGCCAGCGTGTCTCTGGGGGACTGGAAGGTGGCTCAGTGCCTCCAGTCAGGTCTGTGCCAAGGACCTTAGAGATGGGGTGGGGGGTGGAGGGCTGGCTTCTCCACTCTGCATGCCTGAAGGAAATCAGCCCCTCAGCCCCCAGAAGACTGAGGATTTGGGCAGGTGGAAGGGCATCGGTAGTGCCCCACCATTACTGACGTTTTCCACTGCTCGTGTGTTATAAGAGTGCTTCTGCCTCCTTAGACTCCTCCCCTAATTCATGCCAAGTCTTCACATGTGAAGGTGACTGGGTAATGACATAGACATCTGCCACGAGAAGGGTAGAATGTACTCACAGCCCTGGAAATGGAGGCACAAAACAGGCCCATGACTGGGCACCAAGGCAGGCTAGGAGTGAGAAACCCCAGTGTTCCTTGGACTGCTGAGGAAAATGTGGAGCAGCTGGTCTCTATGGACCAGCTCCCTGAAATTAGGCCGGCCTTGAGCTAAGGATCTTCCTAGTTTCTCACTGTCCATGGTGATTGAAGGCAGAAAAAACACTGGTCAAGTGCGTGAGATCTTAGGAAGAGGGGAGGTGGGTGTGGACTTGGGGTCTGAGGGTTTGTATGTAGAAGGCAGGCTCACAAATGCGTTGTTAGTTATCTCTCAGGATTAGATAGAGCAGAGGTTCTCAACCTGTGGGTCTGGACACCTTGGGGACGAATAACCCTATCACAGGGGTCACCTAAGACTACTAGAAAACACAAATATTTACATTTACAATTCATAACAGTTGCAAAATTATGGTTATGAAGTAACAACAAGAATAATTTTATGGTTGGGGGTCACCACAACATGAGGAACTGTCTTAAGGGGCCGCCATATTAGGAAGGTTGAGAACCGGTCAGTCAGGCCTCCTGCAGACTGCAGAACATTATTAGTAGGCACACCCTTTTCTTGTTCAATTTGTGTGTGCCTCCGGGCTCCCCATCCCTCCTGTGCTCTAGGAAGTCAGGCCGAATATAACACCATCCAACACCATCCGTAGTGGATGCTTATCTTCCTAGAAGGCAAACTCTGAGCCCTCTAGAGAGCACAATCTCATTTTCTTCCTCCTACATTTTGTCCTGCCCGGGGGTGGGGTGAGATTTAAAAATGCTTTGTGGTCTCCATTCCCTTTCCTGCCTCACGGCACAAGCTTTCAGGGCTGTGTTACCAAACCCGGTTCTGAGTTGCTGTAGGGTGTCTCCCCCACATCTCTGTTAGCTCTCCGGCTGTGCCCTGCCTTGTCAAGTCCGTTCAGCTCACCTTTGCCATCACCGGGGAGGACTTGGGAGGCAATTGGGGTGACCTGCCATTCTCATGGGTTTCCTGTGGATGCCGAATTCCAAGGACCACACGGGTTTCTAGCTGGCAGACCTCTGAGCCTGTGACCCTGATAGGACAATGGTGACGGAACCAAGCTGAGTCTGATGCCCTAGGAGGAATGGAGTGCCAGGCTACTTCTGGACACTGGTCTGAGACTACATGGTCTTTGAACCCCGACAGGCAACGCCTGGACCTGATGCGGGAGATGTATGACAGAGCCGCAGAGGTGCCCTCCAGCGTCGTTGAGGACTGTGACAACGTGGTGACCGGCGGGGACCCTTTTTATGATCGCTTCCCCTGGTTCCGGCTGGTGGGCAGGTGGGCACCTCCTCCCTGTCCTTGAGAGAGAGAGAGAGAGAGAGAGAGAGAGAGAGAGAGAAAGAGAGAACGAGCACACACAGTGGGGTCAGAGCCCAGACCCTGAGCCGCCCTGCCCTGAAGTCAAGAAAAAACCATGTTTCACTTTTATCCCTTCCCTCTGTCATTCCTCATCATGCACCTGTAGGCCCAGCTTTGTTAGGAGACCTAGGGTGGCATCTTGTCACTACTGCGATATATATCCATGAATGTGTGTGTGTGTGTGTGTGTGTGTTGCCCAAGCACACAGGGGCCTAGAGCAGGCATTCTAAGTCACTAGTGTCTTGGGGGTGGGAACACAGAGTCGAGATTAGAGACTACCGGCTCCTTCCTTGTTTTCCAATCTGGTGTCTGTATCTAGTCTCCAACCCCCATGTCATCCAAAGAGGTCCTCAAAGAGCTTTGGCTATGGCCAGCCTGGACCCTTGTTCTCGCTCATACCTGTTGGTGGTGCTTTCCAGAGCCTTCTAAGAGTGGCTTCTGTTGTTGTTGCTAGTTTGGGGTGTTTTGTTTCGTTTCCTCTTCCCAGCCCTGAGACTGGGTGCCTTTTCGTTCCTTGTCTTTTAAAGCAGCGTTCCTTGATGGTTGGTGCTTGGTTTGAAACAGAAGTCCTCCTTGTCCCGCCCCACCCCGCCCCACCTTCCCCAGAGTAGCTGGTGTTAACCTCTTTCTGTCTTGTCGCACTAACCTCAGTTCAGTCATCTCTGGCTGCAACAGCTACCCTCTTCTCAACACATGCATGAGCGAGCGCATGGCTGCTCTCACCCCCTCCCCCACCTTCTCGAGCCCCGACTCCGACACCACCGAGCCTGCCGAGGAGCAGAGCGTGGGGGAGGAGGAGGAGGAGGAGGAGGAGAAGGAGGAGGAGGAGGAGGAGGAGGACCTGGAGGACGACGTCTTTCCGGAGCACACGCTGTGCGACGGCCGGGACCCGTTTTACGACCGGCCCCCCCTGTTCAGTTTAGTAGGAAGGTTGGTGAGGTTGAGGCACGCATGCTGGGGAGGAACCAGCTCTTTTGCATAGAAGCACTGCTGTGGCAATCGTTCGGGTATCAGGGCAGACACCGGACCCTCTGGGCCAGGCAGGCTAGGGCTAGCCTCTGAGGGAACTGAGAAAGCCAGGCTTCCTTGTGTCTTCACAGCGGGATATATGCACATCTAGAAGATGGATACTCTGGCTCAGCGGGGAAGAGTCTGGGGCCAGTGGCAGAGAGGCTGGGGCTTGGAGTACAGAGCTATAGCCAAGAGCTCCCCATGCCCACTCTGGGTGGCTGGGATGGTTCCTGTAATGGCCATAAGAAGTGACCAAGATTCCGTGACCCCTTGGGCAGGGTTCAAGGGGCATTTGAGAGGGGAAGAAAGATATCCCCAGGAAGGATGCTCCAAAACCTTGTCTTGGGAATTTGCTTTATTCAGTTGAGGTGCCTTCTGCTTATTCCACTGCTGTCCAAAAAGAAGGTACACTATGTATTCAATGCTACTCTGTTCTGAGAAAAAGAGGCAGGCTGTGAGTCACCCAGGGCAGGGGAGGAAGGGCCTCCACCTGTCTGCCTTAATTTTATGGTGCCTAGCAGGTGAGAACAGTTTCAAGCTCCTGACCGGCCAGGCCAACATGACGAGACGGGCACATGCCCTTTGCAGAGAACCTCCAGCTGCTTACTTTCTGGAATAGGTGAGGGAGGCTGAGGTTGAGGGAGTGGGCTACAGGGAGGCCGGTCTAGTTGCTGGCTTCAGCAGTAAGGCACATGACTTCAGACACGCTAGGGTTTGTCGCCTACCTGTGTGGAACGGCTGCAGTCCTTCTGTGTCCTTTGCTGGAGTTTAAGGTTGATTCTCGGACAGTGGGAGTTTTAGAACTCTTGATCTTGGGGCACAAGTTTTGAAAGTTCAAGGCTGAGCATGGTCCCTTACAGACTACGGACTTTCCACGTCGTTCCTTCCTTCCTTGAATGGAGGTGATGGTGTGAGAGCCCCTCTCCCTTTCAGGAGGTAGCAGGTCCCATATCACTGGCCAGGAACTTCTCTGATTTGTTCTCCTAACTGTCATTGGCTGATGTTAGCCATGATGAGCTAGCCAGCTGCACACCAATGGGTAACCTCTCCGTCTGAGGTACCCTGGGTCTGGACTTCCACCCCGCTGAGCCTGAGCAAGAGGTACAGATTGCAGGCCAGCTCTACACAGGCTCCTCCCAGTGAGCCTTGGGCTATAGTATCAGACCTCCCATGCCTGCTAGGCCCTGGGTGTGGTTCTGGGTGTCAGGTAAACAAGGGGTCAGGAGACAAAGGACAGTGATATTGAGGAGACATGGGGTATGGGCTCTGCAGTCTTGTGAAAAGAGCTGGGTCCTTCCAACGTTGTTTCCCCCTCTTGTGGATTTGAGATTTCACAAAATGACCAAACTTAGCACAAATCATCCATGAGAGGCCCGGGCCCCTGTATTGTGGGGTGCTCTATGCAAGGCTTCATTTGGCAATATCCTGACCTTTTTGGTTTGGCAAGAATTGGCTTCTCCGCACAGCAGCTATGCAGGCCCAGCCCTGAGGAGGGCTTCACCTTGGTTTTCCTTTTACCCTCTGGTAGCTGCTGGCTCTCTTTCCAAAGCTTAAGCAAAATTGGGGTGCCCACTCTCGTCCCCTCTGGAAAGGCTTCCCGGGGTCCCAGCATGCGTTTCTGCACCTCACCAATCTGTGGTTAGCGCTGCCTCCTCCCTCCTGCCTCGCCACACGTGCCGCTCTGCCCGTCCTGCCCTCCTCTCCTCTCCTCTTTTGGGTGTTTAAGTCTGCTTCAAGGTACTCTGGATCTGGGCAGTCATCTCATGACTATAACCAGGGAGCCCCTTCTCACATCCCAGGTCTCTGATGGTTAGGTGTCAGGTGGCCTGGGGATGTGGTTGAGTTGGCTGGTGAAGTGGGCTCAGAGGCTCCCATTTTCTACTTCACACACATCCAGAAGATGGGGGCAGGGAGGCAGGCACTGGAGAGAGGGGGATAAGGGTTGAGGGTATGGGGGCCAAGATCTGGGGAAGGGTACCAGAAGGGTAAATGTTGACCCAGCAAGAGGCTCGGGAGGGTACTAGAGGGGTAAATGTTGACCCAGTAAGAGGCTGCACCTGATAGCTCCATGCAGCCCTGAGTCTCTTAGCTCCATGCTGGGCCTCCTTATCTGCCCCGCCCCCCACCATCATGGCCAGTGTGGCTGTGACACTATTCTTCTGACTGAGAGCAGCTGGGTGTTCGACTGATGTGGCACACTGAGGTTGGCAAGGCTGTGTTCTGACCCTGTAGTGGCTTACACTGTCTTCTAGTTGTTTCTAGTGCCCAGAGAACAGGTAAGATGAAGGCTAGAGTCTATTGTCCCCCTGAGCAGTGTCTGCCTGGGTGCCCTCATCTCCCAGGTGTGCCGGCTGAATGCGTTCTACTCAGAGTGGGGCACAGAAGCCTTCCAGATTCAGCTTGTGGCCCCTTCAAAACCAGTGCTGCCCCTCAAAGCCAGTCCAGGCCCAGAGATCTCTTTTAGCAGAATAACCCCACCACAGTGCCAGCTGGGCTGGGTTGGTCATGTAGATCGTGTAGAGAAAAGGGGGGCATTGCATCATTTTTGTCCTCACCAACATCTGACCCCACAGCTGCAGCTGGACCCACAGTTCCCATGTGATTTGTGTGGGGATCATGATGTCAGGGAGGATCCGGGGCTTTGGCCACAAATGGGTCTCTTTCCATTGACCCAGCCTCCAGTGAGAGATTAGGGTTAAGATTAGAAGTGGGTGATATTGTTCCTACAGCTTGAATGGGGGCAATGGCAGCCTGGGTTTTCTCTCTCTGATGGGAGGACGTTCTAAAAGATGGTGATGCAAGACTGATTCATGATTAGTTGCACTGCCAAGCAATGAGCGACAGGACTGAGAGCTACCTAGAGGGTAACTTGCAGGTCCTATCCTAGCGCTGGCCCTTGCTGCCACTCCTGGCTACTGCTCAATATTTTATGCATCAGTTTCTTCTCTTGTGAAATGAGCCCGAGTGCTCTAACAGGCCATGCTAGACTCTAGACTCAACATCCATCAGAGAAGAGCACAGCTAGCTAAATTTTGGGGCATCACTGTTAGTTGATAAGCTACCTTCCAGGTTTTGGGGAGCAGCTGCTGTCCCAGAATGTGTATTCCTTCTTTGGGTCCTACAGTCTCTGGGGTCACCCCATTTTACAACAGGCCTTGTAGGGAGCCTGGATAGCTGCCTGCTGACGTCTTACCGTATGACCCAGGCACGGCCTCTCTGGGTACTGCTCCAGAACCCCTAGTTCTGGATGGTGGGGGAGGGTCAAGTGATGAGCTTCCCGATGGGTGCTCACAGAGTTGGGGGTATCCCCATAGCGCCAGTAGGGCTTATCTGTCTAGCCCAGAACCTGGGCTTGGTTCCAGGCAAGCTCTGTGCATCCTCTAGAGAGGTAACTTAGGTTATCAGGGCCTTGGAATGGCAGAGGTAGGTTTTGGTCTGGCTCAGGGTCCCTGAAAAGCCAGCACAGGGCCTTCACCTGACCCCCAGTGTGGCTATTCCCTCAAAGTCCTCTGTGGGCTCTCTACATCCCCTTCACAGTCATGCCCTGACTGGTACCTTGGACAAAAGGGTTTGGGCTATTACTCTTCCTAGGGAAAGTGGGCCCCAGGGAGCTAGTGCAGGGGGACCATTAAGGCCCCTTAATGGTAGCTGCCTTCCACCCTCCGAGGCCTGACTTGGACGATTTTGCTAGAACAACTTGCTGAAGCTCTGTCATATATATTAAAAGCACAGAAAACCAGAAAGTCTACAGAGAGGTTCTTAAAGTCAGAAGATGGAACGGATAGGAGAATGAGAATAGGCCGTTGTCATGAGAGCAGGCAGATGACAGGGACTCATCGGCCCGTGTGGCCAGGTGGAGGCTGCACTTGGGGGCAGTAAGATGGGGTTGGCCGTCCTGGACTGCACAGGGCTTAGATGATTCTGTAAGGAGCTTGGGAATCCCTGAAGGTGTGAGGACTTTTGTGTGACAGGTTCCCTCTAGGGACAGTGGGAGAGGCAGGGTGATGGAGAGGCCAACCGAGGGAGCTCCAGCAAGACTCTTGATATAGGTGGTGTTGTCTAGAAGGGAGGATCAGAGCAGTGCCCAGGAGTCTGAGTGATAGACACACACTTGGAGTTATGCTTGCCCCGAGAAGGGTGACACCTAGGCACGGGTTGTGTCTGACCTCCAGGTAAGCAGAGAGGGCACAGGTGTCTGTTAAAGGAGCTCCACAGAGGAGTTGCTCGATGGCGCCCCGTGGAAAGTAGGCATCCGTACTCTAAACGCTGAGGCTTTACGAGCATGTCCCTGTTCAGCCCAGGTCCTCCAGCCCTTGAAGCAGGCTGAAACCCCCCTTCAGCTGTTCTCTTCTCAGACAGCCATGTCCAGGCTGAGCTGGGCTGTGCCCTCCACTCACTGAGCTCCTTCCTCTCTCTGTACCTCCCCCTCCTGTCTCCTCTGAGCCCTGAAGACCCTCCTCCCTCACCCCACCCCTTGCCTGTGCCCAGCCCACCATCCTGCGTCCGCCCTGGCTGTCTCGCCGCTTCGCTCCGCTTTGCAGCTTCATGTTGTGTGTGAGCCGGCCTTGGTGTCACTGTTGTAGCCCAGAGCACCTCCTGAGGGTCACATGTGACAATGGCTCTGCTCCTGCAGGGCCTTCGTATACCTGAGCAACCTGCTGTACCCTGTGCCCCTGGTGCACCGCGTGGCCATCGTCAGCGAAAAGGGAGAGGTGAAAGGCTTCCTCCGTGTGGCGGTGCAGGCCATCTCAGGTGTGTGTGGCTCTGAGGCCCTTTGGGCAGGGGGGGAGAGGGGGCCTTTGCCATTGCAGGCAAAGGTGGTAGGAAAAATATTGTGCAGGAGCTAAAATGAAACTGACTTTACCCAGGACCCCCCAGCCTCCCTGTGGCCAATCAGGCAGATGGGCTGGTGGGGCTTGAAGGAAAAGCGTGCTAAGTCATTGGTTCTGGCCTCCTAGGCTCTCCTGGACTAGACAGGGACATCCCAGCCCTGCAGGCTCTGCCCAGGATGCCTGAGTCTGCTCTGGCTTGGAGTACCCACCTATCACACAGTTCAGGTGGGCCCAGAGATTTCCTTGCTACCTCCCAGCGACATGGACTGCCTACCAGCCCACTTGCCACTTTCCCCATAGTCAAGAGAACCTGCAGACTGCTGGCCCCTCCCAGAGTAGCTCTCAACAGCTGCCTCAGTTTCTCTTCTATGGTCCTCCCTTAGGTCCTGGTCTCAGGCACAGGCCTAAGCTGGAGGTTGTAGACTCTCCTCATCCGTGGGCCTGAAAACAGAGGCTCCTCCATTGTAAAAGGCATACAGTTTCTCTTCCCCCATCCCTCTGGAATAGGGAGGTCCTAGGATTAGCCAGCTGCAGAAGCCCCTGGGCCTTCGTTTGTTCATCTGTAGTCCTATAATGCAATTCCTGCATGGTGAGAATGTTTGTAGAGCTACTGAGAACACTGTGAGGTCATGGTTCAAAAGGTAGCCGCAGGTCAGTGGTGACATCTGCTATAATGGCAGTTTAAAGGCTCCTTTCTCTGCCCTAGACTGTGGTCTCTCTTCCTGGGATACTCACTGTCTGTATACCATGGCTGCCCAGGCACTTGGGGACAGGGAGACAGAGGAACCGAGTGGGGCTGAGCGGGATGCTGCAGGTCGGCCATGGTTAGTCTGGAGCTGGATCAGTGTGCCCGCCCCCCGGAGGATCTGGGAAGGCCAGCATCCCAGTGTGTTACACACTCCCAGGTTCTCATATTGCTCTAGATTGTCACACTCCCCAGGTTCTCCTACCTCCAGGATATCGTGTCCCAGCTATCCCCCTCACTCTCATACTCTCAGATTCACGATACCCCAAGTTCCTGCACCCCAAATACCACCAATATACTTGTACTCCAGGTTCTCATACCACTGATCTTCCAACGCCTCTTCCTCTGAAATGTCTAATCATTCCTTCCCTGGTATTCTGGCCACATTAGGTGACATCGGTTCTACTAATTAAGCTAATAGTGGGTTGTATTGCCACTCTCGTCAGCCTGTGATTTCCAAATGTCCTACCCTGCCCTGCCCCGCCCTGTTCCAACCTATCACCAGTCATGACACACTGGTAATTGTTTAGATGAGCACAGTCTCTGTTTCCCCCAGCGCTGGTCCAGAGATCATGTCTAGCAAGGAAAGCCAGGAGTGGGAATTATGAACTGATAAAACAAACAAGCAAGCAAACAGACAAACAAACAAACACCCAGACTTCAATACCACCCTGGCCACACTGCTGGAAAGTGAATGTTACCAAGATGTCCTTGTTTAGGGGTGCCTCCTTCCTGGGGAGTTCCTCCTCCGTCTTGCCAGGCCCTGCATCTCCTATCTGGTCTAGCAGCTCCCAACCACACTGGGTAGATGTCTCCATCTTGTCCAAATATTCCTCGAGACCAAGGGACTCGCCTGTGTCCCTTGCAGAGGAAGTGGCTAACCTGCTCTGTTTTCAGGGAGAAGAGCCCCTAGAGGGTCATCATTAGGATTGCTGGCGATTGCTCCCATCTCCAAATTTAAGCTGAGGTCTACCTCCAAGGGCCACCACTCCTAAATCCAGTGGAACTCAGTGGGCCCTCCATGTATCAGAGGAGGGCTGAGAGTTAGGAAGGTGTGTGAGACTCAGCTCAGGCCTGTGAGCAGCCACAGCCCTGCTGTCCCCCAAGTCATATTCAGGAAAAGAGGCTATGAAGAAGTCTGATCTGGTGTCCCCAGATCTTCTATGAAGACAACTGGATTTTAGCACATTTGGGGTCAGAACTAATATCTCCCCATCTGTGGCAAGGAAAGAAAGGAACTGAGGAAACACACACTCTTGTCACCCCTGCCCAGCCCTGTGGCCATGGGTTGGGGTCAGCTCATTCATTGAGCCCCATTGGGGCTGGTCCTGGCTGTCAGACATGGTTGGATGACTGGGTGGTGGCAGAGGAGTAGCCACAGTGCTGGAGGTGACATAGTAGGGCCCATGAGCTCTGAAGAGGGTGGTGTAGAGGTGGCAGGAGCCTGTTGATCTCCCTGAGCACCTGGGACAGGCAGGTCGGACAGGGTCGGGCTTTGTGGCTCACGATGGGTGAGTATGACAAGGACATGTCTCTGGGTCCCCGGGGCAGCACAGGCTGCTGGTTAGTGTGTCTTGGTGACTCCTGAGCTGCAGGTGGTGATGTTGGCTGCTCAGGGCAGCTAAGAATCTGGTCACCTGGTTCCTACACCCTCTCCACGGTCCTGGGGCCATTTGGCCTGGCTCTGTCCACTATGGAAACAAGTTGACCAATCGACCCCCTGCTTATTCCTCTTGCAGCTGATGAAGAGGCTCCAGATTATGGCTCAGGGGTCCGTCAGTCAGGGACTGCTAAAATCTCCTTTGATGACCAGCATTTTGAAAAGGTACTATGAAGGCTTGCCTTGTGTAATACTCCTTCCACATAATCCTAGGCTCTTAGGGATCCCAGGCAGGGATCCATGGGCGTGGCATCTTTTCCCTCTCCCTGAGCACTCTGCCTGTCCCATCCCTTGCTGTCTAAAACACACAATGTCCCTTCCCCAGTTTGTCAGGACCCACTTGGTCCAATCATCTTCCCGGGTCTCCCACAGCAAGGCATAGAGCCGGTGAGTAGAGGCAGCTTTTTAGAATAGGCACCCCCATTCTCTCTCCTCTTGGGTTAGTTGTTCTCGGGGTTCCCATAGCATACTATATTTTCTACCATCCTCCTTCCTGCTTTCCCTCAAACCTGTGAGAATGAGAGCAACCCCACTGAGGCCACCCTCTGACCCCCACAGAAAGGACTACCTGAGGAGATGGTCGAGGGGTTAAATCCATGCGGGTCCCCTCTCCAGCTGTGCTTATTTAGCTACCTGGCTTAAGATCTCAGTCTGAGGATGTCCAAGATGGAAGAACTGCCTGTGACCTGCCCCAGGAAGGCCCTGGTGCCCTGGGGGTAGAACTAAAGGCCAGGAATGGTTCCTGGTTTCCCTTTCCTATGTCTCGGGCACTGAGGCAGGTAGTATGTTCCTCTCGGGCAGTTTACGCCTCAGTTCATTTAAACCATAGAGTCTAGGTGGGCTGCTCATGGCAGTGGGAGGAGAGGCCTAGACAGGTGGATGCTTCGTCTAGGGATCAGTGGCAAGGCTGGCTCAGGACCCTAGAGACCCAGGCCCTGGTGCACAGATTTCTAGTCTATGACAGGGTGGCTTTAGCTTAGCCATCTAGCTCCTGGGCTTTCTCTAACTCTGTGTCCTCACAGTTCCAGTCTGAGTCCTGCCCTGTGGTGGGGATGTCCCGCTCAGGGACCTCCCAGGAGGAGCTGCGCATTGTAGAAGGCCAGGGCCAGGGTGCTGACTCCGGGCCTTCGGCCGACGAGGTCAACAACAACACCTGCTCAGGTAGGTGCAGCCTCACTGTGTGCTACACAGATGTGTGGGACCAGGGCTTGAAGAGCCTGGAACCTAGAGGCCCTGTCCCTCTGCCCTGGCTCCCAACAGCTGTGACTCCTGAAGGCCTCCTAGACAGCCCTGAGAAGACTGCCCTGGATGGACCCCTGGACACAGCCCTGGACCACCTTCGTCTAGGCAGCACCTTCACTTTCCGGGTGACAGTCCTGCAGGCGTCCAGTATCTCTGCTGAATATGCTGACATCTTCTGCCAGTTCAAGTGAGCCTGTTGTCCGTACCCTGGGCTGTTGGGAAGTCGGATGCTCTCCTGAGGGGCGTGCAGCCTACATAGGCTGTGGGACCATGCAGCCTCATGTGATACCCAGTGAGGCCACAGGTCCTTGCCGCAAGTCCTTGCTTCAAGGTCCTCTTCTTGATCCTCAGCTTTATCCACCGCCACGACGAGGCCTTCTCCACTGAGCCCCTGAAGAACACTGGCAGGGGACCCCCTCTTGGCTTCTACCATGTCCAAAATGTAGGTCCTGGCCTTTATCCCTGAACACCCAAGGGCCTTCTACAAGACTAAGCATGGTTTTCCCTTCCCATCCGGTCTTTCCCTTCTGAATGGACTGTCCTGGGGGGCTGTCTGGCACCAGGTTGTAGAATCTCTGGTGCCATGCCGGGATGCTGACGTACAGCTAGGTAGCAAGGGAATCTGTGGTGTTTAAAATTGGAGCCTGGGGTCAGAATAGAGCTCCCCAAAGCTGCTCACAGTGAGCCCTGGGCAGACACGGGCACAACATCCAGAGATGTCATGGCAGGAATTGGTGCAGCGGTCTGGGCCCAGAATACTGTGCTTTCATGGACACAGAACATTTTCAGATACGATCCACACTTTCCCTCCTCTCTTTCTAGATTGCGGTAGAGGTGACCAAGTCCTTCATCGAGTACATCAAGAGCCAGCCCATTGTGTTTGAGGTCTTCGGCCACTACCAGCAGCACCCATTCCCACCTCTTTGCAAGGATGTGCTCAGGTGGTCTGCCTAGGCCACCCAAGTGTCCCATGTACCTCTGATGTCCTCTCCTTAGCTGCCCAGCATGGGCCGTGCCTGACTCTGCCCTTTGGAACTGGGTTCTTTAAGGACCACTGTCATCAGTACCTTGACCATCAGCCAAGCATGGGAACCTTCCAGGGCATAGGTCAGGCCTTGCTGCCCGCTGGCCACTTCTAGGAAGGGAACATCTGTCTGATTCCCCCAGTCTTTGGGGAGAGGGGACGGAGGGGAGTCTCAGGAGGCAGGCATGTAAGGCTAAAGGACCATCTCACCTTGAGTCCAGGAGATGGGACAGGAATGACAGCCACCCTGAGGTCTGGAAATGTGTTGACAAGTTTTTGCTCCTCTCTAACGCTATCTCTCGTCAGCTGAGCAGACCTCACAGCTGAGGGATGCCCAGGGTACGGGAATGGAAGAGGGAAGTAGCAGAGATTATTTGGGGCACTGAGCCCCTGGGACCTCGTGGAGCCTCTGAGGTGGTATCTCAGGCCCTAAGGGTTCCTCCTCTCATATCCAAGAAAGTACAGAGACCTGGGGTTCTTCCTGTGTCTGGTGGGACAGGGAACTAAGGGTCACATGAATGAACTTCTGATCAGGCTGCCCTGCCCCAGGACTCAAGATACCAGCCTAGGTCTGCTCACTCTGACTTTTCCTCCACAGCCCCCTGAGGCCCTCACGTCGCCACTTCCCCAGGGTCATGCCGCTATCCAAGCCAGGTAGGTGAGGTTCTCCTGAGTCCAGGTGGGCAGTGAGGACCTCCACTATGGTTGGACCCTGCTGTGGGTGTAATGGTATTTTAGGCTGCAGATGACACAGCAGATATCTTCTGGCCTGAGGAGTAGATAGTTTTCGGCTTTGTGCTCACCAGCCTGTCTGTAAGGGAGACATTTAGACCCAGTGACAGGTGGCATAATGTGCACCCAGTGGGGACTCAGTGGAGGAAGGGCCCAGAGCAGGGGCTGTGGACAGACATGGTTGGCCCAGGAATACAGGGATGGGGTGGGGTGGGTAGAAGCGGTAAGGGGGTAGACACATTGGAGAGCCAGCAGGGCTAAGTTTAGGGCGTCCTGGGCAAGTTGTGGGTGCTTGGCAAGACATACCTGGACTGATACATTTTGTTGTGTCCAAGTGTAGATCAGGTTACAGTTCAGGCAGAGGAGTCCGATACATTGAGAGGACCTCTGAGCAAGTGTCTCTGCTGCCCTAGTGGCGCGCGGAGTCTCTAACTACCATCCTCATACCCACGTGTGTAAGGCCACAGGCTCCTACTTGGGTGTAGAGAGCCTTTAAGTGTCCACACATCTGAGACCAGTACCAGGTTTCTCATGCCTGACTGCGCAGAGTTGGGGGTGACCTGGCCATGGGTAGACCCATTGGGTACCTCTGGGCAAGTTGTTGCCCATGCAGCCTTTTGCTGCTCTCTCCTTGAGTGCCCCACCACACAACGTTGCTTTCTTGTCTTCCTAGTGCCCGCCACTAAGCTCAGCACAATGACACGGCCTTCCCCAGGTCCCTGCCACTGCAAGTATGACCTGCTGGTCTACTTCGAGATCTGCGAACTGGAAGCCAATGGCGAGTGAGTGGATACCCGGAGTGCCCATGTTGGGTGCTAGCTTGGGACCCAAGAGCCTGTAATTAAGGAGGAGAAGGGCACTGGGAATGGTGTTCTGAAAGCACCTGAGAATCCACAGTGGCTAACATGGGAAAAGATGGCCGGGGAACTCTGAGCTGGTGTCGGGGAGGCCTGGGACCAGGTTCTCCTTGAGTGTCCCAGTCTTGAGGCACGGAGCACAGAAGCCCTGACACAGCTGTACTCAGGTCATTGGGTTTAGATTTCTGACTTGTAAGGTACAAGGGAAAATATGAGAAAATATGGGAGCTGTTACAGAGAGCCAGTCCTGAAGGACCTGCTCTCCTGAAGGGGTGGCCAGAACCCCGTTTTCAGCTCTGCTGACTCTGGGACCGGGTGCTATGGGTGGGTTGGAGGAGGGGCTTTGCATCTCACCACCACCATCTTTTCCAGTTACATCCCTGCTGTGGTAGACCACCGTGGCGGTATGCCCTGCATGGGGACCTTCCTTCTCCACCAGGTGGGAAGCCTTCCCTGCCTTTCCCAGAGCTTGCCCTTCCCTGAAATTCCTTGTATCCCCAGTGCCACCTGACTGTTCCCTCTCCTGGCACATGACAGGGCATCCAGAGACGGATAACCGTGACGCTGCTGCATGAGACAGGAAGCCACATCCGCTGGAAGGAAGTGCGGGAGCTGGTTGTGGGTGAGTGGGGCAGGCAGGGGTTACCTCAGGAGCGGACAAAACCCTGGGATCTAACCACAGTTCTGTCTTGTGTGGGGGTCTGGCTAGGTCATGAAGTCTTTCTGTGATTCAGCCCATTGCCCAAAAGGGAGAGCCCTGGATCTCCTATAATCCCAAGTTTCTACCAAATCTGTGTTGCCCTTCCAGGGTTGTTGAAACCACAGTTAAACTTAAAACAACAGGAAACTACCAAGTGTCTCCGTTCTGGAAGTTAGGGTGCCAGCAACAAGCATGTGATCTGGGACTATCTGGGATACTTCAGGGTCTTTCTCTGCTTTGTCTGGTCTTGGGAGGTGGCTGTGATCCTGAGTGTTAGCTCGTGGAAGACTACTCCAGTCCTCGGCCTTATAGGGTGGTCTCCACACATTTTGATGGTGCCAGACACTTGGCAGTAGGGCTTCCACACTCACCCCGTGACAACTTCAGCTTGGCCAATGCCACCGCTGTGCTATGGGGTCGGGACTCTAACACACCTTGCTAGGGAGGGCAAGAACACTGTCTTTCTCTGTGACCTTGTCTCTTGAATTCCCCTTTACCAAGCTGCCTCCTAGACTCTCATTGGGGGACATGGATAGATACCTATCCCAGCAGGTAGCTCCTCTACCCTGGGGCCGAAGTATATCTATCTAGAAGCAGCTGCCAGTCCTGAGTAAGCAAGATCTCAGGACCAGTGTCCTTAAACTGACCTGTCATCCTGGGACCCCACACACAGAGCTGTGGAGAGTTGGTCTGGCTCTCAGGATGAACACTTGTGCTTTACAAGTGTTGTGTCAGGGATCAGAAAAAGCATGAAACCTGCGGTCAAAGTATCCTATGGGGAGAGTCCAAACTGAATCCATTCCAAGGCCAATGGCTTTAGAACCCAGCTAGCACCTGGCTTCTGAACCCAGCTATTGCTGGGGTGGAGGCAGTTCTGCCTATGCTGCCATCTGGTGCTGTCCCGTGCCACCATGTCCTCCCGCTCCGATGGACAACCCAGACTGCCTTAACCCCCACCTCTCTTCCTCTAAAAATACAGACACCAAAAGCTGCCCATTTGGGGTGGCAGTGGGGACTTAAAGGAAGTGAGGGAGATGCTACCATGAACATTTGGTCCCATTCAGGTTATTGCTAATCCCCAAGCCTAGCATCCCTAGCGTGGGTCTTTTAGGCCCTGTGAAGTGAACACTGTGGAGAAGGGCCATCAAGATGGAGGAAAGATAAGAGACCTTGGTGGCCATGAACTCCATATAGGTGGCCCTTTGAGGGATGTAGATGACCCTAACCCAGTCCCCACATCCTTCTTGTATCCTGCCCAAGTCTCTCCTCAATTCCCTAGCGTTGAGTATCTGCTCTGGACAGGCTCTTCTTGCCCTAAACTCCTACTTGCCATGGGTATCCCAAGTACTGGAGTGTTTGGCATCAAGAAGGGACCCTAGATTGTCCCCTCCCAGAATCCTTATGCTGCAGAGCTGCAGGGAGCTGGGCAGGATGGCCCAGAATGTGCAGTGGAGGAGAGGGAAGCTGGTCACTCTCTTGCCAGGGCAGAAAACCTGTGAGCTAGACGTGGGCTCCTTTAAATGAGAAGATATTTGCATTCAGGATGAGGAGTTAGGAGACGAAGTGTCTCTCTCACAGACAGACAGATGGACACCAAAAGCAGGCATCTTCTAGGCCTGGAAGAGTAGCTAGTGTGTGAAGAGCGTATGCATGGACGATGTGGCTTCTCCCTTTGTTGTTATCTTTAAGCATAAAATGGGGTAGGCTCACCCCTCATCTGGTTTAGGTCTCCTTGTCCCACAAGTAGAAAGGACTGAGCCTGCTAAGCTAGGCAGCTGAGATCCTCCAGAAAGTGTAGAGCTGAAAAACAGAACGCAGTCCTCTGCTGGAAGGAGACAGAGGAAGGAGGCACTGGCCATGTCACAGGAACCATCAGATCCCCATCAGCCTCCCTGTCCACCCTAGTGCCCTTTACATGGCTAACAGTCATGTAGGGAATCCACTCGCTAACCTGGCTTCTGTCTAGCGGTCTCAGTATACCTGGACCACTAACCCTCCCGGGCAATGACACTCAGCCACTGCCCTTCCTGCAGGTCGCATCCGAAACACTCCAGAAACTGACGAATCCCTGATCGACCCCAACATCCTGTCCCTCAACATCCTCTCATCAGGATATGTCCACCCAGCCCAGGATGACCGGTGAGTCACAAGGAGGGTGGGAGGATCACAACCCCTGCTGACCGGCTCCCACACAGGTCAGCCACACCAGCCTATCATGGCCTCTACTGACCAAGCCACTCATACCATGGCCAGCTCCAGGCCCACATTCCCTATTTCCGACACCTAAAGGGAGGCCCGTGGCCCCTGAGTCTCTCTGCTCCCTCAATTGCATGTCCCCCATCTCTGGTTTACACATTCATATCATCCTGTCTCCTGAGGAGTGTCAGTGTGGGCTTGTCCTGTCCCTGGGGGGTTGTGGGTAGATGGTTGGGTGGGAGACCAACACGCAGGTCATGTTTCTGAGGACCGCATTGGTAGGAACATGTCTGAAGTCTCTGGCAGGGAGGATGAGTGGGGGTCAAGAAAGCAGTCCAGAGTTGGCAGCTGAGTAGCTCAAACAGAGGTGTGGCTGCGGGTTATCACTTAGCACATGCTTCTCACCACCTTCCAAGCCCCAGAGTCCCAACTCCCATCTTCATTTGAACAGCAGAGGGGAAATGGGCCCCTGAGATGTTCTTGGCAGCCCTGAAGGGTTTGCCAAGGTGCCTGGGTATGACAGAGTCGCACAAAGGCTGCCAAGGGCCAGAGTCATCCTGCAAGAGTCATCACGCCAGGGCAGATGCCCAGCTGGGCAAAATTGCCTGGGACACAGTCTCCCAAAGATTTGTGGGGTGTTTGGCAGGGGCTGAGCCTCAACATGGGTCTTCCTTAGTGACTCAGCCTGGCCCAGGGTCAAGGAGTCAAGAGCTGACCCAGGAACTGTAGCTGAGGCTATTTGTAGCAAAACTTTTTAAGGGTGTGACACCCTTGGAGAAACGTGGAAGGGTCACATCCCTGTGAGGGGTTGCATGGACCCAGAGTCCCAGGAGTGGCCTCTGTTCTTCCGACTTCTGTATCCAGAGCTCCTCTTCTGCACAGACACATCAGGAGGGGCCAGAAGAGGTGCTCCCCCAAAGCACCAGAGGCAGCTTCAGCTGAGCGGCAGTGGGTACAGCCAACAGGAGAGGACAGAGATTGGGGTGTGCCCATGTGGCTCTGGTCCTCACCCGGCACTTCCGGAGGTGTTCTCTTAGGAAGGTGGCACTATGAGGACTAGGCTGGAGTTCACATCGAGAGATAGGAGGGAAGCCAGACTACTGTGTGAGGGAGACCTAGAACTTCCTCGGGTCTTTTGTCTCCTCCTGCTCTGCAAATGCACCCTGCTGAGGACTTATATGGGTGCTGTCCCCGAGTGTCGGCCACTGTGCCTGGGCATGGGAGTTCGGGGCCACAGAGGCAAGGGTGAGCGCTGAGAGGGCCTGGCTGCCACTGAGTGCTAAGAGGTGCTTTGGGGTCTGGGAGTGGCTTAAGCCCCTTGACCTCTGATCACCCACTGCAGTACATTCTGGGAGCCAAGGGGAGGGGTAGGACCAGGAGGTCAGTGGGTAGGTGGGAGCCTTCCGGACCTCCCTTCTAGTTGTCTCCTTGTGCTGAAGACCTTATTGCTGGTGTCTTCTTGTCAACCGTCCTCCACCAGCCCAGCTATCCTTGACCCTGGCTAGGTAGGGGGCAACTCTGAGACCAAGACTCATTGTTCCTCAGCTGACAGGACGTTGGTTAAACAGGCTCAGGCCTGGCCCTGGACTGACTAGCTTCTGTCCTGTTCCCTGTCCAACCCCACACCTAGGCTGGAGGCCCTGGGTGCCAGGAGGAGGGAAGACAGATGTGGCCCCTCGCTTGGCTCTTGCCCTCGCTGTCCCCGCTGGTGCAACCCCAGCCCTCCCTACCCCAGAAAAGTCTCAGGCACGCTCCTTAGCCCATGACCTCCTTCCCAGGGCCCACTGGGGCCAGCTTCCTGTTCCCTGGACATGGCTGACATCCTAGGAGCCTTTGAGAACCAGGCTGCTCAGAGATCAGCCACTCCATAGAGGCTGAGGCTTGGGCCTGGCTAGCTCTGCCCAGGGCCTCAGGCTACCACGCGCTTTGCCACACCTGGGCCTCTTCCTGCTCCACGGTCCCTGCTTTGCAGCCCCCCCACCCCTGGCCCTGAACGGGTTTGCCAGCCACAGGCGGCTGCCCCCGCTGCCGCTTGCTGCTGTACCCTGCTGTCCCAATGCCCACCCGCAGCCCTTCACTAACGTGTGGTTGTTTGTATTTTGCAGGCAGTTTCTTGATTCGGACATACCTAGGTACCATTTCTGTCCCTTGGTTTGATTTCGACCTTTTTCCCTCCCTCCTCCTTCCCTGGTCACCTACACAACCCTAAGATTTTTAATTTTTTTTTTTTTTTTAGCTTTTTCAACTCATAACTTGCTCACCTTTCCTTCCTGTTTCTCCCTCCTTTTAATTTCATTTCCTCGGAATAGCGTTCTGGTTTTTTATTTTTTATTTTCCTCCCCAGCCCCACCTTCCTGGCTGAGTATCTCCCGCCTCCTGTAGCCTTCCTTCCTGATTTTGGCTGCTTTTGTAGTTTTCTGCCTCTGTAGACACTGGCCGGCCTCCTGCTCCTCCCACCCCAGCCTTGCCTTCTATGCCAACCTCTAGCCTGGCCACAGTGGGTGCAGGTATCTCCCGCATGCAGGCTGGACAACCCGGCTGCTGGGCTGCACCAGCTCACAAGGGCCAGCCAGTCCCTGCAAGGGGCCATAGCAGGCAGAGCCAGGAGCATGGGGAAGGGGCAGACAGGACCCACTGCCAGGAGACTCCGAGCTCCCATGTGCTCCACAGCTGCCCAGGAGCCTTTTCCAGGTCAAATCAGGAAGAGAGACCTCACTCTAGACTCACTACCCCAGCCATGGCCTCGGCCTTGCTTTTTGGAAGTGGCAGGCGCTAACTCCACAAGAAGACTCACAGGCCTTTGAACGTGGCTTGTGCCCATTTCAGACTCACTAGCCAGTGCTGAGTCCTGGTAGGGGGGATTGCTGTGGCCTCCTTTTACCTGGTTCGAGGAAGTCCCTGAACACACTGGCCTATGCTGGGACTGTGATCACCGGGAAAGGACGACCTCCAAGTCCTGCATCCATATTTGGTCCAGGGAGAACTTGGGGCTATTCTGAATGGGAAGGCCAAGGTGTCACCTTCTGGGCACTTGCAGGACAGTGGCCAGAGCTTCCTGGTGGTTGTCTGTCTCGTGGGTCAGCTTTTCTTAAAGTCACAAATGCTGCTTTAAAACCCTTTAAGCCGCACTACCTACATAGAGTTCTAGGATGGAGCAGGCTGTGTCCTTGTCGGGTCACGGCTGTAATGATCAGTGCAGATAGCATTCATTTGCCGTCTTGCCTGGGTACCTGGGAGTGGGGTCGCCAGAAGGAGGCTCTATGGGGTTATGGAACTGTGGTTTTCTGAAGCATATTCCCTGGGCCATGGATGTGGGACACCTCAGTTACTGTGGGCCAAGAGCTGAGTGGACACTCCCTGGAGACCTGGGGCTAAATGAGGCAGAAACCTCATCAAGAGACAACTGAAGCACACACTCAAGCAGGGGACATAGCCCCTTCAAGCCTGAGCATTTCTCCCTACCAAGATCAACTGGGTGGGCTCACTGGAGGAGGTGGCATGTGGGTTGTAGAGGCAAGTGATCTATGCGGAGATGGAATAGAATTGGGCTTCCATCTGCTGGCAGCCTCTGTGTGTTTGACAGGTCTTCTTGATTGGACCAGATAGCTCTAGCTACAGACATATAGTGCCTCCTGGGGGCCTTCTGAGTGAGCAAAGAGACACTGACTCTGTGCAAAGGAGGAAGCTGTTTTCTTTCCCTTTGGTGCTGCTTTCTCAACCCGCGAATCTCACGAGCTCTGCTTACGCACCTGGGCTTGACCTTCTTGGAGATGACCCTCCCATTCTAAAAATAAATATGTTAGTAACAGACCTGGGGCTTGGCCTATTGAGAGAGAAGGAAGGAAGGAAGAAAAGAAGGAAGGAAGGAAGGAAGGAAGGGTAGGAAGGAAGAAACGAAGGGCAGGAAGGAAGGAAGGAAGAAATGAAGGGAGAGCAGAAAAGAAAGGCAGGAAGGGCAGGAAGGAAGGAAGGAAGGAAGGAAGGAAGAAATGAAGGAAGGAATGAAGGAAGAGCAGAAAAGAAAGGAAGGAAAGAAGGAAGAAAGGAAGGAAGGAAGGAAGGAAGGAAGGAAGGAAGGAAGGAAGGAAGGAAGGAAGGAAGGAAGGAAAGAAAGGAAGTCCTTAGGTTGGAACTTAAGCTTCCTCCCAAATCCAGTTCTACAGGACAGGAATCCATCGTGGTGGCCAGTAATATCATCACGATCATGAAGGGGAGAAGTCTTATCCCATGTGATCCTGGGACCATACAGCTGAGCCAGAGGCAGCCTGATTGAGTCATTTGCTAACTAAAGAGGGACATATAAGTGCCAGAACTTTCTGGATGTTAGTTCTGCTCTGCGGATGGGGAATAATGAGAGCTACGGGCTGTCATGAATTAGCTGACAGGCCCAACATGAGTCTCCCATCATTGCCACTGACAGTGGCATCTGGTGTAAGAATGCAGAGCCCCTAAGCAAATTTGTGGTTTCTATCCTAACCACTGAGGAACCACATCAAGACACAGTGGGACACACACAGGGACTCCAGAGAGTTGTGGAATGTTAGCCTGGGTGTTTATCAATCCTCATCTTAAAAGACACTCAATCGGACCTCTGCCCATCCCGTGCTCCTTCATACCTCGCCTGCCCTGAGTTACGGGGTTCACCTAGATGGGTATAAGGGGCAGCAAGTCCTTCTGAAGCGTCCCTAGAAATTAGAGATGCAACTGGATCTTGGCTCTCTCCATCTGCCCAGCTTCAGAACTCATTTTTCTAATGCTCTGAGAGTTCTCTAGCCTCCTGGAGAGGGTCAGATGCGGGGTCTCATGGAAACTTATTTTTCTATCTGTCTCCCCTGACGTCTTTGTGAGTCCATAGCGTTCACTCTTTCAGACATCCCTCCAGTCCTGTGAGCTGTCTTTAGCTTGACATTAGGAACTGTGGGTCCAAAGACCCAAAGCCTATTGGATACTCATTCACCCCATCCCCACTGCAGTTGGTGACTGAGCAGGCTCTGTCCTTGCCTTGAGGCCCTGGGGTTGGGGTGAGGGGGTAGCAAAGAACTTTGTATCAGGATTCAGCCTCCTGAACCTCCTTGATGAGGGTGGGCCCGATGGAGAGACAGAACCAGGAAGAAGAGATTGAACCAGGCTGGGAGTGGAAAGGGGTCCCATGAATACAAAAGGGGAGAGTCAGGCAACTGACCAGGATTTTCCGAAAGGTAGCATGCTTCTCAGGGCATTTTGGGTTTTGGGCTGCAGTCGTAGGCCTGGAGCTTTATGTTCAGATCCTCAGGAAATCCCCTTGCACTGATGCCCGCCTTGTTTGCCCTCTGTGACTGGGATACCCTCAAGGTCTCAGAGTCATGGCGTAGTTCAAGCACACTTCGATTGCCATCAGCAGCAGGCAGTGAGCTTCCCCCGAGAGTGATGACATTTATTTACAATTGCATGGGAACACGTGTGCCATAGTAACCCACAGGCTTATTCAGGGAGCATGGGCAAGAGGAAGACTTTTTTTTTTAAGATTTTTCTTTTTTTGGATTGCATCAGGTGTTTTGAAACAGTGATCTTTAGTCGCAGTGATCAATACCAAGAGACGTCAGTAGTAGGTTGGCCAGACACGCTGGGCAGCTGTCCTTGTGCCGTCACCTGTACAAGCTCGCGGTTTTAACTGTCCTGTGACAGTCACTTGCAGGCAGTTGTGATGAGAAGCCTCCCTCCATGGCTTCCTGGCTTTAACCTTCATCCGTCATAGCTGACACAAGGGAGTCCATGTCAATCCAACCTTGTCCTCCGTTCTTCCGCCCTATCACAGACTGTAGGAGCTGGTGCTCTGTCGAGCCTGGTGGTGGCCAGGCAGGAAGTGCTTGTTTCTAATTGACAAATGTGTGGAGGCATGGGATCACTGGCCCAGGCACCTGCAGCCTGTCTGTGATAACGAAGGTAGACAGAGTGGGTGTCCCACAGCGCCCACTGTCCTCTCTATGGGCAGCCCTTGGATAATGACAGCAGAACTCACCACGTAGCTCATACCCTGCTTGAGCGGTATGCTCGCTGTATCACAGGTCTGAATTTGACTGTCCTGTTTGTAGGCTTGCAAGGGAGGCTGTGTCCCCTTAGATGACAAGAGAACCACACAGTAGGCCTCCTGGTGTCCCTCCAGGTTAAGCGAGCCATTTGGAGGCAGGACATTGCCCAGAGGCCCAACCTACTACACTCTCTGACTTTAGAAGGAGTCTTGCTGGCCAGTCTTTCCAGACCCTATGTTACCTGCCCACACTCTGCACGGTACAGATTAGCTATTTCACATCCCTTCCATTGGAATGGGGCCCCAGGAATGCCACATCTATGGAGAGGCCAAGGGAGTATGCACAGTAGACACGGACTCAGGTGGCCCCAGAGGGGCAGCAGTCAGAGCAGTTGCTGATAGGGCTTGGAGGGACTTTGCCTGCCTTAGGCCTGTTTCTTCAGCTGTATTTGGAGGGTCCCTAAGATGATGGTGAAGCAGAGAAGATAGCAGAGGCCATTTGGGATCAACTGCGGTTCTCTGCTCACGGAGACATCAACCAGAGTTTCTGACTCAGTGGTATGGGGTGAGGCTCATGAATGCACACTGTAACAAGTTCCCAAGCTGTTCCGGTGTAGGGGCTTGGCTGTTTGGACTACTCTCGTAGTGTGTCTGAGAGTGGCTGGTTCATTTCCCAACACTCTAGGAAACTATCTGAGGTTGGGTGACTAGGAGAAGGGTATTTGGGCTCAAAGTTCTGGTTCACTGTGGGTTGGTGGACTTGCATCTGGAGAAAGCCTCTTGTTGCAGAGTTATAAAGTAACACAGAGTCCTCACGGGACAAGAAGCAAGAGGTGTATGCTTTTCTCTGTCTCCTCTTGGCCATCAGAGTTCAGTCATGGAAAGCCCCTGGCCATCTTATCACGTCTAGAGGCTGCATCTCTAGACCCCGTCTTCCACCCTGCAGATGCCTTACAATAGGGCACACATTCTGACCCAGGAATGCTGGGGTCCCCACCTCCAAACTATTGGCCTGTAAGGAATGAGAGGTTGTGTGGAGGAGATCCAGGCTTCGCCTGGGGTACCTGATACCCAGTGCTCCAACTGGATCCTGAACTCCATGTGGAGTAAGGGTCCACTGCACCTCCACGGGTCTCCCCATTGTCCTTGTCTTGGGCTTTCCTATGCAGGACACCTCAGCTTCTCTGAATTCTATTTTTCTGCCTTATTGTTGATGGTAATAGATCACAGGTCCCACCTAATGGCCTGCATGTTTGGTGGAACCCATGAAGGTGGAAGTCCCTCTGCTTCCCCTGAACCACCCCCAAACTTGCTCACCCTCAGCAGAGGACTCAGGGACACTGGGAAGCTCCAGACCCTCCAATCCTTGGGGCTCCACAGTCTATGTCCCATGACCTAAGTCATGGCTGGTGGAAAGTAAAGGCTGGCCACAAGGTCCTGTGTGTGTAGCCCCCAGAGGACAGTGGTGACTTCCAAGGCGAGGGACTGAGCATCCCTTGGAAGTAACTTGCAAGAAGATTCATGACTGCTGATGTCGGAGCCTGTTCTTGTGGGCCACCTGGCCGCTGGAGGATGGGGCAATGTTTGAAAAGGCCAGTCCTGCTACGGGAAATGGTCCAAATGGAGTCACACCTGCCTCAAATAGACATCCGCCGCCCAGGCCTTCAGAGATAGCCCAGTTTTCTGGGGTTTGCAGCATCCTCCACCAATACACTTAAGGGCCACCGTTTTGTTTTCTCTTACTTGGGCCTGGGTTAAGGCTGCTTTAGGCCCAGCAGGCAGAGCACTCCAGATAAGCTCCAAGACTCCACTAACCTGGCTAGATTCATTCGTCTGGGTTTTTCCACTCTGGTTCGAGAAACAAGGATAGGCCTGGGGCTCAGTCCTTGTAAGGGAACTCAGGCTGGGGAAGCCATACTTTTCTCACACACCACATTCAGAAGCTGTTGGCCACTTCAGAGACTTTGAAGGCAAAGAATAGTAGATGCAGGTGCAAGGTCCAAACAAGACGTGACAGTGGTGGCCCTACCCTGGCATCGTTGTAATGGTGACCCTGGCTCTACGATGCCCCATTCCAACCCTCATGCTCTCCTCACTCCCATGTTAGCTCCTTGGTTCTGAAGGGCACCATGACCCTTGTGGTCATAGCTGGAAATGGTTTCGTGAGGATACAGGGCATCTGTGGGGCTGGGCTGGGGCTCCAGGGGGCCCCTCAGCAGCTGTGTTGGCCATGGAAGGCCTATTCTGACGTCTCGCTCTCTTCTGTGTGTGTGCGTGTGTCCTGGCTGCGCCCTTAGCGTTTCCTTCGGAAATGACACTAGGTACAGGCACCATTCTCTCCCGCCCTCGCTTGCTCCACCCCCCTCTACTCTGCCCCTTCCCCCTTTTCCTCCAGTGCTGCCTGCTCTTTGCCCTGTTCCAGTTGCCCGCTGTCTCCTCTCGCCTTAGACCTCTCCTTAGTGATACGTGTCTTACGGTGGCCCTGCCCAGCCTGCTCTGTTCCATGCCCCTGACCCGTTGACCACGTATCCTATTCCCCGGACAGTGTCGTACAGGAAGAAAGGCAGCACCAGTCAGACTCTCACATGGCCAGGCATCTCAGGGAGCCTGCCGGTGTCCATGAACAGCCTGGCCATGAGGTGGTAGGGGAGTGTGCTGCCGCCTGGGCTGTGAACTGTGTGTCAGCGAGGATGCTTGGATGGGATGGGGCTGTGCAGTGGCCATGCTGTGAACCGAGGCAAATCTTCTCCCTGGGAGCCCTGGAGATTTGTGTTGGGATAAATAGTAAAGATACTGTCCCACCACAGCCATCTTTCTGAGAAGGAGCCTATGAGGCTTGTGGTGCAGGGATCTCTATGGTCGAGGCAAAGTTCTGGGCTCCTGGTAGCCACCTTGAGCCGTCCTGGGCAAATCTGAGCCCATGGTTGCTATTCCCATGGACCTGCTCTCAGGAGCCCAAGGGATGCTGTTCACAGACCACCGTTTCCACTCCAAGCATCCTCCCCCAGAGCCTTCCCCTGGCAGCGTGAGTCTCCATGGAAAGGGGTGGGTGGAGGAGGGTTTAGCTAACTTGGGGAGATCCCTAATGGTGCCTTTTGGCTCAGACTGAGGCTGGGACAGCCCCCTCCTTTTCCTCTGCCTTCCTCCTTGCCCTTGGTGTGTCCTTGGAGGGCTCTCCCCTTCCTCCCAATCCACACCACGGAGCCGAGGAAGCTGGAGCCGGCAGGAAATGGCCCCATAGAGGCCCCTGCTTGGTGCTAGGTCTGAGTGAGGAGGGATCTGCCCTTCTTGGTGTCACCCAAGCTTCCCAACCTGTGACTCCAACGACCCCCCCCCTGCAGTTCTCCCCTCTCTGTGTTTGTCTGCATGCCCCCGTTCCCGCTGAGAGCAACCCCACACGTTGTCCTTTACCTCATCTGCTTTCTTCCAGAACCTTCTACCAGTTCGAAGCAGCCTGGGACAGCTCCATGCATAACTCTCTCCTGCTCAACCGTGTCACCCCTTACCGGGAGAAAATCTACATGACCCTCTCTGCCTACATTGAGGCAAGACACCCACATCTACGGCATCCCCTCCCCATAGCTCGAGGGCCTTGCAAAGTGACACTAAGGTCCAGTGACCCCCCCCCACTCTCTTCCCAGAGAAGTCCTCAAGTCCTTGAGTAAACCCATATGCCTCCAATGGCAATGCTCAGAATTAGTATACACCTGTATTTTTAGTGTGTGGATTTCAGCTTTGAAGCTGCAAAAGGACTGTGTTACATCATTATTATATTACATCGATATTCCAGAAAGGACAAAAATAGAAGCACTTTACCGCCACTGCTACCCCCAGGGCTGCAGCCCCCAGGCTATGGCCAGGTGTGTGCTGTGGCCCTTTCTCTGTAGCCCCTGAGTGCTTCCACCTGGGCACAGCAGCAAAGGAGGCGTGTGGAGATGGTGGGAGCCAGGGCTCCGCTTCTCCATAGAGACAAATCACTCTGGGTATCAGGTGTGGGCTGCCTCAGGGGCAGTGACACGGTTAGCCGGGGAAATACCAGTAAGGCCCCATCTTCAGAGCACATTTGTTGTGAGATGCCCACTATGTCCAGCTGGAGTTATCAAGCATCCGCAGGAAGGCGTTTGCTGTGGTCTTTTACAGTCTGGAGTGAGGGTGGCCAAGTTCGGCTTTGAGCTATAAGAAGGTTTCAGGCTATGCCCCTGGTTTATGGTTACACAGCCGAGGAGCAGAGTAGGTTTAGTGCCCTGGAGATTCTCGCGAGCCTCTGTCTTCAGCAATGGGGGCAGAGCCCTGGCTCCCTCCCCTAGGATTCTGCCCAGGGTCAGGAGCAGGCATTAGCGCCTTCAGTGACTAGCTCTTATGTCCTAGAGGAAGGTGGGGAGGGATAGACATTGTGCCTGGTTGGGCTGGGGCCTGGGCGCTCTGGACCAGCTCTATGCCTTGACTTCTGTCATCTGTCACAGATGGAGAACTGCACCCAGCCAGCCGTCATCACCAAGGACTTCTGCATGGTGTTCTACTCTCGCGACGCCAAGCTACCCGCCTCACGCTCCATTCGCAACCTGTTTGGCAGTGGGAGCCTGAGGGCCACAGAAGGGTAAGCTCGCTAGGGTTGGCGGAGGTGGGGAGCCTGAGCTTCAAAGAAGGGAGCCTTGGGTGTCACCCAGTAGACGGACACTCCTGTGTCAGGAAGCCCCTAAGCTCCACAGTGCAGGTTGCTGGGGTGAGGACCAACCATCCATTCTGCAGCTCCCTGCCTTCAGTTGTACCTGCTGGGCAGTGGAAACACATGTGGAGGACATGCATCATGTCAAGCAGGCATGATGGAGCTCTTTATTCTCCATGGGAAGCAGAGAGGCCTATGGACACCATCCTCCCTGTGGGTGCCCTGCAACTCTACCCTAGGAATTTCTGCCCTCAGGTCTGCTTGAAGCTCACAGGAGAAGCTGAATGATTGTAGTGGGAGGTGGGGTGAGAGAAATGGCTTTGCTGAACCCTGGAAGGCCCAAGGAAGTTGGGTTTCAGACACTGGATCCCCCTCTTCCTCCTCCTCCCCCTCTTCCTGCTCCATTCTTGACGCTTACTGTAGCTTCAGTGGGAGGGCCTGAACTTGAACCATGGAGGGGGGGGGGCAGTGAGGCCCTCTGCAGCTCAGTGCAGGTCACTAATCTACAACCTGGGCCAACTCTGACAGCCAAAAGGAAGGTGCTTGAGGATTAGGACTCAGTGGCCATCAAGGCCCATCTCTGTGAGAGGGTTGTGTTGGTGACCTTGATGGCATTGGTATCATAAGAACAGGAGGGTTTCACTGTGGGGTTTGAGGACTTCAGGAGACTGATGATGCCTGGTGCTGAGTGTAGCAAGTCTTTCTCTGTCCCACCAAGTCAGCTCCCAAATAACCACATGGAGACTTATTATTAATTATGAAAAGCTTGACTGGATAGCTCATTTCTAACTAGCTCCCATGTCTTAAATTAACCCATTTCTTTTCATTTACATGTTGCCATGTGACTCTTGGCTTGTCACCTCCTCTCCTACATGTCATGCTTCCTTCATGTCTCCCCACGACGCCTTCTTCCCAGTGTTCTCTCTGCACCCCCAATCCTGCCTAGCTATTGCTCATTCAGCTTTTTATTAAACCAATCACAGTGACAGACACATCTTCACACAATGTAAAGGGATGTTCTACAACAGCTGAGGATCTGGGTGGGGGGGGGGGAGGATACACAGATGTGTCCATGTCTCTGTGTACCCCACCTCCCCCAGGCAACTCCTGCTTCCAGAAGGGTCATTTAATTCACACAGCCGAGGTCCCTTTGGGGTCTTGATCTAGAGCAGAGGTCTGTGTAGAGACTGTAGCTCAGGAGGTGACATTACCACAACCTGAGCAGGCTACCTGCCTTAGGCCTGTGATGAGATCTGTGCCCAGAAGGCATCAGTGGTGGTGATCTGTCCCCAGAGCTGTGCTTACTAATGATATGACCTCTCCCTCTGCTTCCTCAGCAACCGCGTGACTGGTGTGTATGAGCTCAGCCTTTGCCACGTGGCCGATGCAGGTAGCCCAGGTAGGAGATGGTCTTGACTACTCTCTGCTGGGACAAGAGTCAGTGCCCTGGGACTCCTGGCTAGCTTAACCTCTAGTCTCCAGCGTGTCCTCAGATGGGAGGGCAGATAGGAGGAGTCAGGTTTGCTAGCTGCTGCGGCCACCTATGACATAGTCTCGTGGGAGAGGGACTGTTAGGCAGTCTCTGTGGGTGAGGCCCAGGGGAGCCAGTCTTGAACCCAGAAAGGGAAGAACTTTGGATAAACCTGGTGTCTGTCTGTCAGAACGCTAGAGTATCAATCCCCATACAGGGATGCAGCGCCGGCGCCGGCGGGTGCTGGACACTTCAGTAGCCTACGTCCGGGGTGAGGAGAACCTGGCTGGCTGGAGGCCTCGAAGTGACAGCCTGATCCTGGACCACCAATGGGAGCTGGAGAAGCTGAGCCTTCTTCAGGAGGTGAGTGTGGGAGCCACTGGGGACCAAAAAGCACGGGAGAGCAGGACTAAGCAAGTGAAGCCAGGGAGCGTGCCCTCTGCAGAGAGCTGACACTGCTGGGTCTACCCACAGGGCGCACGTGGGAAGCAGGATGCAGAGGCACAGCCCCCTACTGCTCACAACAGGGCCCGTGAGCATCATGGGGAAGCCTAGCTATGAAGGAGACCGCAAAGCTTGCCTGGGACTTCCGAGTCCTGCCAGCAATGTGTCCCTCAGGTTACCAGTCATAACCCAGGCAGAGAGGACTTTCCCACACTTTACCAGGGGACCTTGCTGCTGTGCAGGGCCACTGGCCCCCTGCTCTGGCTGGTGCCCTCTCTCACCTTTTTTCCCTTGGCAGGTGGAGAAGACGCGGCACTACCTGCTCCTACGAGAGAAGCTGGAGACCACCCAGAGGCCTGGCCCTGAGGTGCTGTCACCAGCCTCCAGCGAGGACTCTGAGTCCCGCAGCTCCTCGGGTGCCTCTTCCCCACTGTCAGCTGAGGGTCAGCCATCACCTCTGGAGGCACCCAATGAGAGGCAGAGGGAGCTGGCCGTCAAGGTAGGTTGGGCTGGTGGTTGCTGTGGCCACAGCAGTGACCCAGCCTGGTCTATGACCAGCTCTAGTCTGAGTTGCCAGGAGTCTAGGGATGGGGATGATTGGGACTAGTTAGTTCTTTGCCTGCTACCTTGCTCCACTTCACTCTCCTTCAGAATCCTCAGTGTGAAGCCTTTTGTAGGTTCTGTCCCAGCAGTGACTTGCCATCTCTGCAATCCCTGAACTGCTGGGTCGCTAACTCCCTGCCTCCATGCAGAGCCAGCCCTTGTTGCTATACAGGCCATTAGGGAGGCCTCGTGTCTTTAGGTGATGCTAAGTCATAGCCTTCCCAGAAGCACAGTGTAGGAGCTCCTTAATGTATTCACCCCATGGTTCGGTGGAAGTGCTGCCTCCTCAGCTTCCTGTTCAACAACTCCCCACCTGGCAATGTCCGGGGCAGGGTGGGTGGCATAGGTCTAACCATGCGTTCTCCATCTGCAGTGCTTACGACTCCTCATGCACACTTTCAACAGAGAGTACACCCACAGCCACGTCTGCATCAGTGCCAGTGAGAGCAAGGTAGGTTCATGCCCCGGATGTCTATAGTCGGGGGTGATCCTGGCCTGGCCAGCCAAAGGCAAGGAGGGTTTGCTTAAAATTTCAGCTCTCATGGCCCCGTGAGTTACCTCATAGCTGAATGGCTGGTTTCCCTGGGCCTGGGATCTGAGGAGACTGGGGTGTGAGTGAGGGCCTGACCTGGTCCATTTCAGACCACATGGTATATACCCAGGCCCTGTCTTCTGCTCGCTTCCTGTCCCCTTGATATTATCAGTTTTTCCTGGGACTGCCATCCTGCAGGTTCCTACCAACTCCAGAAGCTCATGACCCTGTAGACGCTGAAGGGGGAACCCACCTGGGTCAGGGCAGTCTGAAGCCGTGGGAGGAATAGTCGGGGCTCTGTAGGAGTTAGAAGGAGGCCAAGGGTACAAAAAAAAGGAACACCCTGAGCTGGGAAAAGCGGGAGGGAGGGCACACAAATCAGAAAGTAAAACGCAGGCCAGCCGCTTCCTCCTCCAGGCCCAGGGGTCCAGTTGAGAAAACTTTCTGTCCCCTGCAGCTCTCTGAGATGTCCGTCACCCTGATGCGGGACCCATCCATGTCTCCTCTGGGTGCGGCTACACTCACTCCCTCTTCCACATGCCCCTCTCTGATTGAAGGACGCTATGGTGCCACGGATGTGAGGTGAGTGAGCTTGGCTACTGGAGAAGCTTCCTGACAGCTGACACCAATTGGTGACAGTTGCTGGGACTTAGGGATGGAGAAAGTGGGTGCCAGGGCCCCAGAGAAAGGCAGGGCCTGGCGGAAGGATGCACTGGCCTTCTTGGAGTACCTGTGTCCATTGCTCATACAACCTCCGTGCTCTCTAGCTAGCACAAATGAAAGATATGCTAGTGAATAAACCTGGAAACAAGAGAACAGAAACACTCCCGTTCCAGGGACAGGGCTCTAAAATTCTCAGTGGAAAGAAGGTAATTTGACCGGTGGAGGCTGTGGTGCAACATGGGAAGGAAACCCCACCTCCCATTGTAACACCACTGATTACTAAGAGTTTTGGCCATTTTCATTTTTTTTTTCTTTAAAGAATGTTTTAGAGTTTCCAATTAAAAAAACAAACAAACAAAAGCAAAAAGCAGAAACAAACAAACAAACAAAACACCAGAAGGTCTGGAGCATTCTCTCAATACAGAGCCGCCTACCCCGGCTGAGCAACCGGGGAGTCTGTTCACTCAGCCCAGCAGCTCTGGAGCCAGGTGGACTCTGACACCTGGGTACTCCTTTTGAGAACGTAGCCAGACAGTCCCCATCAGCTCTGAGGAGGAGCTGTCCTAGTCCCTTGAGGAACCATGGCAGAAGGCAATGTTACCTTCCATCTCTAGGACCCCCCAGCCCTGCTCCCGGCCCGCCAGCCCAGAGCCCGAGCTCCTGCCAGAAATTGACTCCAAGAAGACTCCCTCCCCTGCTCGGGCGTCGGAGGCAGACAAGGAACCCCAGCGCCTGCTGGTCCCCGACATTCAAGAGATCCGAGTCAGGTATGTGAGGTTTATGCCCCAATCAGAAGCTGTCTAGCAACAGGCACCCAACCCTGATGTGTGTGCAGGGCAGAGCTTGGTACCAGGGACCCCTCACCTATGTACAAGGAAGTCAGCCCCCTCTAGCCCTTGGAACCGAGCGGTAACAATCAGAGAGCAGAGGGTTGGGGAATTGGGCAGAGATGGGGACCAAGTGGATGGTGGGCACCTGGTAACTGCTCTGAAACTTCAGCTTTTCCCTCCCGAATCTCCCCACTGAAAACTGGGGAATTAGCCCAGATGTGGGTTGGTGGTTCTGCTCTTGGGCATCCCAAGGCAATATCAGTGACCCCCTTCACAGCTGGTCTCCTTCCTTCCCGAGGACCGGCGCAGGGTCATAGAGTGTGAGCCCCCGTGTTGGTCCCCTACCCCAGCTGACCGCCCAAGGTTCCTGAGCCAACAGGTGTTGTCTCTGTCTCCCAGCCCAATCGTCTCCAAGAAGGGGTATTTGCACTTCCTGGAACCGCACACGACTGGCTGGGCCAAGCGCTTCGTGGTGGTGCGGCGCCCCTATGCTTACATGTACAACAGCGACAAGGACACCGTCGAGAGATTTGTGCTCAACCTCTCCACGGCCCAGGTGGAGTACAGCGAAGACCAGCAGGCTATGCTCAAGGTGCGGCCGGGGTCCAGCTCAGACGTACTGAGTCCACCAGGGGAGCTACCCACTCTTCCCTCCCTGACCTGCCCCTGTCTGAGCCCCAGCAGCAACTGGTATTGCCATTTGCCCACACAATGGCTAGCAGTTAGGTCCTGTCCTGGGGCTTCTGAGAACCCTGGCAGGTTGGGCAGAACCTCACAGCCCCAAGGAGCTCTCTTGCCCAAGGTATCAAGCCAAGGCCCCCCCACAAGCGTACAGTGCCCTAGGGGTGTGGGAGCCAGCTCCCTGTACCTGGTTAGAAGGAAGGCTCTCCACGACTGTGGAAGGAGGCTACGGTGCCCACTGGATATTTTATCTCTTGTGATGAGAGCAAACTCTATGGTCCTAGTTACTATACACAACCAGCACAGAGGGCTCGGATGAACGGGGCATTTCAGCCAGGGTCCCAGGCAGAGGTATGGCCCATGAAGGTCAGGGTCGTTCCCTGGGGATACAAATCTGCATGAACACAGAACTGGAACAAGCTTCCCGACCTCAGAGGCTTCCAGAATGGAGCTGCATGCCCTTGTGGTCAGGACAAAAGTATGTGTTTTACAGAGAAGCGAGCCCCACCCCTGGGGAAGGGGGTGCGGTGCTGTGTACGCTTGGCTTTCTCTCCCACCTGTCCACTCTTAAGACCTTCCGAGAGGGCTTTTTCTTGGGAAAGGGAGTGGCCATATCACCCCGAGCCTTCTCACCAGTGACTTCCCTCTACAGACACCCAACACATTCGCCGTGTGCACCGAGCACCGAGGCATCCTGCTGCAGGCCAACAGCGACAAGGACATGCACGACTGGCTGTACGCCTTCAACCCACTCCTGGCTGGGACCATTCGGTAAGGGCTGAGCAGAGAGATGGTACCCGCTTCTGTGCCGTGGCTGCCATGGCTGCTCATGCAAGAAGTCAGCTGGAAGACTTTTTGAATGCAGGTCCTAACGGACGATCCCGGGCCTTGGGATGGGATCGCACCTCTCCCAAACCACAGACTTGATGAAGGGCCATGGGGATGAGGTGGACTAAGGTGTCCCCGCCCCCAAAGCACTGATGTATCAGATAGCAAGTTTCGATCTATGAGTATAAGGGGCCAAAGAAGACGTGTGGCTATGGTATGGTGTGGGGATCTGCTGAGCTGCCTCTGGCGGCTGGAGGGTCTGGTGATCAACTGGCCCTGACCACAGCTTCTTTACCCGCACTCTTGCAGGTCCAAGCTCTCCCGAAGGAGATCTGCGCAGATGCGGGTCTGAGCCGAAGCCTTCTGGACATCCAGTGGCCCAGACCACTCCCCTGTCCTTCTCATCTGTCCTGTCATCTGCCACTCAGCCCTTCTCCCACCAGGGGACACCTGTGCTGGGTCCAGCAACCCCACCTCTGGTGGGAGGCCTATACCACATGACGAATTGTGCCCCCCAGAGGTTTGCGTGTTGTTTCTTCCAAAATTGCTCTGGCGAAAAGTTCGGAATGCCAGGAAGGTCAGAGGGCACAAGACCCAGGGTATTGCCTCTGTTCTAATATTTTTTTAAGCATAGACAGACTTATAATTAATATACATTAGTTAGTGGCGTTGAAACAGTCCTCTGAGACATTAACTATAAGACTGTGTTCTGTTTGTAAGTATTTATTTCTAATGCCTCCAGGTAGGGCTGTAAGGTTCACGTGGAGCCCTTCCCAACACCTTGACCCCTCACCCCCTCAGCCTAGGCCCTGTTGGTTTCCACATATGTCTCCAGCCTGCTAGGAACAGAGAGAGAAAGGGGTGTGAACAAGCCATGGCTCCTCACAGCTGGTCCAGGGATGCTCCACCCTGGCCCGTTTTGTCTGAGATGTACCTCTCAGGGTCTGTGTGTGAGAGGGGTCTGCAAGTCCCGAGACTTAGGTGACTCGGATGGTGCAGTCTGCTGCTTCTGAGGGAATGGTTCACAAGATGGCGCACTAAGGGTGGGGCAGGCAGCTTCATTCCCAGAGTGGGGAGAGTCAGATAAGCAGAATGGAAGGAGGTCACCCCTTGGAAGGCAGTGCAGCCTGGCTTCAGCTGGGCTGCACACAGGCTATGGGGTAAAGTGGCCAGGTTTACACAGGGCTGTGGGTGGCAGAGCCCACTGGCATTCAGGATGGGGTCTCTGACTTTCGCCTTGGATGCTGGTGAGAAGAAAACTCAATGAGTGATGTGTGTCCTTATCAGGCAGTTGAGGGTGACCTCGTGGTGGTCTTGGCAAAGGGACTATTCTCTTCTGCATCTGGGGAATTTCCATATCACAGGCCTATTTGGAAACCTGAAGACAAACCTCAAGTCCCCAGCGCCCCTCCGGAGCAATTACACTCCGCACCCAGCTATTCCAGGCCTCTCTCTGCCTTCACCGTATCCCCCACCCCCAGATAAACTGCTGGGTCTGAGCTCCCTGTCAGACCAGCCTGTCTCCACACAGTAGTGACATGACATGAGACTCTTGAGGCCATTGTTCACAGAATCTCTACTGACTGGAAAGGCATAGCAGACGGTTCTGGCTTCAAGGGCCCTGCCCTTCATCCAGGCATCAAGATTCAAGGTGGTGTCAGGGTTCATGCTGGCAGTCGTGTATACACCTACCAGCCAGCGTGAGCCCTGCCGAGAGTGAGAATCCACCCATCACTGGGGACAAGTGCCGTATGGGAGGCCACCATCATGCCTGACTAGCCTCATCCCCAGGACCCAAGGTAACAGTCCTTAGCATCAGGTCTCAAGAAACCCCATCTTTGAAATATAGAATAAGACTTACTTCTACAAATCCAGATCAAGATGCCCACCCCCGGACCAAAATTAAACCATAACCAGAAATCAGGTGACCTGGGCTGTCTAACACGGACCTTGGAGGCTGAGGTAGAGTGGAGAGAAGACAGCTGTGTGCTTGACTCTGACCCTCGTGACGTACAAAAAGGAGGGAAAGAGCAAGATGCTTAGATTCCTTGGTTCCCTGGGGCCACACAGCCACGCAGCCCCCAGCAGGCAGAGAGGCAGCCAGGCCTGCCATGCTCGCTCAGGCCAACCAACCTGAAGCTGAGGCCTTGGAAGGGTCTGGCTGCACCCAGCACGTGGGTGTCTGAGGCCAGCCAACCTACAGAGCCCCTGTGCCTGGGTCGAGTTGTAGAAAGGCAGGAACTCTACCCTCCGCACACACACACACACACACACACACACACACACACACACTATTCAGAGGCCATTCCGTTTTGGCCCAATGCTATCCTGGCATTGTCTAGGAACCAAGGTGGGCTCCCTGCTTTTGTGGGAAGTCCTGGGTCAGAGTCTAGTAACCAGAACTGGTTGAGCAAGAACCCCATCTACAGCTCAGGAAACCTGATTTCTTCATGCCCGCCCTGCCCAAAACCATGTCAGCTGAAGGTCGTTTTTCTGAGCCGACACCGAGGGCTGACTTGTAGACGGGGTTTAGACTCATGTTATAAACCAGAAGCACGTCTTTCTGTTTGCTGCTAAGTGCAGGGAGTGAGACGGGTCCAGAAAACCACTTCCGCAGACAGTTTGGTTTTGATACTTGATGCTGCTCAGGCTGTGACATCAGTGTAGTTTGGGATAATCATCTTTCCTGGAGAGGGTGGGCTGCTTCTGCGTCCTGGGAGAACCCGGCCCTGTGCTGAGTTACTGTGAAACCCTGCTACTGCCTGGATAGCACATCTAAGGCCTCCTGTCCCGCTCGAAGGAATCATGCCAACCACGCGTGTGCACACTTACACACTCACACGCACACACAAAACAGCTGTACTAAACTGTTCTCCTTATCTCTCCTGGTCCCTGGAGACCCCTGAATGTCTTGGGATTACTGAATGTGACTAATGTTACAGATGTGAACAAGGCTACGGTGTTGATTCTCTGCTCCACCTAGCGTAAGGACCTCAAGAGACACATTCCTTTACCCGTGGGCCTGGAGCCATGCAGTCCCCCAGAATGGACAGATGCCGTGGCTGACCCGAGTCTCTCCTTGAGCCTGGACCTCCTGTAGTCTGTCTATACCGAGGGCCCCCTGCAACTCAGAGGCTGTGTCCCCGACTTGTACATATGGGATTGCCGTGGGCACCCCCTGGCCCCCGTGTCGTAACCATCGACGTAATGACTAGTATCCTGCTGTTTACACCTGAGTGTTAGCTGTAGGCCCTTGTACTGTGTGTGTGCACTTAGGGCTCTGTTCAATTAAGAAATAAACGTGGCTCTCATGCAACACACAACCATTCACTTCCGTCTTTGTATATTGGCCCACCAGAGGACTGCTCACAGGTGGTACCGGCCACCTAGGGGTGAGGAAGGGAGGAGGCGGCTTCTTGGATGCCAAAGAGGCAGAGGCTTTGAGGGGTGAGGGGTGCAAGAGGGCGCTAGCTCTGAGCCCGTCTGCTTCCTTCAGTACCGACTGAACATATTCCAGGCATCCCTACCTGTGTGCAGCGGCCTCTAGGCAGCTGCTTCTCACTCCCCCCAGCAGACTTTTGGGTTGCGGTGCCTCAGAGGCTCCACACAGGGTGTGTCCAGGGCCTGGGAACGTTCCCTGACGTGAGGGCCTCACTCACTCACAGGGTCCTGATCTTCCAATGGACTGGGAGTTTGGAGTCCCCACCACACTGGTTATTCATGGAAGTATAAGAAAGGAGTCTTGGACTTCAAGAAAATGAATACACAGTCCAAAGCATATTGGCAAGTCAAGAGCCCAGTGCTTCACTCTGGTGGTCATTACTTTTCCTCACATTCTTAGGTGATTGGCTAATACATAACTGCACAAATTCTGGGAAGAAATGAAACTTTAGCATATATTTTGATTTCAAGAAATGCTGGTCCTGTAGGAGTTTGAATTTCTACCAAGTGGCTTTTTTACATTTTTTTTTTAAAGAGGAGTTCTGTCTTATTTAGCACTATGAGAAAAAAGGCAGTCTTTGCTTCTATTTGTCATGGGAGGATGGGATCTGTATGGCTACCAAGGGTTAACTGGTTACCTCCAAAGGACACCAGGTTGGCTGGGACCCTGGGGAGCTGAGATGTGCCCTGGAGTCTCCTTGGTGCCACCCCCTGGCTGCAGATGGTATTACACCAGCCTGAGAAGCAGCTGCCTCAGTGGGAGTCTTGGGTCTCAGGTCTGATAGGCTCTAGGCTTGTGGTCTGTGGAGACCAAGGAGACATCAGAGGGCATGGGCTAGCCTTGCTTCCATCTTCCCGAGCTAGGTTACCGTGTTGTATTCTAGCCCTGAGTTCATTTGGCTTGGCCAGCCTGTGCGTGTCCCAGTGTAATGAGACTGGATCCCTTCCAGGTGCTCCAAAGTTGGGATCAAGATTCCCAGAGAGGCAACATGGCCCTGAGACACTCAAGCTCTGGAAAGCTACATTGTGACTGGGTTGCTTCAGACTGAGTTGTGCTAGCTTTGAGGCCACCAGGCATCAAGAGTAACAGGTGTTTTCTTAGAGTAGAGCCAGCTTGGGTCTGGAGTCATCTCAGGGACTTAGCACAGGGTCCTCCTCCTTGGGATGGGTGGCAGGACCCTCTTGGGCCCTAATTTCAGGGGACCAGGCTCTCTTCAGCCCAAGCAGGCTCTGGCATAGCAGAGCATGGGCTGTGGAGAAGGCAAAGGGCCCAGCAGGGGCAGATGGGGAGAACCCTTTTGGTTGGTTGGGTTGGCCTGAGTAGCTTGGGGCTTGGGAGTAGTAATCCCAGGCTCTTCTGTCCCAAGTGTCCTGAAGGCTATGAAGGCTTTAGTCCAGACTCGTACAGGGCACAAGGAAGATGACCTTACACTCAGGACTGACAGTGGCCTCCCTCTGGTTTAGGATGAGTGTCTATTGTCAGATGCCATGGGTTAGAGAAACAAGAATGGAAAGAGTTGAGCACTTGGCCTGAGAGGACTGCCCACCAGGGGCCTGCATTGAGGAACCAGCATAGGCTCGGGGATTGCCTAGTCAGGAAGGGCTGTAGCTCAGGAGTAAGAAGACCCACAGGATATAGCTTCACAGCACTCAACTGCTGAACACCACCCGGGAGACCAGTGACTCTAGACTCCGGAAGACAACCACACAGAAGGTGGTACCAGCTGCCAGAGCCCGGGACATCCAGTGGCCTGTGACCTGACTCATGGTTCTACACCGAGGTATCCCAGAATCTGTTGGTAGTCACTTAGCATCTGTGGGTGCCTAAAATGGAGTCAGGGATGGGCAGAAATGACACAGGTTTGTCCTGACAACTGAAATGCACATTCACTTTTAAATTTTACATTTTCATGTTTTTTTTTTCCCTAAAAGCTTCTACCAGACTTGCTGGTATGTCCAGCCCTAGGCTAAGCCCTCTGAAAATATGACCTCACCTTCTCCGCATCCCGAGCCACAGTGAAACTGCTTTGACTCTGCCAGGCTTCGATTCCTGTCTTAGCTCAAGTTCCTCTTTTCATTTTAAAAGAATTAAGCAATGATGTAAATTTGTTGTAGTGCAGTTTTCAAAATGTGAGCAGTGTCAGCTTCATGGGAAAAAATGAAAACAACAACAAACCCATCAAACACAGCAGAGAGGCTGTGACCCGCCTCCCGGTCAGGTCCATCAGATGTTGAAAGGTCTGACTCAGTGCCTAAAAGGGAGAGACCCTGCAGACTGCACGCATTGGAATAGAGGACCACACAGGCTGAGCACCTCCCAGCCGGAAACAGCCACTTCCCAAGCTCAGGTCCTGATTTCACAGTTCTGCAGAAGGCTCTGAGGTTGGACTGTCCCCACAGACAGCCGGGTGTATTTCCTGAGGAGACTGTCCGTGTCCACTCAGTTTCCTCCAGCGTAGATCCAGCAGGCAGCCTCTCTGCCTGCATCCCTTACCCACCTCCTCTCCCATACAGAGGAAATCAGTGTTGCTCTGCCTTTTCCAGGACAAAGTGAAACTATTCTGATAAACAAGTGTGCATTTTTTTTGCTAGAAATAGATTTATTTTTCATAAAACACTGCATTTTATTTTGTCAGCAAATCTTAACTCATGGAGTTTTAGAGACTTCTCAACGTATCACTTCATAGACATACCATAGTGAAAATGGTCAGTTTTCAAAAGCATTGGAATCAGTGGTGCAGCAAATACCAAAGACTGGGAATGTACTCTGGGATAAATTCCTACCAAAAATTGTGTGTGATATCCACTCCTTTACCCCATGCATGTGGACGTGTGCACACGTGTGTACATGCATATGCACACAACACTTGCACAGCTTCTAGAATAGATCCAAGCTGTCCTCTCTCCACCATGTCACAGACACGCTTGGCTCATACATCCTCCATGTATATCACCCCGCACAGCCACCTTATACATAATGTATTATTTTCTCGCTTTCCACATCTGGACCAAGTTCTGCCACATTATGTCAAAAGACTGTGACCCCAACACTTCAATCTCAGCAGGATTTCTGTCCCAGCTATCTGTGCAGGCCGTGAAAGCCCCCAGGCTGCCAGCCTCCCTGGGTTCAGTGTGGCCATGAGGAGCTGTCTCTGTTCCTGGGATGCCACCTTGGGTGCGGCAACTATGACACCACCCCCAGGCCTGATGCAGCTATAAAGTCCTGCAGGTTCTGGTAGGCACACAGCCCTTATCACCTTCCACTGTAGGTACACTGCCCCCACATCGCCACCTCTGTGTTCTCACCACCCCAAAGTCAGAGGCCACACAGAGCTGGCTCTCCAGCCCCTTCCAGGAGCAATCAGGGAACTGGGGTCCTTGTCACTCATTCCCAGGTTGGTTGCACCAACAAAGGAAAGGAGGCTAGGTGTACAGACAGGGACCTCTTCCAGAATGGGTATGCAGAAGAGCCTTAGGCAAGGTGAAGGGGCAGGCATGGAAGGGTCTGGAAGGATCTTCTCCTCGTTGTGGCTTCGCCAGTATCCAGGAAACCCAGACTATCCCCTTGCTTTGTCCTTTGGTCCTGCGCCACCACAGAGCAACTGACCCAGGAACTCCTGGGAGAAGGGTTGGCCTAGCTTTGGGGGATAAATAGCCAGTGTCCTAAGGGTAGGAAACGTGAGAGATAGCAGCATTAGGTTCCTTGCTCTTGGCCCGGACCCCTGAAATATCCCCTGATCGCCACTGTAGGTTCCCAGTTGCCCTTGGGGTTCCCAGAAAGTCTTAGGCCTCTTTTGACTGTGGGCTCCCAGGCATGTACCAGGTAGCCAGGCCCAGGTTTGCTCACCCTGGGCTTTTTGCCAGTCTTTGTAGCCTTAAATTTTTATTATCACTCTGTAAACATGAATCAGGAAAGAATGTGTAATAGGTAAAAAGGACTCACCCTCACCTGTCCTTCCAGAAGCTTCCGTCAGGCCAGGGAGTCAGGCGGGTCATAGACACGGTTTATTGGCAAATGGTTTCATGGAAGGGAGTCCCAAAAGTTTCATGAGGTGACTGAAGCCTTATGAGCAAGACAGCTCAGCTGGACCCCAGTATCTACAGCTTTTTGCCACTCTACTCCTTTGTGGGCGTCTGGGTAGCCACAGAACCTGGGGACAGCTTCCCTCTGGGAGTTCGGTACTTGTTTTTCTGCCGATAGAACAGATTTCTCTGGAAAAGGCGAGGAAGGTGGCCCTGATAGAGCAGGACGGCCAGGATCATACCTGCAAGAGATGGAGTCAGACTGTAGAAGAGTCCCAACAGAAGAGCCCAGGCCTCCCTGCAAGGCTCTACCTGGGCTCTGACCACATCCTTTCTCTGGGTCTTGCCCCTTAGTGTCTAGAAAAAGTTGCCTGGATCTTTTGGAGCACACATGGGAGTTTTGGATGCTTCTAGATTATGCTCTGGGGACCCAGGATTCAGGGTGTCCCACACAAATGTCCCACACCAGTTTTCAGGTCGCTCCGATAACCTCTCCTTCAGGTTGCCTCTAAAGGTGGCGTAGCAGGAGGGTTGCTTTCAGTTAGCAGAAGTTTGGGGGGAGGGTATGCTGGATAGTTTTTTTGTCAAACTGACACAAGCTAAAGTCACCTAGGGGAGGAAGCCTCAATTAAGAAAATGCCTCCACCTGGTGGTGGTGATGCATACCTTTAAGGCCAACACTTGAGAGGCAGAGGCAAATGGATCTCTTGTGAGTTCGAGGCCGGCCTGTTCTACAGAGCATGTTCCAGGACAGCCAGAACTACACAGAGAAACCGTTTCTCTTTTAAAGCCTCCATAAGAGTGGGCTGTAGGTAAAACTATAGGGCATTTTCTTCATTAACAATTAATGGAAGAAGGCCCAGCCCAAATTGTGGATGGTGCCATCCGTGGGCTGGTGGTCCTGGGTTTTATAAGAGAGCAGGCTGAGCAAGCCAGAGGGAACAAGTCAGTAACTGCACCCACTCCATGGCTTCTGCGTCAGCTCCTGCCTCCAGGTTTCTGCCGTTTCAGCTCCTGTAGTGACTCCCTTCGATGATGAACAGTGCTGTGGAAATGTAAGCTGATTGAACCCTGTCCTTCCCAACATGCTTTGGTCATGATGTTCATCACAGCAATGATAATCCTAAAACGGGGGAGAGAGCAGGGCTAGAACCCGGCTGGGAAGGACTAGCGAGTGGGGAGCTGGCTCAATCTCTGTGTTTTTTTTTTTTTTTTTTTTGGATATCCTCAGTCCCCACCTCCTCCAGGGTCTCAGAGGGACCAGCTAGCTAGGGAAGGAGGAGCCATCTGATTTTTCTGTTTAAGTATTGAACTTGTGGTGTAGTGTTCCCCACTAAGAACTCCCTTGGTTCCACGCATGTGATCTGCTTCAGTTCCCATCAGAGATAGGCTCCCACGGCTGTCACCCGCCTTGTCCACACTCGACTGCCGACCTTGGTCATCCCCTGAAGCAGATGTGGTGCTGCTACTCTGGGTCTAGAAGCAGAGACAGTTCCTGCTCTGAGACTCCCGGGCTGCAGGACCAGCTTCCAGTGGCTTACTGATCTTCCCCACCAGGGGGCGCTGTCTCACAGCTGTCTCTCCCCCAATCTTTCTTTTCTTATTGATTTATTCATTCATTTATTTATTTTCTATCCCAAGGGTGTTTTGAGTTTGAGTTCCTGTCCTGACATTTCTCAATGATGAGCCACACCTTGAGCTGGGAAAAGCAGGAGGGAAGAAGGGCACATGAAACAGAAAGTAAAACCCAGGGCAGCCCCATCCTCCTCCAGGCCCAGAGGTCCACCTGAGAAAGACTTTCTGTCTCCTGCAGCTCTCCGAGGTGTCTGTCACTCTGAAGCAGATGATATGGAAGTGTAAGCCAAACAAACCCTTTGCTCCCCAAGGTGCTTTGGTCATGGTGTTTCATCACAGCAATGGTAGCCCTAAAACAGGTTTGACCTGGCCTGGGAAGGACTAGGGAGCAAGAAGCTAGTTCAGTCTCCAAGTTTTCTCTGATATTCTAAGTCCCTACACCCTCCAGGTCCTCAGATGGACCAGACAACTGGGGAAGGAGGAGAGACCCCAATCTGCAGTGTCCACTCCCACCTCCCCTCTGCCCCTCCCCCATCCACTCCTCCGTTTCTACTCAGAAAAGAGCAGGTCTCCCAGTGGATACCAACAAAACGTGGCATCTCAAGTTGCAGTAAGAGAAAGCTCCTCCCCTTGTATTAAGGCTGGGTGAGGACACAGGAGGAGAAAGAGGGTCTCCAAAGCCGGCAAAAGAGTCAGAGACAGCCCTCCTCCCTACTGTTAGGAGTCCCACAAGTGGACCAAGCTACAGGACTGTAAAAAAAAGATGCAGAGGGCCTAGGTCAGTCGGTCCAGGCTCTGTGAGCCCCTGTGAGCCAGAATCGATTCTGTGGGATTTTATTTGTTTGTCTATGGTGTCCTTGACCCCTCTGGTTCCTACAATCCTTCCTCCCTGTCTTCAGTAGGATTCCCCGAGCTTTGCCTAATGTCTAACTGCCCTGTTCTTTTTTTGGGGGGGGGGAATGGAGGTGTCTTGTTTTGTTTTTGTTTGTTTGTTTTGTTTTTGTTTGTTTGTTCTGTTTGGTTTTTTGAGACAGGGTTTCCTCTGTATATCACTGGCTGTCCTAGAACTTGCTCTGTAGACCAGGCTAGCTTCAAACTCACGGAGATCTACTTGCCTTTACCTCCTGAGTGCTGAGATTAAAGCCAACTCACCTTAGTTCTTAACGGTGACTTTCTCTGTCTCTCTCTCTCTCTCCCTCTTCCCGTGTGTGTGTGTGTGTGTGTGTGTGTGTGTGTGTGTGTGTGTGTTTCTACATCCCAGCCATATGTAGATTGTGGTGACTTGATCTCAGTTCCTCATGTGTTCAACAAAAACATTTTACGGCACAGAGCCACCTCTCCAGCTCCTCAACGTTGAATTCTAACTAAACTTTGTAAATTTTTGTTTTCGTGTTGGTGACTTCTAGATGAAGATGGTGACTGGAACTAGGCATGGTGGCACCTGCCTGTCATTCTGTCACACCAGGCAGGAGGCTCAAAGTCTGAGGCCAAACTGACCAGAAGTGACCCCCACATATGGGGGATGAACATGGAGGCAGCCTGTCCAAGTTATATTAAAAACCGAAATATTAGGGTTGAAGAGATGGCTTGGCCTATAAGGTGCTTGTCTTAAAAGTACGAGGGCCTGTTTGGTCTCTAGCACCTATGTATATATATAAAGTCATTCAAGCCAGGTATAGCACACACCTTTAGTCCCAACACTCAGGAGACAGAGGAGGACCTCTATGAATCTGAGGCCAACCTGATCTACATAAAGAGTTCCAGAACAGCCAGGGCTTCATGGAGAGACCCTGTCTCCAAGCTAATCCTTCCCAAAAAAGCAAGGTGTAGTGGTTCATGCTTGTAATCCCAGCACTGGGGAGGAAGAGATAAGATCCCTGGGACTTGCTGGCCAGCCAGTCTATCCTAATCAGAGAGCTCTCTCAAAAACAAAAACAACAACAAAGGAATGACATCCAAGGTTGACCTCTGGCTTCCATGTGCACATGCACCGACATATGCACTCACATACACGAACACACGTGCCCACGCGCACACACGTGTTCACATACATGAGCACGTGTGCACACGCTCACACATGTGTTCACATACATGAACACATGTACACACATGCACACATGTGCGCCCACAAACATGAACTCATGCACACACATGTACACATGCGCGTGCACACACATGAACGCATGTGCACACATGTGCCTGTATGTGTGCTTGCGTGTGTGAATACATGTGCACATGTGCACTCATGTACATGAACACATGCACACGCATGCACACACGTGTGTACTCATGTATGAGAACGCATGTGCACACATGCACACACACCTACACACAAGTTAAAGCTGAAAAGTCGTAGAGGAACCCTGCAGTGTGTATTTGGGGACAAGGACATAAATTGGAAACAGTCCACAGAGTGGCCCATGGGTAGGTCACCTTACAAGAGCCCAGGTTACAGGTGGTGAGCCCATATCTCAGCCCTCATCCCACGGTTGTGTTCCTGGGAAGAGCTGGGACTTCTGTCCCCGTTCCCCTTGGGTTGAGGCTCTGCCCTGAGCCCTGCCAAGTGTGAACCCTGAAAGTAGTGGAAGGTTTCCAAGGTTCCAGTGGGCCTCAGTCATCTGGTAAAGCCATGGATGGTGTGGGGAAACCTAGTACCTGGGCCCAGTGCCAGAGAGGAATTTGCCAGAACCAGAATTCCCCAGATCCTGTAGCTAGAGACAGAGCCATCTGGTGGCCTTCCCTGGGTTACTCTAGCCCAAGGATTTCCACTGCTATTCCTCTTTCAGAACTTGGATGACTGGAGGGGGTTTGCTTTGTGCTTCAAGGAGTCACAGGGCAGACCTACCAGGAGCTACAGGCCCTGACCACCCAGGGCTGCGGCCCGGAAAGGCATGGGATCATCCAAGCCTGACCTCTGTGCCCCAGAGGCCCTGTGGTAGCAGAACCCAGAAAGATAGCTTTAACCAGGTATGTGAAGATGCCCTGGGGAGGAGGGAATCCCAGTCACAAGAGAACTCGTGCAGCCTGTCCCTGCTGCCCACACCGAGTTTCCGAGGGTCCGACTCCCCATATCCCACTCTCCACTGAACACCGTCCGCTCTCCTCTGTGACAATCCAAACCGAGACATAGCAATCTTAGTCACTTCCTCCAGCTGCCCACACTGCAGAGACCAGGAGAACTGATCCCAAACTCTTGTTGCCCCAACACCCAAGATCCCAGGGAGCCAGGAAGGGTGACAGCATCGTGAATCTGTAGCCGGCAATGCTTTGTGTGTCTGTGTCCATCCATGGACATACCCAGGCCAGCCTCGCCCCCACTACTCACCCGCCACAGGACCAAGGCAATACACATGAGCATACTCCAGCAAGGTGTTCCCAGAGCAGTGGAATGTGACGGAGGCAGCCAGGGCGGGATTGAAGAAGGCGGATGTGTAGGGCCCAGCTGTGGACAGAAGCACCGAATCCTCATGGATTGATTCAGACTGAAGCAGAGACCACGCTGCTAGACATGAGATTGGGCTCTTGGCACTAGGGTGCTGGGGACAGCCGCTCTCCCTGCTGCATGCTGATGAGCACAAAGGAATGAGGCCTATGCAGCCAAGGCCAAAGGTCACGGGAGAGGCGCTAGGACCAAGGTTGTACCAGGGATGTCTGACACACTCCCCCATCCCTCACCCTGAGTGAGACTCCTACATCAGGAGTCTTCTGATCCAACCCCCCTACCTTCTGGGAGGTGGCCCAGAGATATAGGGGAGAGACAGCAGGGGATATGGAGAGGGACAGAGAAGAGAGGGCCAGAGCCAGAGAGGGTAATAAAAACCAAAACAAAATAAAACAAGGAAAGGAGCTGGGGTAGGGTGGGGGTGGGGCGAGAGGCAAGATCAAGACAGGGAGGGTGAGATAAAAACAGCAGCAGTGACCAAGATGTCACTTGCAGGCCTAGGGAGAACCACAGAGAAGTCACCTGCTGAGTAGCCACAGGAGAGAAGTGGGGTGAGGGGAGCAGTTGAACCAGTTACGATCTTTCAAGCCATGCCAGGAAGCTGGACAATGGCCCTGGGCAGGCAGAGCAGAGCCTGGGCCTCAGGAAGAGCAAGTGCCCTGTGGACCTAGACTTGGGTGCAGGACACAGGCAGCTCTGCTGTGGGAGCTGGGAAGCCTGGCCCGCAGGGTAGGGTAAGGGACAGCTGCTCCTGTGCGCTCTGCTGTAGATCACCACCCTGCCGCGTTCTCTGTGCTTCTGGCCTCAGCTCATCGCCTCTGACCAGGGTGCCGGAGGTCCCTTCCCATGGTCTTGCTAGGGTCACCAAGTGTTGAGCTGGCTTGGCTCAGCATTGGCTCGCACTGTTTCTACTTCCTGGGTTCATGGCCTTCTGGAACAAGCCTTTAGAAATCTCAGCTCTGGGGCTGGAGAGATGGTTCAGAGGCCAAGAGCACTGACTGCTCTTCCAGAGGTCCTGAGTTCAATTCCCAGCAACCACGTGGTGGTTCACAACCATCTGTAATGAGATCTGGCACCCTCTTCTGACCTGTAGGCATACATGCAGATAGAATACTGCATTCAAAATAAATAAGTAAGTAATAAATAAATGAATCTTAAAAAAGAAAAAAAAAAGAAGGAAGGAAAAAGCAACCTCAGCGTCTGTCATGATGCAACATCCACAGAGCCCCCAGCTCTCAGGAGCAGCCGGTCAACAGCCTGTCCTGGGATCCCATCTAGGGATGCCTCCCTCCAGGGGGATCCCAGGGCTGATAAGTGAGATCTGGGAGCCTTGAATCAGCCTGAACTGGGCCTAGAGCACCCCTTGAAAGAACATGAGGGACCACAAAAACCTAGCCAGGATGCCAGCATGGCCACGGCAGAGATCACAGGCGTGAGGGGCTGCTGCTGTCCCAGGGAGAAAGAAATCATAAGACTTGTTGCCCTTTATGGGGTATTCGAGGGCTCAGGAGCATCCAGAGGACCAAGCCATGAACTGTATAATTGCTTCAGCTGCCCCAGATGTAATAAACACAGTTGGGAGCTGCGGAGACATGCACGGTACAAGGCTCCCCTACACACGACCGAGGCCTTGCCTCCTAGCCCCTACCCACCTGTTGAGCCCCTTGGTCAGCAGACCCCCCTATAGGGTACCAGTGAAGGTGCTGAGGTTCTGAAAGCGGAGCCCGTCTTACCTGTGTAAGCCATGAAAGTAACCAGCAGGGCCAGGGCAGGCACCCTGTAGATGAGAAGGCTGTGCTGCAGGTGGAGGAGGCTCAGATGGAAGAAGAAGGTGCAGGCACCCTCCACCAGTGTACCCTGCAGCACGGATGTGCGCAGGGTGGAGCTGCAGTGCATAGCCATGAGGCTCTGCAGCAAATGTAGTTCGCTGAGCTCCCAGGTCCAGCAGCGCTGGGTCAGGGCACAGGCAGCCTGGGCACCCAGGACCTGGGCCACCACTTTCAGCAGGGTGCTGGGCAGTGATGCCTCAGCCATGAGGAACTCCTGTAAGGCCACAGTGGGGTTGGCAGAGGCCCCATCAAAGGTGACCCCGTGCACCACAAAGAGCAGGAAGACCAGGGTCAGCAACAGGTCGGGCCCGAAGCCCCCGGCCCAGGGGCCAAGTTCCACCAACACTCGCATCTCTAGGCAGCAGGCTGCCAGCTGGGCTGCACCCACTGCCTCCCGGGAAAAGTTGGCATAGGTGCCTGCTGGGAGCAGGGCTTTAGATGCCCTTCTCGCCACCTCACAGAGGGCACAGGTGGCAAAAAAGAAAGAGAGGGATACATTCAGACTGGCCATCACTCTAGGATCTACAGGGAGTTCTGCTGAGCAAGGACCTGGTGACGTGTGGGAGCCTGGCTGGCCCCACAGTCCAAGGACAGAGAAGCTGTACGAGAATGCACCTGGCTTCTGGGAACACCACACCTGTGACCCTCACAACTGACACCGCTGGTCACAAAGCCAAGTGCTGCAAGGAACACCCACAGAGGACCCGCCCTGCTTGATATTCTCCTTGGGCTGAGACACCCTGTCCCCACTCTGGAGACAGGCCACTTTCTTCAAAGCCACGAGGAGGTCTGTGACTCACACCAGAGTCCTGGCACCAGGACCACAACACCTCTTCCCAATGTCTGCATTGTCCCCACCTTGCCCCTCATCTCCCTGCGACTATACTATGTCCCTTCCTGGGAAGGTTCCTGAGAGCTGGGAGCATACTGGGATTAGCCGAGAAGTAGCTGCCATACTGGGATCGGCTGTACGGACCAGGTCCCCCCACTCCCATCCCCACACACGTACACAGGAAACCGGTGGGGAGCTTTGGGCTTCAGGACACTAGAACTACAAAGGTGGATCACTTCTCTGTGCTTTGGCCTTCCTGACTGGCCATGTACAGAAAGACCTAGAGAAAGTTCTTGACAAAATGATTGACGGAGAAGCATTGCTGCGTCCTACAGACCCCAGGATGTGTTGGACCAGGATGAGGACATGGTGCTACCTGCCAGGGACAATGCCCTACACAGTACCCTGCCCTTTCACTGTGGACAGGTATGTTCCTGGGGCCATATGGTGGGCTGTGGCTCTCGGGAGTAGAGGAATCAGAGGAGCTAGGGACACTATGGGGATACTGTGCTGGGCCCTGGCCAGGCTGAAAAGCATAAAGGTCATGCTCCTAGGGTGGAGGGTTGTCACAAGAAGACCACAGGGACCCTAATGGGACAAGAGGATGAGTATGTATTCAGAGGAGATGCTGGGGGTGTCTTCCAGGCACAGGGCAGGCCAAGCAGCTCCCTCCCCACATGCCAGTCCTGAGAGAAGGGTGAAGTAGGTCCAGACATAGCATGTCCCCAGCCACAGAGAGGACATTTCCAAAAATTGCTGCCATGATAAAAATAAATCAGCCGGAGATCTGGCCAGTGTTCCCCCAAGACACCACTACAGCCCCAGAAAGGGGAGCAGTGTGAAGGGAATAGAGATAATGAAGGGTCAGATGGAGGTGGGACACCGGCCTGCCTGGACCCCAGCAATCCCAGAGACAAAAGCTTTCCCAGTCCCTCTGAGGTCAAAGTTAGGGAACTCAAAAAGTAGGTGTTGTCCGTTGTTTGGCTCTTTGGGGGGCCCGCCACCCAGCTCCCAAATAAATACACACGGAGTCTTCTTCTTTCCTATGAATGCCTGGCCTTAGCTTGGCTTATTTCCAGCCAGCTTTTCTTAACTTATCTCATCAACCTTTTGCCTCTGGGCTTTTATCTTTTCCTGTCTATCTTTCCTTTCTTCCTCGTTTCATGTCTGACTGTGTGACTGGGTGATGGGCCCCTTCTTTTCTTACTTCTTGGTCTTCTCTCTTTTTCTCCTTCTATTTATTCTCTCTGCCTCCCAGCCCTGCCTATCCTTTCTCCTGCCTTGATATTGGATATTCAGCTCTTTATTAGGCCAATCAGGTGTTTTAGACAGGCAAAGCAACACAGCTTTACAGAGTTAAACAAATGCAACATGAAAGAACGCAACGCATCTTTGCATCATTAGAAACAGTATAAACAGATGCAACACATCTTTCCTAAGATTTTTATTTTATTTTTGTTACATGCCTGTGTATGGGTTTGTGCACATGCATGCAGGTTCCCACAGAGACTAGTGTTGGATCCCCAGAAGTTGGGGTTGTGGCCTTGTGGGCTGCCTGGTGTGGGTGCTGAGAACTAAACTTTGGTCCTTACTCCTGACCTTTGTTAAGTTCTTGCTCCATCACCAACATGTGCTAGTGTTTCTATAGATGCCTTTGGTCAAGTTGACGGAGCTCCCCGCTGGGACTAGTCTACTGGAAGTTTTATTAAGCATGGACATCAGAGTTTGTCTGGAAATTTCTCTACAGAGACATTACAGGCAGCACAGTAGGTACCAAGGCACAGCCTTCAGCTCATCCCTTCCTTTTATTTTTTAAGCCTCATCTGGGCATGTTGCTCCCTCCTGCTTAGCGCCCCTCCTGAAATGGGGTACAAGTTGGCTTGCCTCATCAGCACCACGCCTCCCTCTGGATCAACCCTCTTGAACTCATCCCTCAGTTGTGACCATGAGCATATCAAAGAAGTGGCAGCAGTGTTGAAGATTGGGAAGAGGTGTTGGTGGCCATGGTGGCACCTTCCTAGGCTCACATAGTGGTGATGGTGGGGGCAGCGTGCAGGAGTCCCAGCCGCCTTTGGTTCTGTTGGCAGCAACCTGACACGGAACCAAGTCATCCAGTACAAACAACAGCTCCCAGGATCTGGCCAGTCAGAGGCACAGGCAAACCTGACTTCACGGCCTCTCAACTTTCACAGGGTGCCAATGACTGACAGATCACCTCTTACTCTTCTGAGGCCACCCCTGACCCCAAGAAACAGTGGCAACAGTACTAACAGCAGCAATGGCAGTGAACCTTCCGAGAATCGCAGTGTCTGGTGGGCTGTGTGCTGTGCCTGCCACCTCTGGCTTATAGAAGTGGCGAGTCCTGGCAGGTCTACCCCGAGTGATGACTAAGTATTCAGAATAAAGTCGTCCCACAGTTCCTGCGCTGACAGTCTGCAGCTGCAGTTTGCTGCCACCGAGGCCCAAGTGCAGCAGAATGGGCCTGGTCAAATGAAGATCATACCAACTGTAAACCAATGGATGACTACCAATCAAGGAAATGGGGCATCACTGCTGCTGTGCCAATCCTGTCCCCCTCCAAGGCCTGGCTAATAAAGTGCTCTCAGACTGCTTTATTATGTGACCGATGGACCAGTGGCCCTGAAAGAAAGCGTTATTTTGCTACTCTGTCAGCAGCATTTCAGCAGGTGCCTTGACTACCCAGACTCCCAGTTCTCAGGCGGTCACGATCAGCAACTTTGGATCCCAGGAGAGCAGCCCACAGCACCTCAGGGACTTCCATTGGTTCTGCCATCTCACGGTCCTCACACGCTAGTTCCAGCTCCTTTTGTACCAAAGTCGATAGGCACTCAGCAACCACTACCATCAGCAACACGAAAGTGACAAAGTTTGCTACCAGTAGATAATCAGGGACCAGTTCTCAAAGCCGGATTCTCCAGGTCAGTGGCCTACAGGAGCCTGATGATCTGAACATAGGGGAGAATCAGACGTTGGGATGCTCACTGCAAGGGAGTCAGCAAGAAGAGGGAGTGAACCCTGCAGACATAGTAAAAACAAACCCCACTCCCTTCAGCTAGTTCAAGGGGGACAGCTCTTCAGGACCCCCAAGCAGTCCACCATCAGGGTGAAACTTCACAACTCAAGCTATTTCCCTGGGAAACTCTTCAGAACCTCCAACTTAAGGCTGTTCCAGACTCTGGTATCACCATCATTTGAGACACCAATAGTGAGAGTCAAGAGATGTGTCAGTTAGCAGAACCCTCCTTCCCCCGTGCAAAATCTCCAAGTTTAGAACCCAATGCTCAGACAGTCACCTTGGCTCCAACGCAGGGTATTTACTTGGAGCAGACTAGCAGGCAGCAAGATCACCCAGAAACCCACTGCCTCAACTGCCTAGTCACTGTGAATTCTGCCCAGTTCTCCTTCCCATCCAACCTCCGGCTGATTAACTTCAGTCTGGGGTACTTCGGGGAAGCAGAACCATCTCCCAGCCTGCACTGAGTATCGAAAATGCCCCAGTTGATCACAGACTCACCTTGACCTCCATGGATCTGGTGGTGGTAGATAGAAGACAAAATGAGACATCGGGTGGGAAAGAGAACAGCCCTGACTCCTGTCCCCAACCTGGGCAGAGGACCCAGTGGGACATGTATGTCTGTCCCTACTATAAAGACAGCAGAGGGAAGGACTCTGGAGACCCTGGCACTAAAACAGATCAGACATTTGCCACATTGGGGTGTGCCAAAGAATATGGCAAGACCTCCTACCTCCAGTGACGTGGAGCTGGCATGTAGAGGCAAGGCATGTTTGAGTATTCCTGGCCATGCTGTGGGAAGCCCTTGGCACATTCAGATGAGCTGAAGAAACACACATGCACAGGTGAGAAGAAATTTGCCTGCTATGAGTGCTTCATAAAGAGTGGCCATCTGTCAAAGCTAGCAAGGCTCATCAGGTTAAGAAAGGAGGCCCTGATGTGTCCCTGGGTGGAGGAACCTTGCCTCTGGACAATGGGGCAAGTTTGGAAGGCTGCAATAATGCCTCTACTTAGCCTTTATTACCCCCAGTATGGAGGCCATCTGTCCCGAAGGAATCACCCATATTGCCCACAGCGGCATCAGTGCCATCCAGGTGGAAGATCTGCAGTCCACTTATACCAGTGGCAGTGATTTCTGAGGTGAGACACCTGGGCTTAGAGCCCTAAGAGCTATTATCCATCAACCATGGGGTACAAGGTGGCATGGATCCATGAGACACGTAGAGGAGAGCCGTGAGGCATTAAAGTGCACGTGGTGGGAAGAATTGGAAAAGGACAACGGAACAGATGGGATTGTGGCACCCATCTATGTCACCAGTGCCTCCTTGAAAGTGGAAAATACTAGCGAAAATTCTGTTGATGTCACCCTTTAAGGGAGCACCTTAGTGTACCTCTCTCTCTTTCTCTCTCTTCCTCCCCCCTCCCTCTAAGAGAGAACCGGTGGGTAGGAACTATTAACTATTTGGATTGTGTTTCATTCTCCTCCATAGCCCCCGGGGAACCACTCCAACCAGAAGTTCAAGGTCTGGCATCTCTCTTGACCACCTGAGGCTCGCCACACGTACTGACCTCCTTCACCTGCCGCCAGACTTGGCCACTGCACCCCCCTCTCCTCACCCTCCCTCTCAGATGACCGCAAGACTCCTCAGTTCAGATCCTACTCTGGAGAGCAGAGACCTGTCGATACCGTCTGGCCACAGAAGAGTGTCACCGCCTCTTCCAGAGAGCCTGTCCTTCAGGAGGCCCACTGCTGAATTCTACAGTCACAGCAAGACAGCTCTCTCTGCTTAATGAATGCTCGTTCTTCTCTTTTAGTTTTATGGCTGTCAGTCAATCTAACAGATAATTCTAGGACAGCATTCTGTATTTAGGCATGCTCGGTAATTTAGATATGACTCTTAGAAATTAAAAGCTATTCTGTTTGGAAGGGGGTAATTACATCATTTTGTGGTTGCTGATAAGTGTAACGAAGTAACAGGATGGAGAACTTGGAGAACTTGGTTTTGTCATTTGGTGTGATATTTGTTTGTTTATTTATTGCTCTGGTCTAAGCAGCTAGGCAGGCTTTCCATGGAGCCCTGAAAAGAATGACTTTAGGGTAGTGTCTGGTGCATTGTTTTACATTATATGAACTGCTTTGTTTTTTTGAGAGTGAATCTCATATGATCCAGGCTGGCCTTGAACTCATGACAGAGCTGAAGGTGACACTGAACTTCTCTGATTCTCCTGCTACTCTACCTCCCAAGTGTTGAGATAGAAGGTGTGTGCCATTTTGCCTGGCATAAATACAGATTCTAGGGCTGGAGAGATGGCTCAGAGCACTGACTACTCTTTCCAGAGGTCCCGAGTTCAATTCCCAGCACTGACATGGTGGCTCACAACCATCCATAATGAAATCTGGCGCCTTTTTCTGGCATGCATGCATACATGCAGGCAGAACACTGTATAAATAAACAAACAAACAAACAAATAAATAAATAAATAAATAAATCTTTTCCCCCTCTGTTAACTTATTATTACTTTATAAATAATAGGAATCAAAATTTCCACTTCCTCCCTCCTCCCACTTCCCTCCCGCTCCCCCACTCACCCTCCCCACTTCCCCCTCCAGTCCTAAGAGAGGGCAGGGTACTCTGCCCTGTGGGAAGTCCAAGGCTCTCCCCACTCCCTTCCATCCAGACTTAGGAAGGTATGCATCCAAATAGAATAGGATCCCAAAAAGCCAGTAAATGCAGTAGAGACAAATTCCAGTGCCATTATCATTGACTTCTCAGTTTGCTTCAATTGTGAGCCACACTCAGAGGGTCCAGTTTTGATCCCATGCTCGTTCAGTACCAGTTCAGCTGAATTTGGTGAGCTCCCATTAGTTCAGGCACACTGTCTCAGTGGGTGGACCAATCCCTCGTGGTCCTGACTTCCTTGCTCATCTTCTCCCTCCTTCTGCTCTTCAATTGGACCTTGGGAGCTCAGTCCAGTGCTCCCATGTGGGTCTCTGTCTCTGTCTCCCTCTATTGCTGGATGAAGGTTCTATGGTGATATTCAAGGTATTCATCAGTCTGACTATACAGGACAAGGCCAATTCAGGCACCCTCTCCTCCACTGCCCAAGGTCCTAGCTGGGGACATCCCTGTGGACATCTGGGAACCCCTCTAGAGTCAAGCCTCTTGCCAACCCCACAATGCCTCACTTAATTAAGATATCTTCTTCCTTGCTCCCGTATCTGTCCTTCCTCCATCTCAACCATCCCACTCCCCCAAGCTCTCCTCGATCCTTCCCTTCTTCCTTCTCTCTCCCCCTCTCCTCTTCCCCCCACACAACTCCCACCCCTATGCTCCCAACTTTTGCCTGGAAATAGAAAACATTATCCTGAGTGAGATAACCCAGACCCAAAAATATGAATATGGTATGTACTCACTCATTAGTGGATTCTAGCCATAAACAAAGGACATTGAGCCTATAGTTCATGATCCTAGAGAAGCCAAATAACAAGGTGAACCCAAAGAAAAACATATACAGATCCTCCTGGAAAATGGAAGCAGACAAGATTGCCAGGCAAAAATAAATAAATCTTAAAAATGAATATGGATTCTATTAGCTTTTTATTTGATTTCTACATGGTGTGAGTGGTTCGGAGAGCGTCCACTGACCCAGAAGTCCCCACTCTCATGAACCAACTATGTCGTTGCCCTAACTTGACTTCATAAGGCTGTCATGGAGGAACATGGGGTGATCACACACATGCACTCTAAAGCGAGGTGAAGCCCTAGATCTGCAGAAAGCAACTCCAAATGCAACTTGTCTGGAGGGGAGTCCGGAGTTAGCTGTGATCACTCCTCCCCTTGGGACCAGTTAGGGATGCCACAGACGTGACTGCATGGGGCTGCTCTGTGGAGCAAGCAATGGGCTCACCCCTGACACAAGACTAGTATGTGCATGATCAGGTGTGTGTGGTAAAGGTTTGGGGAGCAGTGCATGATGAAGCTCCCCGTTACTGGCACGTTGGTGACAGGAGGTATGGCCATGGGCTTTGATTCCTCAGTCTTTATCCTGAACTTCATCTTGGGTGAGTCCTTGAGTGACAGATGGTCTCTCCCACTTGTCTCCCCCGCTGTCACATGAGTGACAGCTCTCAGAGCCAGGGTTATTAAACACACTTCAGGGCATTCCTATGGGTAGGACAGGGCCACCAGGATGTTTCCAAGTTGGACGTAAGCCTTCTCAGCCAGCCCTGCACCCAAGATTTTCCAAGATTTTGACTGTCCTTGCCTGCTCTGTGTGCTTTGCCACCCAAACCTCTGCCTATTCCTGGCTTTAGATGCCCAGCTCTCACCTCTCACCCATGACCTCACTAAGCCTTCCACCACTCTCACCTTTCGCCATGCTTGGCCACACCCACTGACAGTTACAACTGCCCACAGTGGACCGTTTAGAATTCTGCTTCCTCCCAGGCAGGGCTAGAGCTGTGGTCCAGTGACAAGAACAGAGAAGCCCTGCTGGCTGACCATGCCACCCTGAGTGCTGTCCACCTTCTCCACACTGTTGTTGGGTAAGGCTATCGTAAGACTGAACACAGTCACGCATAAGCTCAACTACGGTCAGAATTTGACATCAAGAGGGACCAAGTCTGCATCAGAGGGAAGAACGTTCTCATCTCCCTGAATGATTACTCAGGGATAGTAGCCTCTGAGTGAGGGGGTCTGCATCCTTTTCCTGATTCCCTGATGTAGAGATGACACTTCACACTGTCCATTTGGTCACGGAGACTGCCTGACAGGAGCTACCATCCATTTAGCATGGATATTCTATCCTGGGAGGACAGACCTGTCATTTCCTCCAAGTCTTTGGCCACAGGCTTGAGTGTCGTGTGGAAGATTCTAGCACTACGGAGAAAAGCTAACACAGTTCCTCCAAAGCCCACTGACAGTTCTCTGTTGCCCTATGCTGTCTTGAGAAAACCCTTCCTTCTGAAACCGCACTTCATCCTGGTGGGCTTCACAACACAACATGCGCTTACATCCCAGCTGCCAGAACAAGGGTTTGTTTTTTTCCCCTGAGCCTGGCTTTTGCTGGCATCTCCACTGGGCTCCAGGCATCAGAAGAGCCACCAGCCTGCCTTGGTGTCAGTCCTTTGTTTGGCTTTACTTGGAACCCGGACTTTCCAACTGTCTCTATCCCATGGGCTAAATACCTCCTCAGGATTGTTCATCTCTAATACTGTGGTTTCAGTGCATCGTGTTCTGGAGGTGCTGGTGAAGCCTCCAATTTAATGTGTTGATGCTCCTGCATGGGTGAATCGGGGTTTAAACGCATGCGGAGCATCATGGACACAAGAAGGACCCTCTAGGGAGGCAGGGCAGGCCCTGATGCTACGGGTGGCCTCCCCTCCCCCATCAAGAGAGGTATCTTTTTGATCCCCCTCCAACTCTATCCGCACCTGTTTCCTCATTTCTCTGTGTTCAGTGTACAGTACAACCCAGAGCAACAGGCTGAACTGGCTGTGGCCTCAGCCTCTAGCCTGCAGACTTGCAGTCCTAATCCCAACATGAAGTGCCTGGTCAAGCTGCTTGTCATGACCTGGACATCGCTGCTTCCTTATCCTCCACAGTCGCCACCTGCCTCTGCTTACCTGTAGACATTGCTACCCTGCCGTCTTTTCAGAAAGCGTAACTGGGGTTATGAGACCCACCTCCCTGCAGCTCCTCCACGCCTCTGCCTGCTGAGACTCACATCTGGACTCCGCTCTTCCTTCAGGCGTCCCTAACAAGGCAAGAGCTGGCGATCTCCTGACTTTAGCAGTTCTTGCTGGGAGTAGGGAGCTGCTATCTGAGGGTCCATGGCTCACAGAGCACAGGGGTCCCCAAACCCTTTTCATTTTGTCCCTGTGCTATAGGGTGGCTTCCCTCAAGGCATCTCCATGCCCCAGGGCCTTTTCTTTCCTAAGTATCACCACTGTCCTCCCTGGGATGGACGTAGCTTGCTGATGGACACATGATAGAAGTCACACCCAAGATGTGTCCCTCCCACAGTTCACGGTTGGTGCATAGATTCCCCTCATCTCTTATTTCCACACAATCTCTCTATTGAAGACACTTTGAACTTGCCCTCTATGGGCAAAATATGTGCTGTTGATCCTACCTGTGTCCTAGAGCTGAGGTCATTAGGATAAGGAGCTGGCTGTGGCCATGCTGAGCCAAGGACAGGACTCACCTGTGTTAGCCTCAGTCCAGAGAGTAGTGAAATTTGTATACGGCCATCCCGGACCTTGTTAGGGGTCAAATTCTCTGCAAGCCCAACCCTCCTTACCCTTGCCAAGCTGATCTGGAAAAAGGCAGGGCTTGGCCTTGTCCTTTTTTAGCAACCTGGAACTTGACCTCTTGCAGCACTAAAATACAAGTAGAAGAGCCCATGACCTGCTGAAAGGCATCTGCCTGAGGTCTCCGGTGGACCTTTGGACCAGCCCGGGGAACTTCTCCTGGCTTCCTTTGCAAGTTGCTGTCTGTTGGATCTCAAAGGCATCTGTTGATTTGTGAGGAATGGTTGTTCTCAGTCCGCAAGTACAAAGCCGATTAGTTACAAATAAGACAAGATGTTTCCTATCTAGCCCGCTATAGAAAAGGTTGGCCAGTGCTGATAGAGACACACCCCCACCCCCAACCCCCCATCCCTGGCTTGGCAAGCTGCTACCAGAACCAAAGCAACTGGTCTGCAGACTTCTAGGCCAGTGGTCTCACTCTAACCCAAGAGGATAACGGGTGAGCACCCGGTCAGGGTCCCAGGAAGAGCACAGATGTCACCGTGGGAAGCTGACATGCCAGATAGATGCTCCCTCCCCATTTGCCTGAGATGGTCCAAGTCTTCCGTTCCCAGCTGGCACCATGTCCATAGCCCAGCTCCCAGGCCTTCTGCCGCTGGCCGCCATAGTTTCTCAGCATGCAATGGAACAAGGCAGAAGAGGAAGCGACACACAGACAGTGCCCACTCTGACCCACAGGAAGATCTGTACCCTGCTGTTCATCGATGGCACAAACCTCCCTTCATTCCACCTGCTCAACAAAGACCCCAGAGTACCTGCCATCCAACAGCCCTACTCTGGCGCTCAGTCCAGGGCAGAAATCAGTTTCTTCAGACATTAATCGCCTCACACAGCTCAAGGGCTAGCACAGCTAGAATGCGGCTCAGTGGTAGAGCCGCTGCCAGCTCCTGCCAGTCGCACCTCGGGCTCATCTCTCCGGCTGGCCAGGACCCTTCGACCATGTTCAGATACCTCCGCCAGCAAGTAGCAGACAGGCGTTGCTGCTGCTAAGGCCTCCTGAGTGGTCTTCGCTGATTAGCATTGGCACTGGTAACAGGGC